CGTTGTTTACTTTCCCAATGTGATGAATAAAAATGATTGAAATCTTTTTGGATAATCCAAAATTGAATAAAGAAAAAATAAACATATTGTGTTGATTTTCCTCGGACATTTCGTTGGATATTTTTATGTTCCTTTTCGCCTGTGACTGTCGATCTCTGTCGATAGTGATATTGCCTAGATCACAAACACTGGCGAATTTAGAGGGGAGCGGGGGCTGCGCACAACCCTACCTCCTAGACTCCCAAGTTTAACATTTTTGTTTCAAGAAACTGGTATCTTCCAGAAAACAGGCGCGTAAATACCACAGAATGTAATAAAAATATACACTGAGAACCAAATTTGTCAGACTGCTTGAGTTCAATGTGTACGAGAGATGAGATGTATAGACACATACATTAGAAAGAGATAGAAGCCAGCCAGCACGGCATGTCGATCTATTTTTTGACATTATATTGGTTTTTTGTGACATTATGTAGATTTTTCTACAAGATGTTAACTTAGCACTAGCTGATGGACACGTTGTGAACTCGTTTTGTAGTTTACGTGTTGCCTAAACGTCATGAGGCTTCAGTTATCAATGTTTGGCTCTAATGTGATCTAAAATCTGCTTCAGATATGGCATTACTGGAGGTACCGGCATTGCATAGGTGCATAGTGAGGATTTATGTACTAATAATATGTGTTGATGATAATGCCATTGGATTCTTGTCTCAAATACACTAACTTGAAATCCAAAGCTAGAAATTAGTTGTGCATCCACTTTTTCGTATCCCTTCTGGAAATTACATATGCAGATTTACTGAATTTCAAAAATGAGAGGTGAGAAACAATTATATTCACCGTACACTGTCAAATTACAAGTCATATATATTACATCCTAACAGTAATTACACACAACGCAGGCGCTATGGTGATTTCCCGTAACTACTCAAAGTTTTTGAAAACACAAAAAGCGTAAAAAATCGTAATTCCTAACTTTGAACATAACCTGTCTTCAGAAAAGACAACATATAAGTAACCCGTCGGGCACAGCTAATAGATATACTTCATTGACAGCATATTATTCAGTAATGATTTTCTCGCACAGCAAATATCACTGGTTTTAAACACATGCAGACCAATACACACAATCATCCAGATGCGATCTTGCTATTCAACCAAATTTCTTGTCAGAGATGAAAACTATAGACTACTCACAAAACATATGTAACCAACAATGCGTGTAGTGGACCTATTCATCCATAGATGGACGCTCACAACGATCCTAGTGAGCAAACGTGGAATGACTGCACCCTAAAAACTACCAAGTCTGCAAGATGACATTTTATAAGTTTTTTTGGCGTTTTATAGGTTTTTTACATAATACCCGTGCGGATAGCCAAGCTCATCACCGCGTTGCCTAGCAACACTGACGCGGCTATCTACCGCGTTACCAATATAATAATAATAATAATAATAATAACGCCTTTATTCATATTTTGTACATGTGAGGGACAAAGACAGCGAAGTTTAGCTTGAGCTACTCTTACACTTAACTACCTTTGTCTGTACTTTAAGCACGATGTTGTGTGCAATTCCAAAAAAAAGAGAAAAAAAATATATAAGAAACACTAAGGAATACAGAAAGGTTAAATAACTAATCAACTAAACTAAAGTACACTACAACTATATACACTATGTACACGTATGCCTAAACGGCTCAGAAAATCAGTTATATAAATATCAGGGAAGTGTGAGCATAAATTGCTTGATTTGCCTTCGAAAACTAGCAAAAGACATTTCCCTGTACTTTCTGGGCAAAGCATTGTAAAATACGGCAGCATTATACGGGAAACAACGCTTGAAGAGTGTCATAGAGTGTGGAGGTATCCTGACCATAATACGGTCCCTGGTAATCCTGTCATGAATTTCTCGATTAAATATGATCTTTTCTCTCAGGTATGCAGGTCTTGACGCAGCTATCAACTTGTGCAAAAAGTATTTGCCCGCACATGTTTATCAATTCTTAGCCATTTCATTTGGCTGTATTTGTCACTAACATGGTCAAATCTCCTCAATCCATGAATAAAGCGAATGCAATTGTTTTGAATTATTTGAAGCCTGCTTTTCATCCGTTCATCAAGACATGGGTAATATAAAATATCACAATAACTGAGAATTGGCAACACAAGAGACTCACAAAGTTTTTTTCTCAGTTTAAAGTTCAGTAGGTGGCGATTGGCATATAACGCTCTCATTCGACCATACTTTTTTTTAGCTAAGGACATAACATGCTCCCTAAATCTCAATTTGCTATCTACTATATGTTACACCAGTTCCTTGAATTCGGTTGCATATTGAAAATATGCATTAGCTTATTCTTTACGCCCAAAAAAATGTTTTTTTTATTTTGAGCGTACACCTTTTTGAATTGTGAATTGTGTCGAATCGATCGATCGTAACGGCGCTCCATTTTAGGTCGAAATGGAAGGTCAGGATCGCCACAAATTCTGCAACATTGCATCATTGGTTCGTTTGTTAACACCGCATCTTGTACATTCCAAGGCAAGGTTCCCACCTCCATGATGATAGTTAAGCGATTTTGAATAGTACCCATCTAACGCCCATAGGGAAGTGGCTTCGAAATGGCTTTCACCTGCATACACGCTGGCACTGATAGTTTGTTTTGCGTAACGTTATCTCTTACATTTAGATGAGATAATTCGAATAAGTTAAAAAACTAGGTCGCATCAACATTGAAATAAATAATTTCAATCAAAATGAAAAAAAAATGCTAAACTAAACAGACCTTCTTCGTCGGTTTGACAGTAAACTAACCTCTTGTAGCAATATGTGTTCGCGCCTATATCTCTCTCGTACACATTGAACTCAAGCCGTCAGACAAATTTGGTCTTCCCCGTATTACAAATCCCTGTCAGGAGGAGATATCACGCACAATATTCGTATAAGGTAATTTGACAAGGTCCTATAGCATATCCAATGAAAATATGTGCTATTCAAGATCACCACACGTTCTAAGAATAGTCGGATCAGGTGATTTGACAGTCTTCTCGGATAGTGCACATACGAAGTCTGTAAATTTAGTAATGGGACTGACAACGTAGCGTACGGTCTGGCAACACTGGAGGCGCCGGACTTGGACGGGAGGCAGGTGAACATGTGATCCGCCATCCGCCTTCAGTACAAGTATGAACTCGCTCGAGTCATTGGATTGTCCGTAGCGTTTTTCTTTAACAGTTTTTTCTATCGTGATCTAAAAATGAGTGACATCAATTTCGAGCAACAGTGTGCTATTAGGTTGGACACAACGCATTGGAAAGTCTTGCTTGACTTCAGCAGGCCTACGGAGTTCGTTTTTTGTCAAGAGCCCAGGCTTTTCGGTGGTATAAGGCATTTTCAGAATGGAGAGAGTATATCTAGATGATCACATCATGGGCACGCGAACCTGTGAAGTCTAAATTCAAAACGAGGAAGAATAAACTGACAAAGCAAATTACCCATTTATTCATAATAACATGTATTCATCGTAAAATATATGTATTTATGTAAAGGCAAGGTCCCCTTCTATATTATTCTAAAAACCTATTTTTGTTTTTCTTGTTCTAATTATATACATCCTGCGTCTCTCCATCATGAGCATTGCCCATTTATTCCCGCTACAAATTAAACTTCCTATTAGGCGATGTTGTTGGAGGTTAGGATCTTGTAAGCACCTCACTCAGTTGACACACTGGTGTTCATTAGTCAGATGAATTGAGGTGAATAATTATCACACAGTTTACCTTTTTCAAATAAAGCACTTGGAGGTACACACGAAACATGCTATGCTAGATACGCACCACGGATACGCACAGACATGGAATAAAACAAAATGAAAGTCGGTAAGACTGGTAAGAGGGTCGGCTTAGCATTATGCCATTGGTCGCTTGGTCAGATGCACATGCGTGATATTGATATTACGAAAAATTCACTTAATGGATTCTGATGGAATGTGCTTAATGCGTGCCAGGAATATCGCATTTTATTACCTGGTGAAATGGTACTGTCACGTGACAAGAAGATTTTGTATCGATATGTCCTTAAAATGAATATTCATTGCATATGAACAAATGCATATTCCTTTAGTGAATATACTATGAACATTTCCGTTCTGAATGTTCTCAAGTCGCGTATTTTTAGAACGATATGAACAGTAGGTATGTGCTAAGAACATACTTTATTAGAATTTCTCTTTTAGGATCTAAAACGCACATTGCAAAAATTGTGAATATATATTTTGATCTAAATAAGACAGCACAAAATGCCATTTGTTACCAAAACTGTAAATGGGGGATCCTGTCATACACGAATCGTCTTGGGGGGAAATAGAGGAACGTAGTCCTAAAGCCAGTCACAGACATCATTTTTGTTTTTGGCAGTCTTACCAGACCTTCAAACCGTAGCTGCCATTCTGTAAGTCCAAGCCTTTCCACTTTGACCGAAAGTCCGTTATCTTTAATCAAATTGAATAGTCAAAAAGTGGTTAGCTGGTCACGTACTCACGTAGTAGCCATATTTTGGGATCCAAGATTGAAATGCAAACACCATCCATTTCAATAAATTTTCTAGGGGATGTGAATTATTGATCGTATGCATACTATGAAATATTCCCTCTTCCCCTCTTCCAATATATATGCTAGACACGTGTTTGAAACTAATTTGACTGGCTATGGCGAGGTTTGCAGAGGTATTAAGGTTAGAAAAAAGTATGAAAATTCTCTTTATGTACGGAAGAACTTACAGGTGCAACGGATAGCTTGTTTTTATAAAATTATAAATCAGAATTTTCGCAGGTTCTCTTCGGCAGCTTTCTGAGAGGTTGATTTTAGTCCAACTCTATCAAGTCCGCGAGATTGTGGTGATTTGAATTTATAGAATCACAGTTGTAGCTGGAATGACTGTCAGGAAAGAATGAAAGACGTCTGTGAGTGGCTTTAGATAACGCAAATGACAGGTCGAAGATGTCAGGAAAGTGTCATCCATCTTTTCATCTGTATGATCCAAAGAAAAATAAAGTGTTATGTTTTGTGGAAAATAATAGGAAAATTGTTCCCCAGCGGTACCAAATGATAGAATTCCGCATATGAAAATTTGAGCTTTTCTATGTTATTAATCATACTCATGCTATTAGCGTTTGTAAACGATGGGCATAAACTCTGTAACCTTAGGTGAACTCCACGCGTGAAAGGCAAGAACCTAAGTTCGTTTTTATCCTGGCTTGTAGCAAACCAATATACTTTTCTTTGTAAGCTAATTTAAAAGCTATAAAAATGTCGGACGATGAAATGGAAAAATTCGAAATCACAGACTATGATCTGGAAAACGAATTCAATATCAACAGACCTAGGAAAAAGCTGTCCAAACATCATCAGATATATGGTATGGTATAAACAATTTCTACCTTGTTTTCCCTCATTTTCAGCATGCAAGCTGCTGTCATTAAAAGAACTGTTAGATTAAATATGCCCTGCTACAACACAAAATGTATGCTCCGACTTGCTGCTGATGTCAATTGAAGAGCAAAAAATATGTATGATAAAGCTCTCCATGCTCCTCAAAGCTTGGTCATATTATGGTGAAATTCTCAAAAGCAAATCTCCTCTTCCCTCTAAGGCACTTCAGGTTCTGGGATGACTGCTAGCTGACCCTCAATAGCCTTAAAGCAGTTAGAAACTTTTTAACCATTTACCACCAACAGTTGTGTAAAAGGTTGTAATACTGTTTTTAAAAAACATACAAAATATTACTAAATCTAGACCTATATACAATCCATAACTTTTTCAAGACTGATTATAATAATATGCTTTAGAGCAGGATTTCATTGTTACTTTTTAGTTGATTGAACATTTGTATTTGCAAATAAATTATTTTTTATTGTAAAGAATTAGCAATTCTGTACTATGAAGACTCCAATGCAAGAATTGATTTTGTTCAATATCCTCCTGTGTTTATGAATGGGTTAAAGTCCTACATTGTGTTAAAAAAATATGTATGTGCACTACAGAACCACAGTATATCATAGTTGAATAATTCTATTTTTTCAGTGTACATACAAGGCATCTTCTTTCTTTGCTGAAAAGTGTCTAAAGTCTTTATGTTAGCTTAACACATAAATGCCATGGCGGTCCCAACAGGCATATCACACCAGCTAGAGGTCCATATTTTAATTCATTGTAGGCCAGCCTTTTGGTGTATTTTTGTTTTAAATAGTTATTCATTTTTTTTTATTCTCATCATCTATTTCCTACCAGATCTATACAACAACTTTGACAAAACAAACAAGATTCCAGTGAAAATGCATATACATATATAAAATAAGTTATGTTGCAGGGATACAAAATATAAGATAATTTCATTTATTTATGACTTGTTCCGCAACAGTCAATCGAAAAGTGGGGATTTCCTTCACAACTGTCAGAATATTTAGAAACTTTTGGATTCTTATTTTTTGGTATGGCGCCCCTTATTTTTTTACTTATATTTGCAATATAGTCTGACTTCATGTGATTTTCCTTCTTTTTTTTTTTCAGAACATGTTCCCATCTTGTGTCAGCTTTTGATGTAGATGGTAGATTATACACATTTTTTGTTGGGAACATGACTGGCCTGATGGACATTTTTCTAACATTTTGCTTGGCATTTAACATGTTAAAGAAAAACATAACCTCATAATTAAACTGAATTTCCAAGAACTTAAGTAGTTTTTCAAATGATTAATGGTTTTTACCTTTTTTAAGTTGAGAAATCTGGATATAACCTTTAAGCTCATCATGGTAGAATAACCACCATCTAAATAATCATTACTTCTTTCATAGGTATATGGGCAGATGACAGTGATAATGAAGAAAAAGATGAAGGGAAATTTAAGAACAAGAAACCAAAAAACTACACAGCACCAATTGGATTTGTTGCTGGTGGCATACAACAAGCAGGAAAAGACAAGGAACCTAAAGTTGAAAAAAAGGATTCAGATGAGGAAGATGATCACAAACCTTTCACAGGAAGAGACAGCTCTGATTCTGAAGATGATCCACCTGCAAGAGCGGGTCTGTATAAGCTAAAGTATAAAACATAAGCAAATTAAGGAGTACAATATAATATCATAACACAACATGCTTGGGAACATATTTAGACATGTTGTTTTCTAATCATGCCTTGGTTTTTTAATGGGACATGGACATTTAACAATGGAATAATTCAAAACCAAGTAGGAGATTTAAACTGAAAAATGGCAAATTCTTTTATATTCATAAATTTCAATGTTTTGATAATTTTTTTGGTCTTAGACCAAAACATGTACTCACCTTCTTATGGTTCTATTATAATTTTTCATTTCATAATTTAGCCAAGTTCATTCAAAAGAAGAGCTTTAAGAAATTTGCCATTGATGTATTTTAATTAAACATTTTTATTAAACTAATAACAGAAAATATATTATTCAGGGTTTGGATCTGGAAGGGCAACTAAGTCAAATGTTACTGAGATTACTGGTGAAATTGCTGGTTTGCGAAGAAAGGGAGTTGCGGTGGATCAGTCACTAATGAAGCGAGGAGTAGGCAATTGGGAAAAACATACAAAAGGAATTGGTGCCAAACTGTTGTTACAAATGGGTTTCCAACCTGGCAAAGGCTTGGGGAAAGATCTACAGGGCATTGCTGCTCCTGTAGAGGCACAATTGAGAAAAGGCAGGGGCGCAATTGGAGCTTATGGCCCAGAAAAATCAGCTAAAATAGCTTCTATCAAAGTATGTATTTTTTAATGAATGCCTTTTGTGTGAATGAAAAGTAAAGTTAGGTAAGAGTTGTTGGCCAAGCCCATTAGCTGAGGGGTATGATTTTTAACATTGACATACATAGGTTTAGGTAGCTATATAACAGATACAATACATAGTTCAATGTGTCAAAATCACTACATATTTTTTCTATTAGTAACTAGATTTTAAGTATAAGTACTTTGATTTTAGGAAGATAATTTCAAAGTTGATATTGAAGATTCAAATAAACAAAAAGGTGAATCAAAATGGAAGAAGAATGACTTGAGCAAGAAAACTAGATATTACTATAGAAGTGTTGATGATGTTATTGAAAAAGGTAAACGTCCAGGAGCTTATAGAAATTTGGGAATTGCAAGGTAATGATTAAAATAGCCAGTGGCTGAATAGTTTTGTAACTCTGACTTTGCATATATTTTTTTTCAAATGCAGAATTTTGAAGTTGTGTAAGAAATATTACATACTATTTCATACAGTATGCTGAAATTATCAGCCAGGTGTATTTTATATGTTTTTCTTTTCAGTTCTTATGGTGTCAGGATTTTTTTCAAAAACTGTATCACATTCATATATATATATATATTGTGCATGCTCTTATTAAGAGCGGAAAAGCTTTTATAATTCAGCTTGATTTACATGCTAACAACATGATCATTATTTTCAGTGAACTAGCCAAAGTTAAGGTGATTGATATGACTGGACCACAACAAAGGGTACTTAGTGGGTATCATGCTCTCAGTGGACTAAAACCACCAGATGGCTCAGAACACTATGAAGATGTTGTCCGTAAAACATGTTCAAACTTCACTTTACCTGAAATTCAACATAATTTGGATTTATTGGTGGATATGTGTGAACAGGTAATAAGTGGCTAGATTTCATCATTATTTTGTCATAAAATATTTAAATAGATGTTTGTTCTTTATACATCATATGATACTTAAGATTTTGTATTGTTTCAGGACATTATCAGAATAGACAGAGATACGCGTCAGAATGAAGACAAAATTATTGCTTTAAAACATGAGGAGAGGGCATTAAAGGAAACAATAAAGCAAGAGGAAGTTGTAATTGGAAATTTCAAACATGTCACAGAGATAGTTGATAGACTCATGGACCCTGCACAAGGATATTCCTTAGGTCAAATAGCTGAAACTTTTGCAGAGCTACAGGTAGCAAAATATATTTTTTTTATTTTACATGCCAACTTTCAAGGAAGTACAATTTCAAAATAGAGATATGTTTTTTTGATGCTATATGATATATATATACACCTCACAAAAAAACATATATTTGCATCAATATATTCCTAGTCTGTCTGTTAATCCATAATTAGAAATGTTGTCTATAAACTCAAAATGCTTGCTAACATTCTTGCAGAAAGTTTTCTGCGAATCCTATACCATGCCTTAGTTGAAACCCATATAATATACGGCATCACAGCCTGGGGTGCCGCCTGCAAGACATATATTTCTGACCTGAATATAGCACAAAAAACTGTTTTGAAAGCCATTTTCCATAAGCCAAGATTATATCCAACGAACAACTTATATCAAGAAACAGGGATACTTGATACAAGACAACTTTATTTCTTACATGCCACCACCTTATACCATAAGTATTGTAATAAAAAGAAAAAATCCTGTAAACACGAGCATAACACACGATTTCCAATAGGCTCATCTAATATCCAAAGACCACACAAAACATTATTCAAAAAATCATTTAAATTCTTAGCAGCTAAATTATATAATGTAGTACCAAACGAAATAAAGATACTTAATTTTGGAAAAAAATTTAGAAGAAAATTGAAAGACTGGGTTAGTAATGTGCAGCGAATGACTATACATAATTATATAGAAAACTAAAACTACAAAATTCCAATTACATTAATACCTTTTAGATTTAACAATAATTGTTATACACATATATGATTGATTGTTAGCTATTAAGATATAAACCACACACAGGCGATGCCTTCTATGGTTTTTTCATATTTATTTGCCCATTTTTTGTATTTTGGCGAATAAAAAATATTATTATTATTTTGATGAAAATTTGACACAGCATTACTATAATGCCTATGAAAAAAAAGCTTTGTAGGCATTGAAAATCAGTTCAGTGGCGGCAAAGTGATTAGTAAAACGGAAGGTTTCAGAACATCTCAAAACTTTAGTTTCTGAAAAATTTTGGACGTGATCATTAAAATTTTTCAACTCCAGATTTTTCAAACAATCTTGGATTCTGTTTTCTCTTTGACATTTTTCTTCTTTCTGGTCTGGTAATAAAAAGAAACTCAACAAGTTCAGAAAACATCAAGCATTTCTCGTATTTAAGTTGTCTTATTAACACTTTGATTTTTTTCTTGGAAGTCCAGTCTAATCTACTTCAACCGAGTTTTTCTAAAAACTGTCTATGTACCTGACTAATGCTCATTCAAATCTTCTAGGAAACCTATAGAGAGGAATACAACCGGTTCCAACTGGGCGAACTAGCTCCAGGACTAATCGGCACCCTATTGACGTCCGCGCTGGTTAGCTGGAACCCATTGACCCATCCTGGCCAGTACACCGAGGTTTTCGCGCAATGGAAGGAACTATTGACCGATGACAGTGCTGCCAGTGCCGGGCACCAACTACAAGGTAATAATTCAGGAATACAGCCGTACGATAGTCTCATATGGCATACTTGGATGCCTGTTATGAGAAATTGTGTTAGGTAAGTTACATCCGACATTCTTCTTATAAGCTACTACTACATGGAATCTAACGCCTGCAGTGGCCATGTGATTTATGCGAAAGCGTTTTATCTGCTTTATTTCTCACGCTAGTAGGCGAGAGAAGTATTGTAACCGAATGTTATTACTTTCCGCGCATAAGCGACGGATCACATGCATTCTTAAAATATAGATAACTTTTTTGGCGTTTTGTAATGTCTGTATTAGAAAAGCCAGCCGACTCAATTTCCCTCCGTCTATGTGTTGGTATTTTTCTAGCAACATCACCAATATTTACGAAATTTGGGAGTAGTATGCTTCCAAAGACATTTTATCGACAACAGGTGCAAAAGGTTCCTTTTTGACTTATATGTTACTAGGAGTGACAGGATTTGATTCTAAATGAAGCCACATTGAAATTATCATGTCGCAGTCAACATTCTGAAGGCGGAGCATATGTATGGCGACTGCTAGCAATAAATTTCATCAGTCGCAAGACGGTCGAAATTTTGATTACGACTAGTGTAGCTAATAATCTGCGATTGCGACTGACCTAATTTGTAGATGACTTTCCGTTGTCAAATGGTAGTGTTTCTGTCTCGTTTTCGTTGAATAGTCGTTTTGCTTTAACATAATGTTATGCGCTTTCGTCCATTACCGAATATAGTGAGTGAACTACAAGAAGAGGACGATTGGCCGAGCCCTCGTGTGTGTCGTAGGATGTTAAGGGCTAACAAAAATCTATTTTTGTATTACCAAGCGTCACTTCAGAGAAAACAATTTTGGAATTACTGGATCAATTATCTTTCCTGACGAGACTGGAGATCAGAAGGCAACTACCCTGTAAGATTGGAGAATAAGAAAGTTGAGGTTCATCAAGGCATTCAATGAAAATATTGTTTCACCATTGTTCAGGCTAAGGAAGGTATAGCCCAACAAAATGTTTTGAGGATGATTTACATATGAATTTTCACAGTGGATGAAAGGCTTTTCGCATATGTGAAATATCTATTTGTTCTATTCAATAAAATGCATTAATTAGCTCAGTTGTTCACGTTGTACATTAGTGTAATGTAGAATTTTCGGTATTATCAAACATATTTTTCTGAGCTCTTTATACCTGTCCTCATTGGTTAAGAAAGCAGCTAAAAAATGTACGGATCCCCTATTTGGGCAGGCTCACAATAAGTTGATCTTCTTCCAGTAATATTCTGTGTAAGTGATTGTTGTCCATTGTTCGATTTTAATGCCTATCACGTGTGAAGGAATGAGATATATTCGATTGCAGACTGCTGCCGCGATATTCTATGAATGGTTGTGTAAATTTTTCTGACCCAATTTAATTTGACTGATTCTGACAAAAATGTCAAAACCAGACAAAATACATAACCACAACTTTCCTGACATAATACGGCCTTGTCAGATCAAATATGTTCTTAGCTGGAATGAACTGAAGCTAAGTGCGTAGGAATACTGTTCTTAACTTAAAGTGAGATTGACCAAGATTGAACTTTAGCTGAAAACGGTGTAGTTTTCACATCTATTTAACAACTATTTCGAATACATAATGTAAGTTAATTATTTCATCAGTTTTCATACAGATTGTTACAAAATCCTTTCATGTGTTTCCAGAATGTTGGGTATAAAGTTACAAGGTCTTCATAAAATTACTTTATTATTGCCGCTAAACCCAAATTATAATAAAATGTATTTCCTAACTACATAATATACATGGTGATATTTTTTGTCTGAGTGAGTTTCTTGTCATTTGCTTATTTTCTAATTTTGTATTTCAAAAATGTATATTTCTTGTCACGTGTTTACCCTCTAGAGAGCGGCATATTTTCAAAGTAAGTAGCATGTAGTTTTCTACAATTTTTGTAAACAACTTTTTTAGGTAGCTTTTAAAATTACAAAGCTATCGACCGATCATACACTACTTTCTCTCTCTGTATGTATATCCAATCCATATAAATTTATCTACGTGCATAGAATCTCCACAAATTATACGAATAAAAGATTTCATTATTCAGTAGGAAAGATTCTAACAAGGTGTGTATTTGAAGGATTACTTATTTTGAAGTGAATGGCTAATCTATATTGACTTTTCTTAAAAAAAAACATCTCATACAGTTCACCTCCGTATTATGAAGCATTGTGAAACCGAAACGTCAAAAATCCCGTGTTCATTTTCTGTGGTTTTATCAAGTAAAATAACCTTAATTAGATTAATCAGTTAGTCGAGTACACCATAAGTTACAGAAGATATACGAGTATTACATGTTAAATTGAAGCTATCTTATGTTATATGCATTCAATTCAGATATCACATACAATAAGCTAAAATTACTGTCGCCGTGAGTTATCCGATATCTCCCACCCAATGTTCTGTTCCTGAAAAAAATATATATTTAATGTGTGCAAGTTGATGATAAAATTTAGAGCCGGTATCTGATTTAAATGCCAAAGTCAAGACATAACCTAATCATTTTAGCTCTTCCAGGCAAGATATGTGTACCACACTGTCGATCAACAGTTATTTTTGCATTCTATCATAGTATTTGTTTAATTAATTTTTAAATCTGTTCGCTGAATTACAATCTTGAGAAAGTCTCTTTTCTCTGTATTTTGCCTAGATTTTTTTTTCTTTGGGCGACCTTAGTGTGGTTTCATGCATCAAAATAAAAAATGAAAGTAGATATACGACGGATGTCTTTTAAGTTTTACATATGGAAATAAAACAACACGGTAGGTAGTTTTAAATGACTCTATTGTTTTTCGAAGTATTCTCCACGAAGATTAATACACATCTGCATGCGCTCGAACCAATTTTCGAAGCACTTATTCCACTCGTTTGCTGGCAGATCCAAAGCGGCATTTTTGAATGCGTCAACTGCTTCTTCTGGTGATTGGAACCTTTTGACCACGCAGTCTGTTTTTAATTTTCGGGAAAGTAAAGAAATCGTTAGGGCTTAGATCGGGACTATATGGAGGATGGTTCAATAATTCCACGTTTTCTTCCGTTAAATACTGCCTTGTTTTTTGGGCTGTGTGCGAGCTTGCATTGTCTTGCTGGAGGATGATTCTTCTTTCGGGGTTGATTTTTCGAAGCTCAGTGATGACTTTTGGCAAACAAATAGTGGTATACCAATCCGCAGTAACAGTTCTTTGCTCATTAAGAGGAATTGTTGCAATATGACCCGCTTTTGACACAAATGTCGCGATCATGTTTTTCGAAACACTTCGAGAACGGATGACTTTTGTTGGCTTTTCTTCACCTTGGAACACCCAAACAGCCGACTATCGTTTATTTTCTGGTTCATAACAGTAAATCCACGATTCATCACCCCTAACAATGCTGTACACATTTATTGAGTTTCCGGAATTGAAACGGTCAAGCGTTTTTTGACACCAATTAACCCTGGCTGCTTTCTGCTCTTCAGTCAACAGGTGGGGTATCCAACGAGAAACTAATTTTCTTATTCCTATCCTGTCACATGTCTATCTTCAATGATGAGTTTGCGCACAGCATCGACGTTTTCCTGGGTGACTGCCGTTTTTGGTGGACCCACCCTGGGATCGTCGATAAGACTCACCCGTCCACGTTTGCATTCTTCATACCAACGTGAAATTGTCGACTGATGTGGCGCTTCGTTGCCGAAAACAGACAATAACTCGGCAAGGCATTCTTGTTGCGATAATTGTCTCTGAAAGTTGTAATAAATTATGGCGCGAAAATGTTCTCGGTTAAGTTCCATTTTTCTAATGACTTGGTGACACTTAAAAATTCACTGTAGTGAGAACACTCTACGTATTGTTGTGAAACTTTGAATTTAAGTTTACTAAAGTGTGAGGTTAAGATTCAGTACTGACGTTCGATCCGCGCGACATACTATGTTTCTATATGCCAAACTTAAAAGACATCCCTCGTATCACTGTTTTGTCTCGGAAATATCTGTGTAGTGGCCTATACGAATAAATTCAAAATAGAAATTTTAGAGTTGCCAACAATTTCAATGGTGCCTGAGGTATGACGACAGCATAAGCTAATTCCAATTGACAATAGATGGACTTCTGCCATGATAATTTCAACCACATTTCCAGAGTAACCACAATTTTTCAGCAGGCGCCAGGGTATGACGTCATGGTGAATAAAATGTGATTTAAAACAACGATTTTTTACAGTTTCACACCTATTTTCCTTAGTACTATACAGTGTATGTTATATTCTTATAATTTAGAGCATCCTTTTTTAAAAAAGCAAAAAAAGACAGCATATAAAACAGTATTCTATTCTAAAGTATTACCACCAAAAATGCAACTTCGAAGTTCTACAAAATAGCAAGCAGAGGGTTCCTTGAAGAAAAAATGATATTTTCGTAAAAGTTACTTTCATTTTAAAGTAAGAAATGAAGTATTTGCGGTATGCGCGAAAGTATAGTCTTACCCTATATTTTCAGACCTTTATCCACTCAACGAACTATAATGGTATACAGTATACAGACGAAATAATTCTGGCAACGCTTCTATGTGGACGCAATTTTCTAAAATGTTTAGGTTACGGTTGAAATCGTTACATACAGTTTCTATAATAATGATCATTCTAAAAATACATTTTCTAAAACACTCTGTGAAACGACGATATGTGGTGTGCAGCCACAGAAAAATGCGTTTAAAATTTTAGCCCAGAAAATGTCATCAAACTACTCAGGATGGCTCATTCCAATTATTCGTCTTACTGTAAAGTCATATTTGCCTTCTTCTCCACAACCAAATGGTGTTTTCTGTAAACCATCGACGTTCATTAAGTTGCTCTGCCAGAGGAAAACGATATAAAAACAAAGGGAAAACTTCGTAAACTGGTCGCATAACCATAACAACTGATGATGGGATGACAATGATAACTCTATCACTATGACCGCTATCGTGAATACCAACATCAAAGAGAGCAAAATTTATTAACTACCAACACTGATTAACAAATAACCCAGTAAAAGTGCCAACATTGAAATTTGATGAGCTCATTGTTCGAGTGACTTTCAGCGATCGCCGTCGTGTGGAATCCAGTCCCTGGATTCTTAAAAAAGACCAAGTTCGTAAGTGCGTTGATCATAAAAATGAATAAATAAGATTATGCTTACAGTTATAGGACTTCAAGAATTCTGCATTCAAAAAGTCTTAATGATATAGCATTAATTGGAGGACTGATTTTTTTAAGAACTACACTACATGGTGAAAAAATTGAGTTAATCTATTTGATTTTTTACATGTGATTATTCAGCTCACTTTTCGCGGAACCAACATTTGGTACTTATCTTTGGGGCTCCTCACGAAGATGATTATGGAAAAAAACTGATGTGGATGGAATATCTTTTATCTTTCCAATATAGAATAAATCCAGATTTTACATGGGATCTTGTAGATTTTTTTATTTAGACAAAGTTGGGGTTTTCCTTTTCAGAAACAACTACCCTTGAAATAACAAAGGTAATGTGTAGTGAAACGAGGGTGACCAATTAAAAAAAATAAAAGAAAAAGTACTCACTCTCCAGTTGACGAGAAGGGCTAAGTACGTCTCTGCCCGAAATCATACCGCTCCAACAGAAAATGAAATCAGCTGATGCACTACCGCGCAGACGCCGGCGGTGGTGCAGACCACGAACAGAGGTAACAAATATGACAAATTTGGGAGAATAAATGGTCCAATGAGCATACCGTTCACCATGGCAGCCCAAACATTCACCGAAAATGTTTGTTGAAAATGTGCCCGACGGACAGCGTGCGGATTTTCTACTGACCAAACATGAGTGTTGCGAAATTTATTCACCCCATTACGCGTGAACGTAGATTCGTCTGTCACCAATATGCACTTCAAAAAGTCCGGATTATAGTCATGTTGATGCAACAACCACTCACAAAACCGCACTCTTGCTGGAAAATCGTCAGGTTGAAGGGCTTGTACACGTTGGGCGTGAAACGGATACAGCCCCTCTTCACGAAGCGTTCGCCACACTTTAGTTTTTGATACTTGCCCTTCTCTAGCCACGTCTCTAGTGCTTGTTGTTTTTTGAAACGCAATCGATTATACGGGTTCGTTTACCTCTACACGCGTGACCGTAACCGTCGGTTGAAGGTTGCATACTGACCTGACACACTGACCCCGACCCACTTGTACCAGTCGGTGATATCGCGGGTCGCGGCTACAGGACGGTATTCAGATATTTTTGATGTTGCAGAGCCTTTTATCTCGGTTCCCTTAAGACATTGGTGTATATGGTACTAAGAAAAATTGCTTATGTTTTCAAGATCTACAAGTCGTGTAAAGGAAAACCCCAACTTTGCGGACACCCTGTATAAAAATGTGTTACCAGATAACCAAAACGGCAGTAACCTGTTAACGACTTTCTCTGTTCAGAATGGCATTGCGAGGGCAACATGTTATTCCTTTTTACTTCCTACGCCACTGAGGGGGAATTATTGTAGCCGCTAAAAATGGGATATTATGCTTTTTGGATGTAATATGAGATTTACATCATGAAAAACATGTCATTTATATCCGTCGGCCTCTCTGCTAATCCTTGGTCCGTCTCTAACTTAGAAAGTATATTCAGATCGATTTTGAAGAAATTTTCACACAAGGGTACTACTATGCCAAGAACGGGAAAGCTCTATATTTTTATTGAAAATCGGTCCGGCAAAAAAAAAACGAAAAAATAAAAATCAAGCAAATATTATTTGGCGTTTACTAGGCCACTGATCATTTTTTGGGGGTAAAAAATTGGGACTTACAGAATATCTTTTCATATACTTTCCCCATGCAAAATGACCAGTTTCGTTCTCTGTAGCCATAAGTTGAAGAAACCTAGTATGCTAGAATTAGTTTCACGCTGGTTATGAATTGGGGGTTGGGAGCAGTATGGGAGGGGGAGGGTAAATCTCAATTTTCTGCTTCCTAACCCCGATAATTCTAGTCATATTTCACACATTTTAGATTTGCCCCTAAATGTTTGCAATTAGAACTTAAAATGCTGGAGATTTTTTTAAATCCGCGTTTCTGCTTCTGCTCTCTTGTGTTTACCGGCGTTACGGACACTTGGTGAGTGTCCTGCCGTTACTGTCACGCTGCAGAGTCTGACGTGTGGTGCAGTGTCTATGGACTAATTGTATGAACCTGTTTGACTGACTTGATCCGTTTAATTTCTTTGTCATACATTTTCGTAGCTAACTTTTTTCTTACTGCTGCTGAACATTATTTCTGAACAGATGACGGCGTTGCATAGGAAGCTCGGCGTGAAGCTACATGACGCCTTTTTTTATGTATCTTTTGGGAAGTATTTTTTATACTGACATATACTCACATTAAATAACAACCAATTTACTTCGTATCCAAAAAAAAACAAAACAGTTAATTCGTCTCAGTTTCACTATTTGACATAGGTAATTCTTTTTTTATAGTGCGTGGAACTGCCGAGATTGTGATCCTCTCATAACATTGATCGACACCTGGAAACCCCTTCTACCGCACTGGATACTCGAATACATGTTCGACCAGCTGATCATGCCTAAGATTTTGAAAGAAGTCGAAGAATGGAATCCTCTCACTGATACCATTCCTATTCATATATGGATACATCCATGGATTCCTCTTTTAGGTGAAGTACTATTAGGTTGTTGATGTTTTAATTTGATTAGAAACAAAAACAACAAATGAAAAATTTGATAGTCTTAACGTGGGTTGGCAGCAGCACAGTGTTCAGGACTAAAAAGAAATCGAATATCAATCATTGACCTATCAATTCGCATCATAAAGAGGGAAGCTTTAGAGACGTGTATGCTAACACATTTACATTCATGTGGAATAAGCAGAACTTCTAAATGTGTGTCTTCTTTCAGATGCGAAATTACAAGCTAGCATTTATCCTCTCATCCAGGAGAAACTTGGCAATGCTCTTGCCAATTGGCATCCATCTGACAGGTCGGCAAAATTAATGTTACAACCTTGGCAAAGGGCACTGTCGCAAGGATCATTTGTGGCTTTTCTACTTAAACATGTTGTTCCGAAATTGCAGCTATGTATGCAATCTTTTGTCATCAACCCACATCAGCAGCATTTAGGTAAGTTACATGACGGTAAAATTGAATACTAAAATTTTCGGGAGAAAAGGAGTCCAAGTGGACTTGGTATCATTGTAAGACTATTCTAAAAAAAGCTCTTGTTTCTTTCACACCATGATCCTCTGTGAAGGAACTTCACAAATATTATTAATTTCAGATCAATGGAACTGGGTAATGGATTGGCAGGACATGCTTTCTGTCGGAAATATGACACTCATTTTGGACAAATTCTTCTTTCCTAGATGGCTTCAAACATTGGCCATGTGGTTAAATCAGAATCCCAATTATTCACAAGTTATGGAATGGTACTCTGGATGGAAACGTATGCTATCAGAAGAATTATTGAATCAACCCAACATCAAAGGTAATTACAAATATCATTGTTGTTCAACTTCAAGAAAGTTCACTGATTTGTGAACGAGGCACTGCACTGTAATGGAACCTAGTAGGCAGTCAATCGTATCACCAGTAAATGTGAGATGATTACATATCAATTTTATTTTTCAGAAAACTTTCACAAAGCTTTAGAAATGATGAATCGCGCGGTTGGCTTAGGACAGCAACCAGGTGCAAAAGAATCGATCTCATATCTGAAGACCATGGAAGAGAATGGGTCCTTGCCTCCCCCACCGCCTCCGCCAAGAGTTGAGGTAAGTTTTTATTCATGTTCATCAACAAAAATTGTTTTTCATAATTATAAACGCATTGGAAAAATATAGTCAAAGAATCCCAGTGTCTGAAGAATATAATCATTCTTAATGACAAAGCTAACTTAGAACTAAACTGTAACATACAGGGTTTGTCCGGAAAGTAATAGGACTGAGTCGATTTAAAAAAAAATATTGAGCCAATCGTTACAATTCTTTAAAAACTTTCAAAATAGGCTCCTTCTGCGTCGATGCTGCGCTGCCAGCGCGATTTCCAAGCATTGAAGGCGCCACGGAAGGCATTCTCCGGAATAGTCTTGAGAGCCGCGGTGCTTGCTGATTGGATCCCCTCTGTCGTCTCAAAATGCTTGCCTTTCATCGGCCTTTTCAGGCGAGGAAACAAAAAGTCCGAGGGGGCCACATCTGGGCTGTATGACGGCTGCGGAAGCGTTGGGATGCCGGCCTTGGTCAGGTAGCTGTTCACAAGAAAGGCGGTGTGTGCCGGGGCGTTGTCGTGGTGCAACTTCCAGTCGGCTGCGATGTCTTGTCGGACCCGACTGACCCTTCGTTTGAGTCTCCTGAGCACTTCCACGTAAAACTTGGCGTTGACGGTTTGTCCAGGAGGAACGAATTCATGGTGGGCGATGCCTTTGATGTCAAAAAAGACAATGAGCATCGTTTTCACTTTGGATTTGCTCATTCTTCCCTTTTTTGGGCGAGGAGACGCCGTCGTGAGCCACTCGTAAGATTGCCTCTTTGTCTCGGGATCATACTCAAAGATCCACGACTCGTCACCTGTGATTACGTTATTCAAAAATTGGGGGTCACTTTCACACATATTCAAATTTTCTTGGTACACTTCCACTTGCCGCAATTTCTGGTCGGGACCATCTTCGCGCACACCTTGCGCATGTTCAAATGCTGTGTCACAATGTCATGAACCACAGATTTTGGTAAATTTAACATCTGGGCAATTAAACGAATGCTTAGTACTTAGTCGATGGTCCGAGTTCAAAACTTTGCGCACACGAGTAACATTATCGGTGTTTGTCGAAGTCGAAGGTCTTCCAGCACGGTCTTCATCAGCGACCTCTTCCCGGTCCCTCCAAAAAGGCCTGGTGCCACCGAAACACACCACTTCTACCTAAAGCAACACCTGGGTAAGCCTGCTTGATCATATCAAACGTCTCTGTCGCAGATTTACCGAGTTTCACACAGAATTTAATCGCGTACCTCTACTCTAACGAACGCCGCATTTTCGGCTTGCACCACTCACAAAAACACGTCGCGCGAAAATGTCTGTCCTGACTCTCCAAGTGCTCGGAGACAACTGACCAGCCGATCATTCGTTAGCTAGGAACGCCCTCTACCGAATCCAGTCGGTGCGCGCACGCTCCGAACTACAGTCATGGCGGAAGAAAATGAGTCCTATTACTTTCCGGACAAACCCTGTAATTACATATGTGGATCTTAAGTAGGTGAACTGTAGAACTCTCACATATAATATTGTTTACATATTAAAAAAGTTTCTAGATTCACGGCGGAATTTTTTTGTTAGCATCATGGAGAAACATGTAAATTTTCAGACCATTATAAATGATTGAGTCTTTCACAGGTGTTGATTTACGACTTCTACGTTTTCTTCTAATATTGTAACTTTAATTTATTTAATATTCCAAATTTAGATTTATTTTTAAAAATAAGTGTTGCCGTTTCCAAAATGCACAATGTTTCGACTGTCGTTATTTTAAAATTTTAATATAAAATTAGCTTTAACACTGCTTTTAGTTATATATCTAATAGTTTGTTTTTGTAGAATAAGCACTTTATTTTGGGAACTGGCATACCAGTCTACTTTCAAACAAGGCAATTTTAGTTTATGATGAATGGACAGTCCCAAAAATTTGATGGTGTCTGTTTTGCTTATCAATTCATTGTTTAAATTTATACAGTCAAGCAGTTGTCACACCACTTTTCGTTTGATTGCATATCACCAGCAATGTTTGTCTTGATTTCATTTATATTTGAGTATTACAAATGTCTTGTAATATCATTAGGAAAAACTACGTATTTACCGTGTATGTAAGACTAGGATCGGACCTTATACCAATCCTTGAGGTGCCCCTGCGTTTATGTTTAATTTATTTTAAACATAATATCTTGTTAATTTTACAGTTTATATTTAAACAGGTTTTAAATCAATTTAGTGAACTTTCGGTACAACCATATTTGAAGTGTATGACTTCTAAGGCTTTCATTGAATTTCACCTACAAACTTACACCAGATTTGTTATCTTCGCACCCGATTTAACTAGGAAAAAGGTTTGAAACCATCGATTTCAACCGGACTGTCAATAGATTTGTGATCTACGCACCCGATTTAATCAAAGAAGGGTTTTGTCCAGATTGCAGATACGCAAGATTGTTTGACTCTATCTACTCTGACGGGACACTCATAATGTTTGTAATCTACGCACCCAATTTACTAAGAGACGTGTTTTTGTCCGAATTACGGATATACAGAATATCGTTTCATATACTTTCCCCTTGCGAAAAGACCAGTTCCGTTCTCCGTAGCTATAAGTTGAAGAAACCTGGTATGCTAGAATAAGTTTAAAGCGGATTATGAATATAGTATTCAAAAGCATTGTGCAGTCCTATGTACATTAAGAAAATGGGTCTTTTACTTCCCTCGCCTACTGGCGGTAAAGGGTGGAAAAAGAAAAAATAAATCGCTCAAAAGCTATCATTTTTGGTAGGAAAAAAGCACGGAATGATATTTCTAGTTCTATCAGCTTAGAGTTGGATGGTAAGCTTATACCTTTAGAAGATAGTGTCAAAAATCTTGGCATCCTAATTGATAATGACCTCCGTTTTCATGGCCACATCACAAATAAAATTAGGGCATCATTTCCTAAATTAAAACTAATTTATGCTCAAAGAAGGATATTGAGCCATAATTGGAAACGTACTCTGTGCGATTCTTTAGTCCTTTCTACGTTTAATCATTGTGACGTTGTTTATCATTCCCGTATAACTAAAGCTGACAATGATCGAATTCAACTCATGCAAAATTCATGCACGCGTCTGATTTGTGGATTGGATGAAAATGTTTCAGCGCCGAATACTTCACTGTTTGGTACTATACTATAACTATCTAAAACTGTAATGACTCATCGATGTTCACGTGAACATCACTTAACTACCAGTAGTCGGCTGTTCATAGGCGGGGTATGAATGTTTAACATGGGTGAACTAGATTTGTCACATGCTTAATAAAGAGTGGTTTTAAACATATTGTAAGTCAAACATTTGGGAATTACCTTTATTCATCGTCGCTTCCACTTCCATCTGACAGTAATAAACTGTCGCTATCGCTTTCCTCGTTGAAATTAACTGGCTCTATGATGGTGTCGATGTGGTGGTCAAGCTGCCACATTTTTGTTTCTTCCTTCACAACATGACGGATAGCATTCTGCCAAGCTTCGGGCGTTACTAGCTGTATGGAAGTCTCAAGTAAAACCTTAACGTCTGGCAATTTGAAGGTTGAGTTATGGCGCGCAATATAACCCTTCACTTTAGCCCAGATGAGCTCTGTTGGGTTCAGTTCACAGTGGTAGGGCGGTAACCGCAGCACAGTGACACCACATTGACGGGCCATCTCATCAGTCACGTAACTAATGTTCGCAGGTTTGTGCTGTTTAATTTTTTCATACAATTCCGCTTCCACACATGAATCGTCAAACTGGATTCCTTTTTCGCGCAACCATTGCTGCATGTCACTTTTTCGAGATCCCACAGTCGGTACACGTACGGCTCGATGACTATGGTAGGAAGCATTATCCATGACGATCACAGAGTTGGGCTCAACTCGCTGAATCACCCCTTGAAACCAGCTCTCGAAGCAGCTGGCATTCATTTCGTCATGGTAATCAACTCCTTTCTTAGAGACGAAAATCAAGTCACACTCTTCTAAAAAGCCACTATCGCTACCAATATGAGTTACGATCAATCTTTGACCTTTCCCTGACGGTCCACGAAGACCTGTTGACAAACCTTCAATGCTTGCTTGTCGGTTACTCACTACGTTTTTGTCTATTCAGGTTTTTTTAACTGTGTGACCTGCATTTACCCATGTCTCGTCCAAATAATAGATTTTTCTGCTTTGTCGCCTATATTCAATCATTTCGCGTAGGTATTTTCGACGCCAGGCGACTATTTCAGGTCTCTCTATCAATACTGACTTCCGATTACGCGTTTCGTAACGAAAATTAATTTCGTGCAGGGATTTCCTCATTACCTCGACGCTCATTTGGGGTATAATTTCATTTTCCTTGATCGCTGCATGTACAGCCTTGAGGGTTGGTATCTCATTCCTAAAGAAGAATGAATGTACGGTTCGCCTTAACGCCATTTTGCTATCGTCATCCAATTTAACGGCCTTTCGTCCCTTCAAATTAAACTTTGGATCAGTAGTAGCTTCAGTTTTCTTCTTTTCATGCACCACCCTGCGAATGGTCCACTCTGGAACGCCTGTCATACTTTCACAACGCGCGAGAGCATCTCCCTGTGACATAGTTCTGTTCAGATAATTGAACACGTTGAGCACGATTTCTTTCGCGTCCCTCTTCAGTGCTTTACGAAGCCGTCTACTTGTTCCCTGGCTTTCAGTACTTCCACTCGTGCCATTTGTACTCTCCATGGTTAAGAATAACCAAAACAGTAACCACAGAAATCACAACAATAACAATCACACAACAATTCTTATAAAAACACACAATATGCGATCGCTCAACGAAACACGTTCCAATGCGTTGCCGACGTCTATGAGTCTGCCGGTCGAGGCACGTCTTTGATTTCATTGGTTCTACCGGCGGAGAACAATCAGCCATTATTTCCATCTCTGTCTGTGCTGTTGACCACCGCAAAGCCACAGAAACGACATAGGTCGTACGCTATACGGCTGTACTGGAAGGAAGCCGGGATCGAGCTCTGATCACGCGTATGAGTCATTACAGTTTTAAATAGTTGTAGTATATATCATAAAGTGATTAAGTTCAATTGAGGGTTGAATCACATAATGTCAATGTGAGAAGCAAGAATTTGATAAGTCCTCCATGTCACATCACTTCTCAGTACGAACAGTCTTTTTCATACTGTATTTATAAGTTGTATAATCAGTTACCTTCGGACCTTAAGTCAAAAACACGCTAAGGCTTACGTTATGTCAAAATATTCTTTCTAATTTGATTAAGTTTTTTGATATTAGTTCAACTTGGTATTCTCAAGTTGTTGCTACTTTATATATGTATGTACGTATTTATGTATGCGTTTGAAATGCATGACCATGCTTTTTTACGCTCAGATACTTGCATGTAGGTATACTTTTTTTTGTACAAAACCTTTCTTTTCTTGTTCTTTCTATTTTTTCTTTTTCTTTTTTTTTTGTCAATTTTCGGGGTTGAGTGGAAGAACACTATTTTTGTGAACTCCGCCTTTTGGATCATATGTCTATCTGTATAGCATGTTTCCAATAAAGTCGATTATTATTATTATTATACTTTCCCCTTGCGAAAAGACCAGTTCCGTTCTCCGTAGCTATAAGTTGAAGAAACCTGGTATGCTAGAATAAGTTTAAAGCGGATTCTGAATATAGTATTCAAAAGCATTGTGCAGTCCTATGTACATTAAGGAAATGGGTCTTTTACTTCCCTCGCCTACTGGCGGTAAAGGGTGGAAAAAGAAAAAATAAATCGCTCAAACTTCGTTTTTTCTTGAGCTTTCAGAGGATGTTGATCATTTTAGAAAAAAAATGTATAGGTAAAATTTGGGGGTGAGCGATATCTCAATTTTTTTGTATTAGTCTATTTATACACTCCCAACCTTGGAAATTCCACGCACCTTTTAGACATATTTCCCCGTACATTAGGCCTATTTTCAGCAGCCTATTTAACGGCCGCGTCTGCTCACGATCCTGGTAAGTGTACCAGGATAATTTATTTTGGAATCCGAATGGCCATTAAAAAATGCTAGTGTCGCCAAGTTCTATTTTGGCATAGGAACTTTCGAGGATATTTCCATCGATCCCACGAAATCTACCAAAACAGGAGATTTACCAATGCAAAATGCCCATTTTAGTCGTCAAGCGAACGAATATGGATACCTTGGGGATTTTGGGATGCCGATTTCGAAAATGGTGACCAAAATCTAACTAAAGCATCTGAAGACCTATTTAGAGTAGGGAAATGGATCTCTTGCTGCTCAGCGTTAACTCCAGCAAAAACCGACCAATGCACTTGTTTTACTCGAAAGACTCGTTTTGTCGAGATTACAGTTTTGAAATAATTTTCGAAAATCACCCTAGCAAAAAAACCATTTTATTGTCTTGTGGCTACATTAAACGAAACTTGGCACAGTGTTCATTTGGTACGCTCATTTTGAATATGGTCAACTAAAAATCCTGAAATAATATGAAACCCTATTTCTATACCTCAGTCAGACTAGGTCAAGTTCAAATAAGTACATAGTTGTATTGTATTTTATTGTGTGCGACATGATTCATAAAGTCTTAAGTTCCTCATTAGGTAGGTAGAATGTGCAAGTAGCAAATGAGAATTAGGAATATTATGATGGGCTTAACATACAAAACTCATTTTAGACTAAAATGGACTTATGCTATTCTGGCTGTGAAGTACAGATTTGGAGTATGAAAATGTGTGTGTCTGTTGTCGACCCTTGTGGCAAACGTCAGATTACTGATATATTTTTGGACTATTTGTGTAAAACGTTAGCTCAAAATAACACAAACATTTCTTTCCAGACGATTGCCGAAGCGGTGAAGACCGCTTCCCAAATACCTCAGGGCTTCAAGGATCTGGTGATGAAACGGTGTGAAGAACGAGGAATATTGTTTATCCCAATTGTCAACAAATACCACGAAGCCAAACAGGTGTACAGATTAGGCAATGGAGGCTTGCAATGCTACATTGATAGAAACGTCATCTTCTACTGTCAAGGTGGATCTACGTGGCTGCCAACTTCCTTGAATAAGTTGCTCGATATGGTTTAAATGTGAAGTGTAAGTTGAATTGGGTGTCTCAATGAAAATTAGGAATACAATTTAACCAGTTCAAATATGCAATTTTATCATCTGAATGTGAAGCCCAGGTATTAAGCTTCAAAATTCATCTTAAAGTTGAAAATGATATTTGGGCATGTCAAATATTATAATAAAATCTTGAATGTTTGATTTCATTAATGTAAAGAATAAAAGTGATGTTTTCCATTTTTTGACGCGACATCATTACTACATGACTGTAAATAGCTGTAAATTATTAATAAACGTTTTGTATTTTATTTACGCCTTTTATTTTCCTGAATGCAATACTTAAGTTTTTACTAGCCTAAACCCGCGGCTCCGCTCATATATCAGCATCTCAGCAAGTGAGCAGCCTATCAGACTGATCAGTTCCAGAATACTGGTTGACGCGGAATCTGCCACAGAGCCATCCAACTACAACGGGTTACGCTGCTTTTTCAGCTTAGATGTCAAGACCGTTTTGCTGCCACCAGCCACGAGAATTTTGCCGAGTTAAAAAACATTTTAAAACAACAAAAGACTCGTTTATTTTCAAAATTTGACAGCAATTTATGAAACAATAAAATGACACCACGAGTTGTGACGTCACTCCGAAGTGCGCGAAAAATACGGCGTTTAAATCAACGTCATTGACATTTAACTTATAAATATTCAACTGAAAAAAATAATACAGACATTTCCATGGATAGAATATGCGTTTACGGTATTGAATCAACGTTAATAATCGACAGCCAGTACAAAAAAGCAAAGATGCATATTCCCTATTAGTGCAAAATAAAGTGTTTAACCATTGACGGTAACAGGTTCGGTGGAGGGCTTGAAGCGGACGCTGGAGATTGGTACTTGCCGCGACAGTTTGCAAACTTGACGATGAGTTCGCGGATAAAACCATGACCAATAATATTCCTCAGCTATCAATAATTAGCGAGTGTAGAAATGTATACGAGATCTGTAAATTAAGTGATGACTCTGCTTTTAAATTTCCTTATTCAAATTTAACTACAATTTTATATCATCACCCTCAAAATAACTTACTTCAGAAGCCACACAGCGGTGGAGACGGTTCTTCCACTCGTGATCGCAAAGCTGGAACTCTGATACTGGAATAGCCTTGAGCTTGGTCTGTTACAGCCGTTTGAATGTTCTCGACTGTTCCAAAGTGAGTTCCCTTGAGGAAGAGAAAAAAGTCACAAGGACTCAAGTCAGGCTAATAAGGAGGCTAAGTAGGCGCATTATTGTTTTTACTGTCCAAACACCCGTTTATTTACATTGTTGGGTGTGACAAAAGTATATATACAAATGTGAATATTTACCTAAATACCTTTAGAAAACGAATTCATACTTCATTGCTCCATAAACAAATGCGTTATTAGTAGAAAAACTAAATTCCTTGTTTTTACATTATCTGCAATGAACACAATACAAGTCTGAATATAAGCACTTTTTTATGAGGGACAAAAATGTGTAGACAAATTCTTTTCAACATTAGTTTAAAACAGTTGCGTGTCAGAAAAGGATTAGTTTGTGTTCATCAAGTAGTGTGGAATAAGACGAGTGATTTTAAGACCACGCCGCGTGGTCCAGAAATGTCTTTCGATGTGAAAACTAAGACCATTGAGTTATACAAAGATGGTCAACGTCAAGTCGACATTGCCAAAAATTTGAAGCTGAAGCGTTTGGGCAATATTGAACAAATATAAACAAAAAGGTATATCTTATATATCCTTCGTATGGATAAGTTTGCATGTCATGTTACCCTATATGGAAGACAATATGCCCTTGAGATCAATCTTCCAGCAAGATAATGACCCGAAGCACACTTCAAATTCTTTCTGGACGAAAAAATACCAGTTCTCAAATGGCCTTCACAGTCTCCCGACTTCACAGTCTCTCCCCTGGGAATACTTAGATAAGCAAATACGACATATATATTATTCAAACAAGGATGAACTTTTTGCTGCTGTAGAGCAAAAGTGGAGACAGATTGAAAGACATTGGTGTATATGGTACTAAGAAAAATTGCTTATGTTTTCAAGATCTACACGTCGTGTAAAGGAAAACCCCAACTTTGCGGACACCCTATATATAGAAATTACACTACCGTTCAAAAGTATTTGAACACCTGCATATTTCCATTTAAAATCATAACAAACAAAAAAGGAGTATTCAGTACGTGCTTATTTTTCTTCACTTATTGAAAACCATCACCATAGAAATCGATCATCACTGAAATGTCATTGAAATCAAAATTTTGCTCACACTATTATTGGGATGTCATCATTAGCCATATTATGCCTTTTGTTATGTTTTCTAATAGGAATTCTTTCTCATGATTTGTTTTTCGATTATTTCTATCAACTTGTGTTGTACGTAAACCAATAACTCAATTCCAGTTCAGTTATCTTGTCTCATTTCACAAACTAACCATGCTTCAGTACCTTAGTTCAACACGTGCATTTTCGTTTATTTTTTTCTGGACAAAATGATTAAAACTAAAGAATATTCCAAGAAGATAAAAGGAGTTATTATTGGTCTTCATAAATCCGGCAAAAGTATTCGAGACATATCCAAACTTCGGAAGGTACCACTGTCATGTACACTACTACAGTATTAAGAAATGTAAGGCTCAAGGCACAACAACCAATAGCAGTCGTTCAGGGAGTCCTAGAATAACAACTTCCACTGAAGCTTAAGTATAATAGTGAAAACTAAACGCAATAGACGCGTGACTGCACCCGAAATAGTAGCGGACTTGGATGTGGGCCGTAGTAGTAAGTGTGACTACAGTTAAGCTCGAAGCTGGACTCAAGGGATGCATAGCAGTATCGAAACCACTCCTCGGGGCTACTAGCAAAAAAAGGAGACTGAATAACATCAATACCGGACAGTTGCTGGCTGGAAGAAGGTCCTCTGGAGCGGTGAATCTAAATTTGGTTCAAAGAGAGTATTTGTCCGCCGTCGGTAGACCGAGAGAGAATTAAAATCATTCACCGTCGCTTCACTTAAGCACAGTGGAGGCTCTACAATGATTTGGGGCTGTTTTGGTGGTTCCGTTCTGGGGGATATTGTGAGAGTACAGACAATACTGAATAAAGAAGGTCCAAAGCTATACTAAAAAATCATGTTGTGCCTTTTGGGACTCGTCTTATTGTCCCTGGGTTTGTCTTTCAGCATGATAATGACCCTAAACACACATCCAAGCTCTGTAAACCATTTTTAGAAGATAAAGGAGAGCAAAATATTTTGAAAGTAATTCAATGAGTGGCCTCCTCAACCCCCGGATTTGAATCCGATAGAGTTGCTGTGGGATTAACTGGACAGACAAGTACGGAAATGTTGTCCTACATCTTCTCAAGAACACTTATGGAGAATATTACAAAACGAATGGCAAAAAATAACCCCATAGACTTTAGAAAAATCAGTTGCGTTTACCCATCATTTGTCAGACTGTAATTAAAAGTAATGGAGGACATATTGAGTCAAAAATATGATTATTTTGATTATGAACAGTTGTATGTTGTTAAGAATTAAGTAAATAAATATTTCATACAGATATTGTAATGTTTTAATAACTTCCATCAGTTTCCTTGTTAAAATAATAAAATAGGACGTATGTCAAATATTTAATTTTTTTGTATTTAAGTTGGTTATGTTATGGACAAAATTGGAATTATATTGACGAATCCAGGAAAGGAAGTGTATAATGTCTAGTTTAAAGTAGGTCAAGATAATATCAATTCCTCAAGCATAGAATAGCTATTTCCCACTCATTTTTATGTGGTTCAAAATACACTTTTATTACAAATTCATTGTTTATCTAGTAGTTTATCATTATTCATTTACTTAAGGAAAATATTTATCAGTATGGGAAACAGTGAAAGATGAAGCTATCAACATATGTATATTTTTACAATATTTATAAATGGCCATATAATTATGGATGATTTAAAATATCACATGATAGAAAATATAATACAATAACTGTAAGAGAAAAATATTTCAAGGATGAGTATGTAAATCAAAAATATATTACAAAAAATATGGATTAAATAAAAATATATAGATTATAAAGTATAATTTTATTCCAACAATAATAAAATATTTAAAAAGAAAAAATATGTTCTAGGGCCACACTTGCTGAATAAGCAAACTGAAATATTTTTTCAATATTAATCCAGTTGATTGGAACAAAAAAAATACCTTCAATCTGGAATTTGCAGTGGCCATGCTGCTATTTTGCCCAAGTGTAGTTTTTGGAAGATGGATATTGCCACGAATAAAAAAAATGCACAGTAAACTAGCTTGGCCATTGTGAACTATATGAGAGAAAATGGTAAAAACTGTTTAAAATGAATATTGACTCATGTTGATTGATGCAAAATGCTTAATATGCAATAAATTTCAAGCATTTGTAAAGTGGAATAGTCCAGCTGAATCCAAACCCTTTTCCTATACCAGATGCAACAGCCTTATAATGTTTTTCCTATAGTTGATGATGTTGATATGTTCAGATAGATCATTTAATGTTATTTTTCCTCTGGTAACTGATATCTGTTTTATCATTGGGTCAGTCAGTACCTTACCTGGTTGATAAAACAGAAACATAAGCTTGGTTGGACTTCAATAATATATTTTTCTAGGGTCCAACCTTCTCACTAACATTTGTACCTATTCATTTGCCTATCTGGGAAAAGCAGTAGGTTGCAATGGATGAATGAAATTCATATTACTAATAATGTAATACAAGCTCATTTAAGGCTAAATCAAAGTTTCAACTTTGGTGCAAAAGAATGTATTATTACTAGAAAATATGTAAAATCTTCAGTTCAAGCTTTGCTTTGGTCAGGTCATGCAATTATTGTAGCATCTGGTATAATCTATGATTTGATAGCCAATAAAAACTTTCTTGGAAAAATATCAGTGATAAGTGTGCACTTTGCATCTGCCTAAATCTAAAAATCGTACCTAATTGCAAATCTAATTTGTTTTTGTACTTTAAATGCCAACTAGTTACACTTCAAAACCATCCACAACACCATTTACATTTGGCTTTTCTGTTCTGGTGTGCCAAACATAAACTTTTGTACAATTGTCTGCCAATGGTTCCAGCTCTTCTTTGGTGGTGAAATAGCTTAAGAATTCACTTTCTTGTAATCCTTTTTCCATTTGGTAGGAAAAGGAGGCTTGTGGTTTTGCTAATATTAAATCCAGATTAATTGCAAATCCAGCCATATCTATAGCAAATTTACGATTTGGTTTCCAGCCACTTTTATATCGTTTTACCTTTCCTGAAATCAATATGTGAACATTTAGTTTAGATAGAATATTGAAACTTCACTTGAAAAAATTGTGCAGCAACAAACAGTTTAGTTTTGTCATAGGTATATGATTTCTAAATTAACCAGTAATCATTCACCATACCTGTAGCACTGTCCAGGATTGGTGTTTCTACATTAAGGCCCCCTACCAATCCCACAGGCCAAACACCAACCTTTTTCACCTTCCTCATCTGAAAACATTTTACATTTATACAATACTATATGACTATATGGATTTGCCAGTGGAGCTAACATAAAATATAAGGCTGGTTTGTACAATGATTTGTACTTTGTCATTGAAATACTGTCATGTTTCAACTATTACCATAATGTTTGGAGGTAAGAGACAACGTAGAGGTAAACTCATTTTTTCGGACTTCCACTGTCTGTATTTTTAAATACACAATGTTTCGATTAGTAAGTATCTCTAATCTCACTTGATAATGATTAGAGATCCATACTTACTAATTGAAATGTTATTTACTTAGTTATAAATACAGACAATGGAAGTCGGAAAAAATGAGTTTATTACTATAATGTAACAGGGATGTAATACTATATTCAAACAATAATTATTAATCATCTATCTTTGTCTGGCCGCTAAATGAATCCAGCGGTCAGAGAAACATGGAGGATGAAGCATGAAAACATGACAAGTTCAGCTACACAATAATTATTGTTTATAAATTATATTGTACAAAACTGTCCATCATTTGATAAAGACAAACTCATAACTCCAATGTCAAGTTAAAAAATGAGTCACTGCTATCACAGAATAAACAAAACCAAGCACAGGAATTGACTGAACATTATTTTTATATAGATCACTTTTCATATATTGGCACTAGCATTCGAATCAAACACAAGTATCTGCCCTATATTGGTTAAACCTTGGGAAATACATTTGGTTTTCTCTTTTAGCCGATATTTGCCCATTATGTTATTTTGCGATATTGATTGTAAAATATTAGAGGCAGACGTTGGCCAAATATTGTATTGATAGCGAAAGTGCAATATTGTTAAAACATATATTGGCCAAATATTGTTTCTTCCTATATATATATGTAACACTAATACTGTCGACCAATATCACTCCAATGTTGTTTGTTGATTATTCAGCGAATATTCATAAACCTTTATTTGCTAAACTTTGAAAATACATTTGATTTTCTCTTTTGGCCTATATTGGCCCAATATGTTATTTTGTATAATGAATTGCAGAATATTGACACAGTATTGTAGTTGCATTCGTAAATCAAATATTACAGATAAATACTGGCAAAATATTGCATTTATTGTGAAAATACAATATTGTTAAAACGTATATTGGCCTAATATGTTGTCCACCTATATAACACTAATATAAAATCAATGATTTTTGCTAATACTTTAGCGGATATTCATATACTGGCTAAAGTTTGAAAATTACATTGTGTTTTCTCTCTTGGGCTACCTTGTATTGTATGTTATTTTGTGATATTGGTTGTAAAATATTGACACAATATTGTAATTACGTTTGTAAATACAATATAGCGGATAAATGTTGGTACGATGTTGTATTGATAGCGGAACTACATTATTCTTAAACTGCACATTGGACTTATATTCGCCCTGCCTATATAGCACTTATATTGCTTCAATGTTGTTTACTCATCGTTCAGCAAATATTCGTTACATTAATTTATCCTATATTGACCAAATTTTGGAAACTACAATATTTGGTTATCCCTAAATTGGATCAATATGTTATTGTATGCTATTCGTTGCAGAATATACGCTAAAATGTCCTTACACTACACTTGCGGACTTATCCTTCATTTGCCGTAATTCACAAAACCCCAGAAGCTTATCTTGGTGTAAAAATATATTAATTGTCAATACAGAAATGCCATATTAGTTTGATATTGTAAATCAATATTGCACCAATGTATTCAAATATAAACATTTTGTCTTGCACCAATATTGAAAAATTAGCTTGGATCAATGTATCCGTTATATTGTTCCTATATTGGGACAATATACAGTAATGGACAAAAGTATATAGACAAATAAATATTGTGCTGTATTTCTTTTTTAACTTGTTTTGTTAATACACCAACCTGTATACATAATTCGTTATAGCATAATACTCACTTATACATAAATAAATTCATTAGACTCCCTTCAATAAAAAATTAATTGAAAAAACTGGAACTATGAAGGACAAAAATATATAGACAAATTCTTTTCAACATTAGTTTAGTACAGTTTCGTGGAATCAGTCGAGTGATTTTAAGACCATGCCGCGTGGTCCAGAAATTTTCAGCAGTTTGGGCAATACTGAACAAATATAAACAAAAAGGTATCTTGGAAGCCTCTAAGTGAAGTGGTCGGCCTAGAAAACTAAATGCTAGATCAGTTGGATTAATAAAAGTAATTTCGTCCAAAGAGCCGTTTAAAACCCCAAGACAAATAAAAGCCGAAATCGAGACAAAATGAATTGTCAGTGTTTCTACGTAAACTATAAGTAGAAGATTAAATGATTTGGAGTTATTTGCACGTCGCCCCAGTAAGAAGCCGCTAATCTCGAGAAAAAACCGTAAGGACCGATTACAATTTGCACGGTTGGATCTTGATTGGAGCATCTGTGACTGGAAGAGGGTATGTATCAGTGCCGAATCAAGTGCAATATGTTTGGATCAGATGGTATTCATTACGTTAGGTGTCCTAGTGGACAAAGATTGAACCCCAAGTACACTTTGCCCACTGTCAAACATGGAAGCGGGTCTGTTATGGTTTGGGGGGCTTTTCGGGTTTTTGGATGGGACCTTTACATAGAATAGATGGCATTATGGATAAGTTTGTATACACAGACATACTAAATCATGTCATGTTACCCTATATGGAAGACAATATGCTCTTAAGATCAATCTTCCAACAAGATAATGACCCGAAGCACACTTCAAATCTCGAAAAGAAATTTTTCTGGATGAAAAAATACCAGTTCTCAAATGGCCTTCACAGTCTCCCATTGAAAATCTATGGAAATACTTAGATAAGCAAATACGAGATAAAAATTATTCAAACAAGGATGAACTTTTTGCCGCTTTAGAGCAAAAGTGGAGACAGATTGATGAAGCTTATATCAAGAAACTTCTACAATCTATGCCGAGACGATGCCAGGCGGTGATTGATAATAATGGTTGTGCTACAAAATATTAACACAAACACGGATGGTTTTCTATAATTCAATGAACTTTGCTTCTTTTTTCTATAATTGTTTTGCTTTGTCTATACAGGGTTTGTCCGGAAAGTGATAGGACTGAGTCGATTTAAAAAAATTTATAGAGCCAATCTATTCTTTAAAAACTTTCAAAATAGGCTCCTTCTGCGTCGATGCAGCGCTGCCAGCGCGATTTCCAAGCATTGAAGGCGTCACGGAAGGCACTCTCCGCAATAGCCTTGAGAGCCGCGGTGCATGCAGCTTGGATCCCCTCTGTCGTATCAAAATGCTTGCCTTTCATCGGCCTTTTCAGGCGAGGAAACAAAAAAAAAGTCCGGGGGGGGCACATCTGGGCTGTAGGGCGGCTGCGGAAGCGTTGGGATGCCGGCCTTGGTGAGGTAGCTGTTCACAAGCTGATGTGAGCCGGGCGTTGTCGTGGTGCAACTTCCCGTCGGCTACGATGTCTTGTCGGACCCGACTGACCCTAAGTTTAAGTCTCCTGAGCACTTCCATGTAAAACTTGGCGTTGACGGTTTGTCCAGGAGGAACAAATTCATGGTGGACGATGACTTTGATGTCAAAAAAGGCAATGAGCATCGTCTTTACTTTGGATTTGCTCATTATTCCCTTTTTGGGGCGAGGAGGCGCCGTCGTGTGCCACTCGGAAGATTGCCTCTTTGTCTCGGGATCATACTCAAAGATCCACGACTCGTCACCTGTGATTACGTTATTCAAAAATTGGGGGTCACTTTCACATATGTTCAAATTTTCTTGGCACACTTCCACTCGCCGCAATTTCTGGTCGTCAGTGAGCACTTTTGGGACCATCTTCGCGCACACCTTGCGCATGTTCAAATGCTGTGTCACAATATCATGAACCGCAGATTTTGCTAAATTTAACATCTGGGCAATTAAACGAATACTTAGTCGGCGGTCTGAGTTCAAAACTTTGCGCACACGAGTCACATTATCGGTGTTTGTCGAAGTCGAACGTCTTCCAGCACGGTCTTCATCAGCGACCTCTTCCCGGTCCTCCAAAAAGGCCTGATGCCACCGAAACACATCACTTCTTGCTAAAGCAATACCTGGGTAAGCCTGCTTGATCATATCAAACGTCTCTGTCGCAGATTCACCGAGTTTCACACAGAATTTAATCGCGTACCGCTGCTCTAACGAACGCTGCATTTTCGGCTTGCATCACTCACAGAAACACGTCGCGCAAAAATGCCTGTCCTGACTCTCCAAGTGCTCGGAGACAACTGACCAGCCGCTCATTCGTTAGCCCTCTACCGAATCCAGTCGGTGCGCGCACGCTCCGAAGTACAGTCATGGCGGAAGAAAATGAGTCCTATTACTTTCCGGACAAACCCTGTATATTTTTGTCCTTCATAGTTCCAGTTTTTTCAATTAATTTTTTATTGAAGGTAGTCTAATGAATTTATTTATGTATAAGTGAGTATTATGCTATAACGAATTATGTATACAGGTTGGTGTATCAACAAAACAAGTTAAAAAAGAAATACAGCACATATTAATTTATCTATATACTTTTGTCCATTACTGTATGTGTGCTACTTGGGACTATCCTGATCGTAAGTTATTGGTCGCGGTAGAATAGAATTCTTCCTGTGTATTAACCCCAAATTCTGATGTGGATGTTGAGTTTTGTCCATTTTCGGCCATGTTCCTAGGTTCTTTATATCATTAAACGTTTCATCGCAAAGTTGACTTCAACTTTAGAGGTGAGACTGATGGACGACAACAAGATTTACGCACTTTGTCTCCCCTGAGAATGACCCAAAGACCGATTTTTTATCAGTCTAGCAGGAATACAGTTCCCGAACCACGCCCGCTTTCAATCAGTTATTCAAACGAGACAAAAGTGGCCTGTCTCCCCCAACAACTACTACCTGTACTACAACCCTTGGCCCAGGAACTTTATAGTCACGTGGACAAGGAAGAAAAAGCCACTTGTTTTACAATTTTTTAGAAAAGTAAAAATCAGTAATAATTTCTCAAACTTCAAACTGCCCTATCAAAAATCAATGTAATAAAATATTCACCTCGTGAAACAGTTTTACACTATATGTATTGTCATCATCCATAAAATAAACCACTCCTTTATCTTTATTCAGATGCAAATTATTTCTTAACCATGCTAAGGCTGCATTCCTTTGCTCAACGCCCCGATGCTTCTTCCACCTTTCCTAAAATTAGATATTAATTTCTTTGAAATGATTAATGATTAATAGAGCAGTAGACCTGAAAAATTTAACTTAAATCCTCAATTAAAGAAAATTAATGAACAGAAATCCATGTATAACTACTGAGCATTCTCACCACAGGATTATAATTTTATTCGCACTATTGGGTTGCAGGAACAGTTTTGCGGATTTTAAAGCGAGACGTTAACTAAAGTAGCCATACTTTTTTTACACGGCAGCAGCCGCGCAGGCAGAAGCCTTAATGCCGGGGCACCGCGGCTGCTATGAGAATCCCAAAGAAGCTTTGTTAATCCGATTTTTGAACTGCCTAAGGTTAGTAGAACTGGACAAGCGTCCTCTTGTAGATTTTTCGGCAATCTCGACACCCTAGGGACAAAGGGGAGGTCGTATCGGCCAGTTCTGGATGTACGAAGTTCGACGCAGTTAGGATGGGAGGCTGAAGTCAGGCGGGTCTGTCGGAGGCATCATGGTGGAGAGCTCTGAGGAGCAAATCCCGCCGGTGCGAAAGGTTTCCTAGAGTGATCAATCCAATCGGATAGCCCTTCTCTGGACAGCATCGAGCATTAATAATGTAGTCGGAGCGATAGCACCACAAGCCTACCAGCAATACTCGAGGCTAAGTCTTATCTGGGCCTTGTATAGAGTGAGCAGGTCGTGTGAAAAAAAGTACTCCTTAGCCCTACACAAATAAGCTAGCTTTTTCTCAGGAGCTACCGCTATTGACGAGATGTTCTCGTGCCAGATCAAGTCCTCGTGATCTGGACTCCGACCAGCCAAAATAAACTCCATTGTCAGAACTCGGCCAATCATCGAAACCGGATGATCGCTAGGACGCATTTTGTTCATCAGGGTACAGTACTGTGTTTTGGAAGCATTAAACTGTACGAGACTGTTGCGTCCCCAGTAATAACGTCCAGGTCTCTTGTCAGAGGAAGTCGCTGCTGTATTCTTTATTCCAGCGATCGCCTTGTCGCTCTGAGTTACTGCATGTACACTGCTGTAATGAGCGAATCTGTGGATTCCGTTGATCGTAAAAGAAATGAGGTAGTCGATATATATATAAGAGGAACAGTGTCGGAGCCAAGACCGGTCGCTTGGTAACACCCCCGTTGACATTGTGGCATGAAGAAGAGAACCCCTCAATTATAACGGACATCCTGCGGACAGAGAGAAAGTCAGCCATCCATCTGCAAAGCTTCTCTGGAATGCCATAGGATAACAATTTGCATAAGAGGGCAGTGTGCCACACCTGATCGAATGCTTTCGCGATATCAAGATGAACGTCATGACCCTCACCATAAGACTGGATGAGTTTACTCCACAATTGCGTGACGTAAGCTAAGAGGTCCCCTGTGGAACGCTCGTGCCGGAAACCATACTGCCTGTCGCTAATTAAGTGGTGACGCCAGAGGTCCAGAAGCTCGCGATTTATGCACCTCTCCATCACCTTACTTATAACAGAAAGCAGAGCTATAGGTCCGTAGTTGTAAGGGTCGATGTTACGTCCCTCTTTCGGGAAAGGGTAAATATGAGCAAATTTCCAGTTTTCTGGGAAGGTGCCGTAAGATACTGAAAGAGACGCGAAAGAACTGGAGCAAGCTCCGCTGCACACATTTTCAATACAGCAACATGAATCAAGTCCAGGCCAGAAGCTTTGTTGTGATGTAATGCTCGAGGAAGTGCAGCATAATATCTACAGTTCAAAAGCTGATCACCTCTTATGGCAACAAGGGGTTGGATATATGGGACAACGATAATCAACTCTCACCTATTTTGTTCTTAGCTGTGACATCTTTTCAGCCTTTGGAAAGACAAACTAAGATGTGACGGAAGTGTAATTTTTGCTTATCTATTCTGATTCAATTTTGTGAATAAGAAAAAGGGCCAATGAATCATATCAATGCAGGTTATTATGCATGCAATAGGCTATTGGAATTCTTCCATGAATTGTATGAGTTATAGCTGCATACCTTTTAGAGTATTTTATTAAAATCCTTAAAATTTTTCTTACAACCCACTAAACTCTCCATGAATATCTTAAAATAAAATTACACAAATATTCTAAATCAATCAGTAAGAAATTTTGACAATCCCACACTATCTAGACAATATACAAAAAGCATTTAACAACAAAAGTGGTTATGTGAAAACTGGTATGTCATTTGATGAGTAAATAAAAAGTTTGAAAACAACGAATATTGGTGTTCTGTATAGCAGATTTGCTTTTCGTTTTCGTTGGATATGTAAATACATGTGGATAGCTCATATTGGGTGCAACAAGTAGACTAGAGTCCTCAAAGAGCAAATTGGTATAACCCGAAAAAAGCTCTATTAGCTCATATACCCATTTTACATCAACAATTTCTTCATATAGATTTCATCAATGGATAACTTTATTCAATACAGTGATGCCAATCACATAACAAAGTCTTGCTAGAAACATTTTGAGTTTTTATGTGTTTTGTGGTTTTGATTTTGAGCTGAATCTTATAAACAAAAACCATACTGTAGTTCTAATTTTGTGAATAAATCCTAGAAAAACTTCATGGATATCTATGGATTTATTGTCAATGTAAAATGGATACTATGGAAGCTAATAACATTTTTTTCAAAATAAAGGAGCATTGAATATTAGACGTCCAGCATTAATTTCTATAACCTAAAGACCAAATTTCAATACTTGTTTTGCCAAGAGATGCTTTATTTTATTCCTTATCTACCCATAACTCACATAGTCTCAATTATTTTTCAATTATTATCTGAACTACTTCGTTATAATGTAAGAAATACTTTAATCATATACATGATATAAATAAATGTTTTTGAGCATAGTCTAAAATAATTTACACATAATAGTAAATTGTCTGTTAAAATTTATCTATCTTAATCTATCTTAATACTAGTTATATTTAGATTCAACTTACCTTATCTTTAAATTTTTCTAATGGAGGTGTTTTTGCATTCAAATGAGTAACTATAAGCTTAGATTCTAAAATGAGATTTCGTACTAAATTTGTTTTTTCTTCTGAATCCTCTACCACAATCCAATGTACATTAGGAACTAATTTCAATGTCTGAGATATTCTTGTGAGTTCAGCTTTCTGAACATATCTATAATATGTTGGTGTGATTGCATAAACTGTTGGAATAGATTTTGGATCTATGTTTGATTCTAGGTGTTCTAGCAAAAGCAATTGTTGTTGGGATAGTTGCAATTCTTCTTTATGCAGATCTAAGGCTTCCCTTAAGATTTGCAGTCTATCAACACCTACAATAATATCCATTATATTGAGATGCTATGAACGTATCCATATACAAGTATTAAGTCACTTGTGCCTGTATGCACCATTTTTCACCTAAGCTCCACTTGTTTAACCTCAGCTCAGCAATTAATCTAAACTTAATATTGCAAGCAAAAGCTGTAACTAGACCAAAAGCAAAGTCTAAATTTCCTATCTTTCCAGGCTTAATGTTAAGTGTGGTTTAGTGCTGTATAGGTTATTGTTCATACAAGAGCATACTTAACACGTTGAGCATGGTGTGGCATCAAACTAATGCCTCACCGACTAGTTAATCTAGGGACGGTGAGACATGACAATAACGTCTCATATCGAATATTAAATAAGACGGTGGGGTTTAGTGTAGTGTCTCGCTATAATGCTAAATAAATGGGAAACGATAGTTAGCCGTCTATACGCACGTTTTTTGTAACCCGTTTTTGAATATTTGACTAAAATCATATGTTATAGATAGCATACAATTTTATTTCAATTTAGAGAATATTGTTCCAGTAAATATAACAAAATGAAATGCAAAAATATAAAAGAAACGTATATTCTAAAGCTAAGAAGTGCAAATCAACTTATATATAGTGTGTTTAAAAAAATATTATAATAATATTTAAAAAGTTAGTCCAATTTCTCAGCATGATGGGTTTCAAAAAAACACTACAATAACTGTTGTTACAAGAAGTGCACTGAAATTTAGTCCTTGGTGTTTTGCTTCATGCTTGTTTTTGACCAAATTCCTCCTTAGCTTTGGCATAACATTTTACACATCAATAAGTTTCTAGCTGATCTAACAGGTCAATATAAGCTTTCGATTTATTGTAATCAACTATAGCTTGTGGTTTTTCAATTTCTTTTCAATGCTGATGAACTTTGATTATTTATTTTTATATTTATATTTATATATATATATATATATATAATATATTTATTTAATATTATTATTTATTGTGGTCAATAGTGACACATCACAAGTATCTTTCCATTTGAGCATTACAATGCCGGTACCACTCTCCTGACCAACTACTTCGAGTTTTTTCAATTTTCTATGTAATACTTCTTTTGGGTTTCCTTTTCTATTAGACCGCACTGTTCCTACTCGATGCGTTTTTCTTTGTAACGATTGAACAGCCAATGAAACACTGGTATATTAATTGTCAGTGTAAAGTATGCGTCCAGTGTTTAAAAGCCCACTCATCAAAGACATAACAATGTTAGATGACGCATTGCCTCGATACCAGTAACGTAATCATTCAAGATTCAAAATGTGGCATCATGTATATGTCTCACTGCCCATACGAACTGGTTTGAAGGTAAAGATGGCGAGACATAATTGTGATGTCAAATAAAACAATATATACTATACATTAAAGACTTTATTTGACCGAAAGAAACACACAAAAAATCACGTCCCCTCAGACACAATTTTATGCACTCTACATTCATACTCAACGTGTTAAACTTATATTATTAAGAAAATTTTAAAGAAACTTTATTTTTTTTCAAGAGTTTCGAAACAGCTATCAATGTTTAGAAGAATTACGGTTTACAATACAATAATAAAACCTCATTTTCAGTACTGTTCATCTTTATTATATTTCTTTAGCAAGAACAAAATAGGCACCTTACAAACACTTCAAAATAGGGGAATGCGGATAATTTTACAGTGCTCTAGGTACACAAGAATTGAATATATGCTGGATACTCTACAGTACTTATTGGTGAATCAACATCTTTATTTAACAGCAATACTATTTGTTTATAAAATTGTGAAGGGAACATTACCTAATTATTTAGGTGCGCATCTATGCTCAAATAATGAGATCCATTCATATAACACTAGGATGTGTACTCATTTCCATGTAAATAAAACAAATATGAAGAGTACAATGAAAACAATAATGTACAACGGTCTATGTGAATACAGTAAGTTGCCCCAGCAAATAAAAAACGTCGACTCAGTCGGGTATTTCAAGAAAGCAGTTATCAAACACATAAGATCTGACAGAATTTGTTAAATTTATTATATTTGAATATGTATGTATGTACTTGTGTAATGCTACCAGTTGTTGTTGTTGTTGTTGTTGAAATTAGGATTTTTTTTTTCTAAATAAAGTACTACTACTTTAAGATGAATTTATCAATTAACAGTGCATAGAGGCATAAGTGCTTTTATGACTTGACTAGCTTTATTTTTGTATTGTTGCTGATACACAGAATTAGAATATTTGTAAATAAGTAAAATACACTAAAGTGAACTTACCGCTTTCTATCACAGTCAATTTCCAAATTACAATTATTGAAGATGCCACAATGAAATACATGCCCAATTTTTTCATTTTAATGCCCGCATAGAAATTATAAAGACGATCGGAAAATTTCATTTTGTTATACTCAAGTTATCATATAACGTTTGCTTTTGTATTCTTAAGCCCTAGGAGACTCATGGCCTCACAACTAACACACCAAAATTACAAGGTGCATATTAGGAAAACACTGCATACTATTACCGCCACATAATCAGCAGGCCAATCAAAATTAAACTTTGCGGAGTAATGAATGAATAAAAATAGGCAACATGTTAAAAAAAATCTTGAATCAAAGGTGTTTTTTGTAATCACTAATTATTTATCAGGATGAATTACCTAAAAATAACCAATAAACCACAAGACAAACAAACTGTCAATGTCAGAAATATATGTCAGATGACAATATCCAAGCTCGCTGAACAGGGGCGTCCTCAGAATATTTTACTCACTTTGGCCGCCAGACAACTTGATATCTGCCAACTGCAATAATCGAAGTTTTATTACTGTAAAGGTCTATAATATTCCGCTTAGGAGACCACGTGGATTGAATTTTGACTTCTATAAGAAAAATAAGGGAGTTTGAAACATGACCTTAATTTGCTTGAAAAATGGATGCGGCGAGCAGCGGAAATAATAAGTTAATGATTTGTTGTACGCTCTGCAGCACAGGGGTATTCAGAAAAAATCTGATGGGCAGGACTAAAGGCGAATCCTGTCTTTCCGTGATCTAAACACATTTTTCGTTGGCCGTTGGGGCTTGCTTCTTATTCCTCTATTATCTTAACCAAATAGAAAATTGTAGATAATTAAGCGGTTCAGTAATTCGCATACATACTGAGTGACAAAAAAGGTAAACATCTACATATATTTGTTGGAATTCAAGAATGTTTTAATATCGATTAGAGAAAAAGAGATGCCTTGAACAACAATAAGTGATAAAATGGTATGGTTTTTCTGCTAAGTTTTTGTGGTGTCTGCGTATATTGTTTGGTGATAAAGAAGCGTTTAGTTTTCGTACATTTACGGTGTCAGTTAAATGTTAAATTTCGTTTAGCTTATTGAGAAGCCTTTTTGTGATTGCTCGAAATGCCTAGAGTGCGTAGAAATCGCCGGGTGTCCCAGCTAAGTGACATTGAGAGGAGTCGAATTGTCGGGTTGCGTGAAGCCGGTCTATCTATAAGAGAAGTTTTTAGGAGGACCAACAGATCCTTACGCAGTATACTGCAATGTGAACTAGCGTGGACAAGGCCGAGGACAGCGAGGGAAAGGTTTTGGACGTCCCAGGGGTACCGCAGAGCGACAAGACCGCCGGTTATGACCTCTGGCTCTGAGAAACAGATTCACTAGTACTCGAGCCGTCACTAATCAGTGGTTTGAAGAGCATTGAGGGATGGTTGATATGCGTATGGTATATCGTCAAATTATGGGTCACGTCGCATTCTCACTCTTGCCCGACTATCGTGCATCCCCAAACAGAAGCGGGATTCGTCACTAAACACCTCCTGATACCATTCCCGGTCCCATAGAATTCTTTCTCTACACCAGAGCAAACGACGTTCAGCTGTCAGAAGTAGCACTCAATGAGGGTTAAGAAAAAATGCCAAACTGTTGTATTCGGCGATATACCATACGCATACCAACCATCCTTCCATGCTCTTCAAACGTCTGATTAGCGATGACTCGAGTATTATTGAATCTGTCTCTCAGAGCCAGAAGTCTTGACCGGCGGTCTTGTCGCTCTGTGGTCCCTCTGGGACGTCCAGAACCCCTCGCCCGCTGTCCTCGGCCTTCCTGAGTCCACGTTCGTTCACACTGCAGTATACTGCCTTCACGCAACCCGACAATTCGACTCCTCTCAAAGTTACTTAGCTGGGGCACCCGACGAATTCTACGCACTGTAGGCATTTTGTGCAATCACAAAAAGGCTTCTCAATAAGCTACACGAAATTTAACATTTACCCGTGTATCAGCAGAAATCCATCAGGCGTCTTCTCTTTGCACCCGGGAATCTTTTCCAAGGCTTTTTTGCCTTAGAGTCTGCCACCTCTGGCTTCGCAGAGGAGTTCAGTAGTTCCCTCTCCTGGTCAGACTTCCATCAGAGTATTATCCTCCGACGCCCCAAAGAGCGGTTCTTCTCCGAGTTGTAATTGAGTCGTTTCCCGACTCCTATTATATATTAACAGGGGTCAGCTCGCCTTGAGGAGCCTCTGTCAGAGTATCATCCTCTGATGCCCCAGAGAGCGATTCCTCAATTCCTCTCCCTGCTGTGGTGGAGATGACGGCCAAAGATCGCCAATCTCTATTGGTTGTTCCTCCAACGGAGGATCGAGGTTTAACCCTCCTCGTTAGGGTTGAGGTTTACCCGTTGATCCATGTTGTTCCCACGAGTATTGTGGATATAACCGGTCACCCTACGCAGAGCCCCATACGTACAGAAGGTCAAACTTGCTCCGGAATTCAACCCGGTGTTCCAGAGGGTCCGTTCACGATGCCGCTTGCCCCCGGTACTATTCATGCTCAGTACGGAATCTCACACCTTGGATTTGGGGTTACACATGAGCCCGATTAACTGTCCCTCTGCTCCCGAAGGAATATTTATTCCCTTGGAGCAGAGGATCCGTTGCACACTCCATACGGTCGGGTACAGGAAATACCTCCCCGCACACGAACTCGAGGATGTTCGGGTTGGACTTTGTGGAGCTCACAAAGGTAACCGACAGCAAATTAAATTGGTTCTTTCCCTTTTAGCAACAAATAACTAAACAGGTATAACAATAAATACAGTTCGCCCAGGATATCTGTGTTGATGAATATAATGTGGAAAATTCGGGTTGTTATTTGGTTGTTGCCAGGTGTAATCTTCCAATTATGTTTATAGTTTCGTTTTAAATTACACTGATAAACACAGTATTTGTGACATGACAATTTTTGGGTGTATGTTATGTATTTTGAGACCCTTAAATCAAATCTAAAAACATAATTTTTCCATCACCCACAGATATCTACTACTTCTACTTTTATGAATTACAATTCGTAGCATCTCATATTGCTGCATTTCTCGGCGCATTTATGCGATGACGCACATATACAGGGTGACTTCGAAGTTGAGTCATTTATTTTAACAGTGAGTAGATCTGATCAAAAGAAATGTTTTTTTCCTTTAACATTTTTGTGGTAAAATTAAAGTAACAAAGTTATAGCCCTTTAGAAGTTTGAGTACCGCCCTGTCTCAATAATAATATTATGTGCTCGTGTTTGGCAACAATGGATATAATCCGCCTTATCGGTTCATCGCATCGGAAACAAAAAAGCGAAAGGATTTGAAACGCTTATCGCGATGTTTTTACTACAATTTTATTCAGTTGTATTCAGTCAATGTGTCAGTCGGTAACGCGTGAGTGAATAGTGGTGTTTGTTGCGTGGCTCAAACGAAATAAAAAATGGCACATGTTTACGAAAATGCTGAACTTGTGGACATGATTCTTATTTACGGGGGGCGAGTCTTTACAAAATGCTGCCGCGGCATCACGGATTTATGCGGATCGGTTTCCCAATCGAGTGCAACCAACCCCTCGTGCCTTTGTTAATGTAGTACAAAGGGCTCGTGAATCAGGTGACTTAAGACCTCACAGGGGAGGGCATGCCGGTGCTCCAAGACCGCACGATCAAATACAGGTCCGCACTGAAATACTTGTCGGGAGGATACTTTATAAAACAAGGTAACATTTTTTTTTTATTTTTACACACATATTTTGGTTTATCTTCCTTCTACAATCATTATCTGAAAATTAATGACTCAACTTCAAAGTATAATGTTAAGACCTGTCTATTCCTGTTTATTATAATAATGCTAATAGCAGTCGAGTCAGTTACGTTTTCTGTACTGAAGAGTACTGAAATATTCTGAGTACTGTTAATTTTTGTTAAAACGGTGTGTTGTTTTTGGTTTATTGTGATCGAGACTACCTTTATGAGCAATGCCTAGAAATTGTGTAAATAGTGCGAACAGTTTTTGTTATGTGTGCGGAGAGCTAACTTTTAAATCCCAAAAACGTACTTTTACTCCCCTTGTGTTGAAAGCACACGAACTTTATTTTGCAATTAAAGTTGGCGACCAAGATAAACTATGGGCCCCTCATATATGTTGTAAGACTTGTGTAACGTTGTTAACAGGTCGGTTAACAGGTGACAATCGAAAAATGCCCTTTGCGGTACCAATAGTTTGGAGAGAACCGAGAGACCATACTACTGATTGCTATTTTTGCCTCACAAATATTAAAGGTATTGGACCAAAGTCGAAACATACTGTTAAGTATTTTAATTTACCATCAGCTTTGCGACCCGTAAGCATAGTGATGAACTTTCTGTCCTAGTTCCACCAGAATATTGGTCTTTGGATGAAAAAGTCGAATCCATCGATTCTGAAAGTGATGGTACAGAAAGCGTAATAATTTCCGATCCTTTGTTTGACCTGCCAGGATGTTTAACAGCGCCGCATTTGATCACCCATGACTTAGTTGGAGAATTAAATCTGACAAAATCCCCGTCAGAGCTTTTAGCGTCAAGATTAAAAGGATGGAATCTTCTCCACGGTGATGTTAACATTACGTTTTACCGAAAACGACAACAAAGACCTCACACACTGTTTCCGTCAAGAAAGGGAGTTGATATATTGCTCCGATGTCAATAATTTGTTTGACGCGTTACGACAGAAACTTGGTCCAAATCATTGGCGCCTGTTCAATGATTCCTCTAATCTTAGTTTAAAAGCGGTATTGGTACATAACGGTGATAAATATCCATCTGTGCCTATAGTGCACGCAGTTCATATGAAGGAATCATATGAAAATGTGCGAGTTCTCTTAGAGCACATCCGTTGTAATGAATATGGATGGGCCATATGTGCAGATTTAAAGGTAATAGCCCTTCTTCTTGGAATACAACTGGGATATAACAAATGTTGTTGAAGGAGTGGCCACTACGTCAGGTATCAAAGCTGGGCCTCGAAAACATTGCTCATGAATCACTAGTTGATCCCAAAAAGTGTTGCTTCCACCTTTGCATATTAAGTTGGGACTGATGAGAAAATTTGTGAAAGCTACGGATCGAAATGGAAGAGGCTTTCTGGATTTAAAACAAAACATTTCCGAAACTTAGTGACGCAAAAATTATAGAGGGCATATTTGTGGGTCCACAAATATGGAAAATCATGAAGGATGATGTATTTGACAGTGCTCTAAATGAAACAGAATTACAAGCTTGGAATGCTTTTAAATCAGTTACTGCAAATTTTTTAGGAAATGTGAAGGCGGACAATTATAAAGATATTGTGAGTGAATCAATTAATGCTTATAAAGGAATGGGATGTAACATGTCTCTAAAAATTCACTTTTTGGATTCTCATCTCGATATTTTTCCGGAAAATTTAGGTGCGGTAAGTGATGAACATGGTAAACGGGTCCACCAACCACCAAGACATTTCTGCTATGGAAAAACGGTATCAAGGCAAATGGAGTGTCAATTTGCTTGCTGATTATTGCTGGACATTGTTAAGAGATACTTCAGGAGAAACATATCGCCGTAAAACATCGACAACAACATTCTGAGATTAATGTTTATTCAAGTGTGTATTACAACTCTTACAGACATATCCTTATATCTTAACATACGAGTATAAGCAGCAAATAAAACCGTGGGTGATAGAAAAAATCTAGGTAATGCTATTCCCGGCTTTTTGGGTACGTTTTACATAGTAACCACCTTGTTTTGTCCATGTCACAAAAAATTATTTTAGTTTTGTTCACCAGTGTTAAAGACGAATTGTAGATTTGGCAAACCCCAACGGGCAACATTTTGAACACTTATTGAAATAAAAAGTGATATTTTCGTGTGTTTTTGTTTTCTATCTGAACAAATTAAGATAAATAAAGATTTTTGTAATTTTCTTGAAAACTAATCGACTGATTCAAAGAAAATCAAACGTCAAAATAAAGGACTTCGAAAGACCTTTCTAACAATATATTACTCTATACCACTTGTCATATTAAACTTTTAAGGGAATGACCCTGGGGAGCCAAGGGTGAAAGGGAGTGAAGTAGTTTTTGGGTAAATAGTTGTCCCCCTAGACAAATCTTGTGACGTGTCTCGGCGTTTTTTCTTTTAATCAGTGGTTTTCGGTAAATCCGTGGTGGGATGTTTTCAAATGTATAAATCCGACGTACGAATGCTAATTTTCTAAGAACTGGTTTTTAGAAGGAATCAATAGTGTCATTAAGTAAAAAACCTATCTAATGTCAAAAAAATTATAACATGTCAACGTGCATTAGGTAGGCGCTAGTTCATTCCGCTGCTACTACAAGTGAGCCTGAAGTGAATGATGTCAGCTAGTTCAAAGATGACGTCTTATACAAAAACGTACATTATATAAAAAAACATACATGTCAACAGAAAAATGCTCACACAATGGAGCAGTTTTTGAAGCTAACCTGTATAGTGATCATGTGAAACGTGAACCGTACAAAACCATTATTAACGCAATACAGGTTCAGGTTCACGACGGCCCTGCTTTTGAAGCGTTCTTTCAGTGTATGTCTGTATGTATATGTTTTGTAGTGTCTTGATTTTTGTGGGCACCCGTTGATTGGCACGACAGCTGAAACGTCATTAGCTTAAGCCCTCTACGCACCTTTTGTTCACAATTGCGGCACGTACACGTGACATGACGGTTTGACTGTGTTTGTGTTTGACAGTTTTATGATGAGAAGGTGAGAACCTGAGAAAGATTTCGGTATTCCGTGACCTAGATACTAAAGAAGAACAACTGTTATGAAATATTATGAAAATTGGACGATACATTTTGTTTTATAAAGAAAACAGTTAGGATTACATAACACTATAATACAGCAATCATGTATGTATTTTGAACTGTATTTAATAGCACGCCTAACATCACTAATGAAGGTTAAAAGGTAAACCTGCTTCTAGAGATCACTTTTTCGTATTTATTTCATAAACAGCTTGATGTCTCGTGCCCAAGACATAGCTTCTTTGTTGCGATCTCTCCAACTGGTAACAGAACAGTCTGTTAAACTACAATGCCAAAGTATTAACCAAATATGGAAACATTCAAGCCTCAGATGTTCAAATGGAAGTTGTGCTTCTACTTTAAAATCTGTAGCTGACACAAAAAGTATTGACATAGGAAGTACTGGTAAAGAAACTTTAGAACGTATCTCAGCAGTAGTACAAGGACTGAGGGCTTATGCTGGGGCAAGATTGCCTGCAGGTAACATATCTTAACATGACTAATGCTTTTTAATCACTACCATATATAGCAGAAATCTGTAGGTGTGTCTTAAATCCAGCCAAAAAGGTTATATAATTTGAATGTATAAATATTTTTAGATCATACAGTAAATAATGAGGCACATGTAGAAACAAAGCCGGAACAACCACATTCTGAAGAACAGAGAACTGTGCATAAACATATAAGAGAGGATAAAGAGAAAAGTAAAAAGCCAGAATTTACAATTAAACTAACTGATAGTGATAAGGCGCTTTTAAGGAAGTTAGATATGGAACACAGAGCAAGAATGACAGAAAAGGGTCGATTACAACAAGAGAAAGATGTAAAAAGTGAAGTTGAAGATACTCAAGTGAAATCACAACAAGCAGAGGAAGAAAATGCACAAGAAACAAAAGTTAGCTCCATTCCTAATCCAAAATCTAAACAAAAGGTAATATTTTACTTTAGATAATTTATGTGAAATTGTGATTTAAAATTAAACAAAGCATTGGTCGATATATTCTACTACATGATAATCACTGATAGAAGCTATCAGAAAATTTTTGGCGTAAATATAAGAAGCCTTTGGTGGAAATTCTATTATTACTTAACCCTTGAATACTATCCTTAATTTTCAATCTGTTAATACTAACCTTCATAAAAATTGTGTGATAGTGCTCTTGAACCAACACACATCCAATGGATATCAAAGGCCTCCTTACACAGTACCACCACAATACTGTTATCACACTAGCTTGACAGAACACTAGTTGAGAGCTCAATAGTCGTTCTGCGATGATAAAATCGCCAACAAAAAACACAGTAGCGTCGTAAAATTTACGATGGTTAGTATTCCAGGGTTTATATATTAAAAAGAATTGAAATCAGTCACATACACAACTTATATAACTTTGAAGGATGAGGTACGTTGAATGCAACTAATTATTCACCAATTTTAAAGGTGAGTCATGTACATTGTATATTTTCATTTGTCAAGAACTTTCCTGATTTGAAGCAGTTAACCATTATAACTGTCATTACATAATTTCATCAAAGATAAGGTATTCATTACTTATCCCAATTTTGTAACAATAATGTGTAAGCTAGTAGTATACCAATGAGATCCAAAATAGCATCTCTGTCATTCACTTTATTCAATTAATTTGATCAGACCAGCCTGTATTGAAATTCTTATTATTAAGTATTACCTCAAATCAGTGCATTGTTTCCCTCTTTGTGACAAAAAATAGGAAACTTTAGCTTTTTTTAACAGTTCAACTAAAACTATTACATGTGTTTGCTTCAGCTGTCAGAAAATGCAAAACAGAGGAAAGTACCATCTACAAGGTTAGGCAGAATGGTATCATTTGGCACCCTAGCAGCAGGTTTAGGCTTAGGGACTGCAGCAGAGTATGCAAAAAGGACATTGGGCATTGGTGAGGCAGAACCAGATGCATCAACTCTGTTTCTGAACAAAGCAAATATGGAAAGAATAGCAGATACATTGTGTAAAGTTAGAGGTGCTGCTTTGAAACTGGGGCAGATCTTGAGCATCCAAGATGAATCCATTATCAATCCTGAACTTGCTAAAGCTTTGGAGAGGGTTCGGAAATCAGCAGATTTCATGCCTAATTGGCAAGTCGAACAGGTATAATACAATAAGGCAAGATTTCCAATTCATCTCCCATTGTTACAAGTGAATTAATTTGTACACTTGGGTAATTTGGGGTACTGCATGGAAATATGATTGTCAAAAAGTCATGAATTATCTTTGAGCCCAAAAAGCTTTGTGGGGCAACATTTACATTTTCATTTCATTGTTACAATCAAATGAAACTTTATATAGAATAGCGGTGGGAGTGATGGATACTGTACCAATAATGGTCACTTCAGCATTGTAATCTCACCTAACTCTCAAATTCGAGCGCGAAGATACTCTTTTTGAACATAATTTTATTCTATTGGCCATACTTTAGCGTCTCTCTAAATTATATGACACCTTGCGCCAATCATTCAAAGTTTTGAATATGGTTGCACCATAAATCACGTCCAAATCCTTTTGTCCTGTTTAGAGTACTGGTGTAAGAAAGACATTGTTTTTTGTTTGCGGTTCGCTATTTTGTGTCGGAGTAACTAGGTAGGTAACTTTAAATGTACGATATTCAGTGCTTTTTTCTTGTTGCAATGGGTGACCAATACTAGATGAAGAATAATTGAAGATGTCCCAGTGTTGGTCACTGCAGGTGTCCATTACTAAGTGCTAAATTTTAGTAATGGTCACTGATTTCACATTTTTAAAATTGTGGTAAAAATAACGCGTAATAAGACGTAGAGGATAACATCATCAAAGCAACAGAAGCAGTGAAAAATGGTATGTTGAAAAAAAGCTCAAGTTGTATTTTGTGTTCCTCCCCCAGTCTTTACCATTCATGTACTCATTTACTTACCTTTTATTTTATGTATTATCCTAAAAAAAAAGATGGTGAAGATGCCAAAATAAGGACAATTGCTAACGCAGGCATAAGCTCCTGGAAATGACCACCAAAAGGGGGTGTTCTTTACTACGAGGGATGTCTTTCAAGTTTTGCATATAGAAACATAGTTGGCCGCGCGGATCGAACGTCAGTACTGAATCTGAACCTAAATCTTTAGTAAACTTAAATTCAAAGTTTCACAACAATACGTGCAGTGTTCTCACTACAGTGAATTTTTAAGTGTCACCAAGTCATTAGAAAAATGGAACTCAACCGAGAACATTTTCGCACCATAATTTATTACACCTTTCAGAGGCAATTATCGCAACAAGAATGCCTTGCTGAATTACTGTCTGTTTTCGGCAACGAAGCGCCATATCAGTCGACAATTTCCCGTTGGTATGGAGAATTCAAACGTGGACGGGTGAGTCTTAGCGACGATTCCAGGGTGGGTGCACCAAAAACGGCAGTCACCCAGGAAAATGTCGATGCTGTGCGCAAACTCATCATTGAAGATAGACATGTGACATATCGCGAGATTGAGGCGTCCTTGAAGATCTCAAAGACCTCACTTCAAAAAATTTTACATGAAGAATTAGGAGTAAGAAAATTAGTTTCTCGTTGGATACCCCACCTGTTGACTGAAGAGCAGAAAGCAGCCAGGGTTAATTGATGTCAAAAAACATTGACTGTTTCAATTCCGGAAACTCAAAAAATGTGTACAGCATTGTTAGTGGTGATGAATCGTGGATTTACTGTTATCAACCAGAAAATAAACGACAGTCGGCTGTTTGGGTGTTCCAAGGTGAAGAAAAGCCAACAAAAGTCATCCGTTCTCGAAGTGTTTTGAAAAAGATGATCGCGACATTTGTGTCAAAAGCGGGTCATATTGCAACAATTCCTATTAATGAGCGAATAACTGTTACTGCGAATAGGTATACCACCATTTGTTTGCCAAAAGTCATCACCGAGCTCCGAAAAATCAACCCCGAAAGAAGAATCATCCTCCAAGGCAATTCAAGCTCGCACACAACCCAAAAAACAAGGTAGTATTTAACGGAAGAAAAGGTGGAATTATTGGACCATCCTCCATCTAGTTCCGATCTAAGTCCTAACAATTTCTTTACTTTCCCGAAAATTAAAAACAGACTGCGTGATCAAAGGTTCCAGTCACCAGAAGAAGCAGTTGACGCATTCAAAAATGCCGTTTTGGATCTGCCAGCAAACCAGTGGAATAAGTGCTTCGAAAATTGGTTCGAGCGCATGCAGATGTGTATTAATCTTCGTGGAGAATACTTCGATAAACAATAAGGTAATTTAAAACTACCTACCGTGTTGTTTTATTTCCATATGCAAAACTTAAAAGACATCCATTGTATTTTAATGAAGATACGAGTATAATAACCACGATTGGTAACCCGACTGCTAAAAACAAGGGGTCACTATGATGTAAACATGTTAGTTTTTAAAGTGTCCATTACTGCCACCACCATGTGTCAACTACCTTATCATACGAGGTCTGTAAATTAAGTGATGAGACTGTCAACATAGCGTTCAATCTGGCAACACTGGTGGCGCCGGGCTTGGAGGGGTGACATGGGAACAGGTTTGAACTCGCTCGTTATTTGGTTGCAGCGTTGCCAGACGTACGATAATTATCGTTTCTCTACGATAATTTCAAGTGCTGTACGATGTACGATACTATGTGTAGGATAATAGCTGAATGTGCGATAATTTTGCGAATGAGCTCTTTTACTCTCAGATGTTGAATCAATCTAACAATTAACACCAGCAAGCAGCTGGCAGTGTTGCCGCTTGGTAGACAAGCGCGCGTACCACACTCTGTATAATGGGTTGTCTATCATTACGCGTACTACCTCAGCAAACATCAACGGGAAAAATTGCCGTCAATCAGTTATCACGTTGTATGTCTTGACATGACGCGCATATTTTTATTTACCCATGTGCATTAGATGAAATGAAGGAGAGGTCTACCGTTTTTATGGCTTTTTTATGACAAAAGAAAAGGAGCGGAATCTTTGAAGAAGACGTGTTTGTACGATAATTCCCTGCGACGAATCTGGCAACGCTGTTTGGTTGTCCGTAGCAACTTTTTTATGAAACACTGAAACAGTTTATATTATTGTGTTCTAAAACTGAGTGACATCAATTTCACGCAATTGTGTGCTATCAGGTTTTGCTTCAAACTTGGGCGCAGTACAATGGAAATTCTAAACAGGCATACGGAGATTGTTGTTTTGTCAAGAGCCCAGATTTTTCGGTGGTTTAAGGCATTTTTAGAAGGGAGGGAGTCGATTGAAGATGAACCACGAAGCGGAAGGTGTTCGTCTTCAAGAATCGATGAAAATATCGACAGCATCTGGGATCTTGTGCGTTCAGATCGTCGATTGACAGCCAGAATGATCGGGGAATAGTTAAATTTGACTCGTTCATAAGATCAAGAACAACTGGATATTGCATCACGATAATGATCCTTGTTACACAGCAATGTCAATAAACGAGTTTTTGGTCAGTAAACCATTCCTGTGGCTCCTCGGCCTTCTGATTCGGCTGACTTGAGTCCGTATGGCTTTTTTCTGTTGCTGAAGTTGAAAAATCACCTCAAGGGACTGTTGGAAACATTCAAACGGCTGTAACCGACTAGCTGAAGGCTATTCCAGCAACTCTACGATGAGTGGAAGAACCATCACCAGCGGTTTGTAGTTTCAGGAGGAAATTATTTTGAGGGTGACAAAATAAAATTGTAATTATATTTGAATAAAAAAACTAAGAAAAAAATAGTGTCATCACTTAATTTACAGACGTCATATATGACCATTACTTCCAACATTTGGCAATTTTGAAAAAATAATTTTACTGTGAAAAAAGTATCAACAATATAAAACATTACTCAGAATGATTGTGTAGGGCAAAATTTAATTTAATACTGGGACTGATTAAATTGTTGATATCGGTGGTTTGTTCCATTGTAAAGCAATATCAAAGTTACAAAACTCTCTGGGTGCCCATACATGAATTTGAGGTAGAAAATTGGTAGGTTTAGATGCCTTACGAATTCCAACGTCGAGTTGACATCAGTTTTGGAATCTACAAGGCAACAAGTCCAGGTCAGAGATACACAGGAAGTTTTGAAAACGTTTGCATAGGAAGTCCTATTCTATCTATCCTATTACTTGGGTAATTTGAGGTGATGAATATCAATATGACCGGCAACAAATCGTGAAGTTATCATTGGGCAGAAAACGGGTTTTTATCTAGATCACACATAAAATAATAGGGCTTTGCCACTCTGCTTGACACTTTACTCATATATTTTCAGGTAATGTCTCAAGAGCTAGGGTTTGGTTGGCGAACCTACTTCACTGAATTTGAAGAAAAGCCGTTTGCTGCTGCATCTATAGGTCAAGTACATCGAGGCACCTTGATAGATGGCAGAGATGTTGCTGTCAAAATTCAGTATCCTGGTGTGGCCAAAGGTGTTGTTACTTTCATTTATAATTCTTCCTTAGACTTTGATGAGAAAAATCTAATATTAATATTTTCCCCAGAAAACCACCTTTTTCGCCTTATCTAATTAGTGTTGTTTGATCCAAAAGGTATCAATAGTGACATCGAGAATTTGGCTGCTATCATGAAAATGTGGAATATCTTTCCGAAAGGTATGTTCCTAGACAACTTGATGGTTGTAGCAAAACGTGAGCTTGCATGGGAAGTTGATTACGTTAGGGAATCTGAATGTACCAAGAAATTCAAGAATATTCTTGAGCCTTACAAAGAATATTATGTCCCTACAGTGATTGGTAAGTCACATAGTTATAATTTTTTAAAGAAACGACTTTTGTGCTTTTATCAACATTCAAAACATTGTAAATTCTGAGTCATGACATAGGAAAAATGTCATGCAGGGTGAGTTCGTAGTATGGAATCAGTCTAATGCTCCATTATTATAAGATACCTAAAAAATTGTTTTCAAAAAAGTACGCTACTTCCTTAGAAAATATGTCGCACCCTACAAAGTGATTGGTATAATCCGCTATTTTCTTGCCAGCCAACCATCTGCGGAACCACAATGCCGAATGACCTTCCGGGATCCTTTATTTGGTGGTACACATTTTGTGGATGAGTCGGTTCATCCCTTTTTTGCTGTATCATGTGTATCGTACCAGGTATCAGGTAATATATTGGCCTTCCTTCTTCCCTATATTCTCTGATCTTTTCTAAGTAAGCCTGTCGCCATTCCACTATGCGCTTACTTTTCATGACTGCAGATCTCTTGTTGATAACTCCAAATCTGAATCCGACCTTTGGCAGCCACCTCTGAAATGTCCGCAGGGAACAACTTGCCTCTTTCCATCAATTCTCGATGTACCATCTGTGCTGTGGGAATTTCATTAAGTTTATAATGATCATACACTATGTTCCTTATTTTGGCAGCTGTTGCTGCACTTGAAGGTATAGATGTCCCCTTTTCAATTCTTCTTTTTCTTGGTTTGTCACCGTTATGGACAATTTTACAAACTATAGGATATGGCATGTTAGTCAGTTCGGCTGTTTTTTTAAGGACAATACTATTGCCGCTATCACCCATTTCACGTAACAGTCCATTATAAACATTTAGGCACTTTCTTTTAGAAATACGACGGTATTCCTGACTATCATTGCTGCCCTCATTACTACTATCAGTATCATGCGCACTGACAGTAGGAGCAGGAGCAGGTCTTCATAGCGCAGTCACATTAGGTGAACTTGTTGCTATGGCAGTATCGAAACAATGCGATTTTTTAGATTCGCTTCATTTAAACCAATTGCATCGAACTATTCGAGCTTTTTAGGTTATTGCACATTGCTTAAATGTATAATTTATACAGATGGACCAGATGCCATTATTATTTATACCGTATCATATATTGACCGTACTATATGGTGGATCGGTAACACAAGCACGCAGATTAAATGTAAAGGAATACAATATCCTTGTGGTCTACTATAACAACATGGCAACAACACATATATATGTACTGGTCTTTTTTCGAATGAAATGCCCTGTAAAGTTTAGTATATTCTGAAAGACCCCTTCAAAGGAAGAAGTTTGATATGGCTTACTATGGAGTTTGGGTAATTATTTATTATGAATTGTGGTAAAGTGTATATAACTCAAACATTTAGTAACTTGACTACCCAAAAAAAGTTTACTAAAAAACGCTTATAAATGATGAATAGAACTAAAAAAAATTTGAAACATTGTTTGCTACTTTATCTGTAGAAGTGTGCCGTATTCACAGGCTGTCAAAGTTGACTGCTTTTTCGGGTAAAATATCTCCTTGCTTCAGAAGTAGCGCGATCCAAATTCTATAGTATGCTATGTCAAACTTTATCTTTTGGAAAGGGCCTTTGAGAGTATACTTAAATATACAGTGCATTCATTTTTTAACAAGTGTATGTGTTACCACGTATTTAGGAATTACCTTGTAGGGAGTAGTATATTTTTAAATAAAGACTGTATATTTGCTTATGATTTTTGTATATAACTTTTTTAGATATATTTAATAATAACGGTGAAATCAAACTATCCCATACTAAAAACTCACCCTATATATGTACGAGTACTTACGAGGTTTTCGTTATTTTTGTACGAGATTACGAAACGTATGGTACATCTTAGAACTATGAACTTTTAACCAAGTTTTCGCAATTTATATATGTTATGTACTCATTTACAATAGTAAAATGACCATTGATCTTTCAACTCTGTGATATAATTTTCATCAAGATTAAACATGCATTCACAATTGCAGAGACACTGTCCACAAAACATGTTTTTACTACGGAGCTGTTGGATGGCATTCCAGTCGATCAGTGCTTGGATCTTGGTCTAGAACATAGAGAATACATTGGAAGCAAAATAATGGAGCTATGTTTGTTGGAAATATTGAAGTTTAGATATATGCAGACTGATCCTAATTGGGCAAACTTTCTCTATAATGCTGAGAAAAAGCAAGTAAGCAATGATGATCGTGTTTTGTACTTTTTTTCATATACATATATTTTATGAAAATAATATGGAGAGCATAACCATAACCCTATCAATAATTTTTCGTTTTTTTTTTGTGTAACATAAGGTAAGGTGGGGCAAGTGCTGCCCAAAAAATTAAAAGTTCAAAATGGAGATCACAGAAAAAATACTTAAAATGTTTTATGGATGATGCATTTTAACCAGAGAGTAGCCTATAGTGTTCTCTACAAAACTGAATACTTTAGATTGAATTAGAAAATTTACAATTTACCAAAAATGTTGTTTTTTTATTAGGATGACAATTGCTGCTCTTGCCCCATACAGTCGGGGCAAGAGCGTAAAATCCATTACTGTAGTTAGTTTTGCTAAGAAATCAAAACGAGGCAAGAGCAATCATCTTTATATTATGGATAATTGGTTAGACACGAAAAATAAATGTTATCCTGGTCAGAAGTTGAGTGATGATCTTAGAAAGGGACTGATACCTTTTTGAAATGATACAAAAATACATTATCGATGCATAACACTCTTGTTTTTATTTAAGTAATAAGAATTTATCGTCACTTATGTATTTAAATTGCCAAAGTAACAAACAGTTTTACATCAAGTATAATTTTTCATACATTTTTTTATTTTACAAAGTTATACATCTTAAAAGGTTACAAGTCTTAAAGAAAATGAAAAACGCAAACACAAATTCTATTCTGTTCCGAGTAAATATATATTTTATTTATACTTCGGATACCTGAACTTCATTATAAAATATATATTTCTGAAAACTGCTATGTGGAACAAGCTTAGGTTGTTCTAATTTAAGTAAAATATCTGACAATGCAACAGAACATTTGTCGTTCTCATCCAAACGATATTCACATTTATTTTGCAATTTTCTTAAACAGGTTACTTCTACTTCGTCGTCTAAAACCTTTGTTACAAGACAAACGTATTTATGTTTTCTTCTTACCAAAAAAGTTTGCTAAAATAAAGTCACCGTTCATAAGTTTTAAAATTTCATTTTTATTGGTGCCTTGTATTTTTTTATTTTGTTGACTATGCAGATCTTCATCGGATTCTGAAAATTCATCAAACTCTGTTATCCTATCCTCACTACTGTCACTTTTGAATGATTCCATGTCATCACTTTCATCCGAGCTGTAGCATTCTATTTTATTTCTCTTTAAAGATCGCTTCTTTTTTACTAAATTTTCTTTTTTTGTTTCTTGAACATTTTTTTGTGTTATGATTTCTGCTCCCGCACAAAGTCTTTTCTTTGATTGTTTTACAGGGATATAGTCGCGTTTTACAGATTTAAGTAATATGTCTTCAAAACTAATAGAGGTCTCTGGCAAAGAACCGTTTTCCTGTCCACAGATTGCAAGCGAAGTAGATGATTCAGGCTCCGTATGCAAGATCTGAATCGCTGGTGGGCCGGCTTGATTGGGAATTGTGTCGATATGCATAGAAGTGCCTTGACGTAGTTGTAATTCCTTCCACTTTGTGAATGACACTGGATCAAATAAATCTGTCGCTACAACATTCCGATTGAGCGGGTAAATCCCAGCTTTAACAAAACCACTTCGAAGTATTTCAGGATTTGTTTCTCTCCATATATCTCCAATAAGTTTTGAAAAAATACTCTTCGGCATCTTAATACCCACGTTCTTACGCTGCCATTCTACTAGTTTAGCATCCCATCGAGTTTTTAGGGATTTGAAAACACTTAAATCAAGTGGTTGTAAAATGTGACTGGTATGTGGGGGAAGTTTTAAAATTGTTATCTGGCTGTCGATAGCAATTCTAACAACTTCTACACTTAAATGAGTCGCATGACCATCGTAAATTACTAAGACTGGTCTTTCTGGAGGCAAACACTTAACGAAACTTTTTTCAAAATAGTTTTTAAAAACTGTGCTTTCCATCCATCCGTTGGCGGTTGCTGCATATGTCATTTCGGGAAACTCGCTACCAGGGGGTGCAAGCCACTGATCCCAGACGTGCTTGCCCTTGAAAATTATTAAGGGAGGCGCCTTTTCTCCGCTTGCGCTGCAGCACATTAAGACAGTGGTATTCTGTTTTCCAGGCCCACTTGTTGTCCGTGTAGCTGGCAGTCCCCGTTGCCCAACGATTTTCGTTTTTGAAGGGTCTGAGCAAAAACTGCTCTCATCTAAGTTCCATATCTGAGATGGTTTATCCTCTAATCCAAATTCTTTGATTGTATTTTCTAATAAATCGAAGTACTGGTAGACTAAAAACGGATCAACATTCTTTTTTCGGGCAAATTCGACGCTTTGAGGTGTTTTAATAGAAAGCTTGTGACGACGTTTAAAATTTAAAAACCAGTCTTCACCTGGTTTGTCATTTTTAAACTGCATTTTAATTTTATTCGTTTTAACGTAATCTTCCACTATCCCGAGCAATTCCTTTCTGGTTAGACCGAATCCCCACTTCTCCATACAGCGGATACAATCTGCCAGACACGTCTCCTCTTCAAAACTGAGATCTGTCCTTCTACCATAGGTTGAACTTTTCTGACCTCTGCGCTCTTTTACATGGTCCGAAAGTGTATTTTTTGGAATACGATACATCAAGCTAGCTCTGTAAATACTCACTTGTCCACTCTTTACAATGTTTACAGCAGTCCTTAGATCTTCTTTTGAGTATCCGGATCCTCTCTGAGATTTGCGAATATAATTGCGAACCATTAATTTAATTCTGAAACAGAGGGAATATTTCAAAAATACTGTTGGGGCAAGTGCGTTTTATAGACTGCACTTGCCCCTTTAAAATAGGCCGCTCTAGCCACTGTACAAAAAAATCACAGGGCAAGTGCAGCCTATCAACAAAAACTTGTTTTATCGAAAATAAAAGCAAAAATATCGTTATCACTAGGAAAATGATAGAACAATATGTGTACTTACCATAAATCAAAACTGTAACTCAAAAGATGGCCTTGATATTGACGGATGTATTAAACGTAACCTACTTGTTGCTGGACAATAATGACGAATAAAATTTCGCGTGTTTTTCATGAACATAATACCGGTCGCAGATCTCTTCTGTTATTTTACAAAGTTGAGATGAATTGGGTAGATGAACGATCCATAGATGGTAGCACAACTGACTGATATCCGGGAAATTTAAACGCAAAAGCTGCACATGCCCCGTAAATGCTCTTACCCCACCTTACCTTAACTCACAGGGGTGATGAAACAAATAGAAATAATAATCATACAGCTTGTTTAAATATATTTGTCGACAAAATGTGTGATTTGAAGTTGATTATTTATAAGCATGTAAAGTTGAGTGGTGCACAACTATAGCTCTACTGAATATGTCTCTCAAAAATCAACAAAACACTCATATCTTAATAGTGGGTTGGTCCACTAGATTTTTTGTCCTCGTATATTAGTTGAGATGAGATTTTAATCGACAACATTCATGTTTAGTGAAAATGAATGCCAGTACAAAAATTCAAGATACTATTTTGCAAACAAAGACATTAAGACATTAACAGAAAAAAATATACAGCGCGACACAAAAATCCCGGAAAGGCTCTGTATTTTCTCGGGTAAGGTATTTGAGGAAAATATCAAGGTCAGGTCTTCAGTAACTTTTAACAAGTAATCCAACGGCGACGTAGACCTTCACCTTCAAGGTTAATTCATGGTCAACTACATTTTTTCAAATAGATTCCCCTATTTTTGATACCGGCAATCGAAAGAGCGGAGAATTTTACGTTCAAATACAATTGAAGTCCAAGGTCAGGGTGCCATTTAAAGGTCAAATGTGTGCTGCTAGAAAAACCTCTAGAGAATCTCACAGGATTAGAAATGAAAACCACTATCAAGGTCAGGTCAGGACAGGTCTTTGGTAAATTTTAACGAGAGAGTGAACGTTTATCTTGGATTTGACCTCGATCCTTACCTTCAAGGTTATTTCAAGACGCACTTAATTTTTTTAATTGAAATTCCTATTTTTGATGTCGTCAATCGAAAGAGCGGGAAATGTTACGATCAAATACGAATCGGAGACCAAGGACATGGTGACTACTAAAGTCAAATGGAGGTCAAATGTGTGCTGCTAGGAAAACCACTATGAATCTAACAGGATTAGTGATGAATATAACTACCAAAGTCAGTTCTTTAGTAAATTTTGACGAGTGATCTTGGATTTGACCTTGAACCTAACCATTACTTTCAAATAGAAACCCACAGGGACAGAATCGGTTGCGAATCATTTCTAACGAGCACCGTAGGTTCCTCGTTAAAACGTATTCAAAGTCAACTCAATTTTAGTGGAAATTTTTGATGCCGGCAATCGTAAATAAATAAAAGTCAAATATGTGCTGCTAAGAAGACCTCTAGAAGTTTCGCAGAGATCGCGATGAAAATAACTGGTAAGGTCTTGTCTTTAGTAAATTTGTGCAAGTAGCAGTGATCTTGGATTTGACCTTGAACTCCATCTTCAAGATCATTTTAAGATCAACTTCATTTTTTTCAAATAGAAACAAACGCCTATTTGATGCCGATAATCCAGAGAGCCAGAAACTTTGTTCAAATGTATGTATCAGTATTCAAGGTCAAGGTGACTACGAGGGAACTACGGTGCTCGTTACAAATGATTTTCAACAGATACAGTTCCTGCGGGTTTCTGTTTGAAAAAAATTACCTTGAAATGACTTTGACGATGAAGTTCAAGATCAAATCGAAGATCACTAATCAAAATTCACTATCGAGCTGATCTTGATGGTTATTTTTATCAATAATCTGTTCTTTTGATTGCCGGCATCAAAAATAGGGGTTTCTATTTGAAAAAATAAAGTTGACATGAATTAAGCTTGAAGGTCAAATTCAAGGTCACCGTTGTATTCCTTGCTGGAAGTTACTGAAGACCTGACCTTGACCTTTTCCAGAAATACATTACCCGAGAAAATACAGGGCCGTTCCGGGACTTTTGTGTCACGCAGTATATATTTCTTACAGCGTTACTTTAACTCAGGGGGGTTTAAAGCTTAGCTTACCCCTTAACAGGAACGACCAGAGCAGGATAGCGTGGTGTTCTCAGAGTGCTGTTTTTCTTAACTACAATAATGGAATAGATGACATACTTGAACAAAATGACGCACGAATACATGTCGATATGTTGGTTTTCAGACTCAAATATTGAAGCTTTCAACTGGTCATTTTGTTTGTTTGTTTCCAGACCTGAAACTTGTCATGTACAGGGTGTCCAGTGGGAAAGTTCACTTTTTGATTGAAGAAAAAAATACAAACTTTATGAAAAGAAAATATTTATTACTATCAACATATTCGTACATTCGGAGGGTTTTATTTCTTAAATATCATTCCGTCCAAATGTTTGCCATCCCTTCGGACACACTCTTCGAATCGCGCGCTCAAATTTTGAAACACTCTCTTTAAGCTCCTCCAGTGTTCGTGGATTATTGGAATAGACTTTTGACTTTAGATAACCCCACAAAAAATAATCGCATGGCGTGAGGTCGGGTGACCTAGGAGGCCAGTGAATGTCTCCAAACTTCGATATAACTTTTTGAGGAAAAAGTGCTTTCACCGTGTCCATCGATTCTCTGGAAGTATGGGCAGTGGCTCCCTGTTGAAACCATGTGTTTTTGTGAATCGACGTTCTGTTCTTACAATATGAGCAAAAAAAGTGGCAATCATGTCCTTGTATCGCTCGGAATTGACTGTCCATGCATTACCATTTTCATATTAAAAAACAAAAATACGGCCCAATAATACCGCTAGAGGATATGGCGCACCAAACAGCCACCTTTGGACTATCTAGCTGTTGTTGATGTTTCTCATTTGGGTTCGTTGGCGCCCAATATCTGCAATTTTGTTTGTCACATAACTGTCTAGGGTAAAATGGGCCTCGTCACTGCAAACAGCGTTCTCGAGTCTGTGCTGCATAGGAAAAAGATTCACGATCCGTTCAGCACAAGATTTCCGTAATACGTAATCACTTTCCTTTAAAGCATGGCCTGACTGGATTTTATAAGGAAGAAAACCCATTTTTTTCTTCATTATGCCATGCAGTGTTGACCTAGGTATTCCCAAAGCAGCCGAATGCTTCCGTACAGAACGCCGAGGATATGCAATGATCGAATCACTTACTCGACGCACATTTTCTTCGGTTGATACAGTAGGTGTGGGGCCAGGAATGGGTTAACTAAGAGTGGAGCCTATTTCACGGAACCTCTTAATCCACTTCTTCAATAGGTTCTTACTTGGGGCATCTCGGGGTCGGCGAATATTGTATCGTGTACAAAATTTCCGAAGGGCAGCTGCGTATGAATCACCACTCTTAAAGTAAGCCTCGATAGCCAAAGCTCGTTGCGCTCCGGTCCAACGTTACATTGTAACTATTTAACCCGCACGCCGAACGCGTCGATCAAGACATCTCCCAATACGGTTGCCGCGTAATTCGAATTTGAAATGTGAAGTTTCCCACTGGACCTCTGCTGACTTTCATTTCGATGAGAATATGAGACCATAAATAACCTGAAAAGTGCATAAAAAGGACGTTTGGACCACTTTAGACCAAACATCAAACAGTTTGATCAACAGTATTCTGGATTCTTTGATTAAATTAGAAAATTTGGTGGACCACCAAACCATTACTAAGATAAAAAAGTTTTTTATTTTTGCTAAAAAAAAAGTAGGGCTATAGCACCCCTCAGTTTCACATTTTTTCCATTGAACAGCATCAAACCACCGAATTTATAGTTAAATCAATTTGAATAAGCTCCATATTTGTTATTTTTGTTTGTTTTATCAAGTTATATTAAGTTATATTTGAACCGACTAAATAAAAACTCAAGTTGGGGCTCTCCAGTTTATGTTTTTGCGTTTTTTAGTTACTGCTATTGGACTTTGGCGCTAGTAGGGAGTATTCAAAGCCCTTTATGGATCAATATGTGCGAATATTAAAAGCCGCGTGTGATGGAGACAGGAATACAGTTCTCAATGTATCTAAGGATTTAGGCTTTCTAACAGGATATGAAAGCAAGGTAAACTCATATTGTTTTTCCAATTTTTTGTTTTCATATTTTTGTAAGCTTGATAACATTGTTTCATGAATCCGATCACTAAATATTCTGATATAAAATTCCGGAATAATTCTACTTATTTTTTCTGATATCATAAATACTAATCTCAAATCGCGGCTCAACCCACGTGGAAGTAGTCGTTTTAATGTGAAAGAGATTGGTTTCGGAGAAAGCAATGCAGTATTCAAATTAAAGCAGTAGTAACATTAGCAATTGACATTATCCAACGTTTTATGGAGCAATAAATTAATCACAATAAATTACTCGTTGAAGTACATCTCAGCCTGTGTGTCATATCTTAACATATCCTAACCCAATAACTATTCAAAAACAAAACACAAAAACAAATCTGAATCAAAATGATCGCGGTAAGAAAACGAATGTCGAAATGCATGAAATGCAGGGTGCAAATGCCCTATTTATATATCCTTACTCTTTTCGGTCAGACCGGCATCTGAGCGCTTCCGCGCCAGATACCTCATGTCAAATTTCATTAAACCGTTTGGGTTGTAGTCCGTTAAATGGATGTTTCAAAGTTGTGCTATTACAGACTATAATCTATCTCTGTACCAAATTTTATCCAAATCCGATCAGCCATTTTGGCGTGATTGAGTAACAAACATGCACACTTTCTAATTTATAATATTAGTATGGATAGTAGGGATAAATATGCGCTGTTGGATATCCAACCATTTTATTTTGTTGGTTTGTTTAAGATTTATTTAGCATGATTGCTACAATTACATTCTTCTAAAAAACTAAACAATTGCATAACATGCAGATATTTAGAAAAAACAAAATTTCCATCTCTAAGAATGTTCACTGTTAATGAAATATTCCTTTAATTTTCCTTTAAAAATCTTCAAATTACAATTATTTAGTTTATTAAACTCACGTAATCCTTTCTGAAATATCGATTTGCTAGTTATATTACTATTGCAATTTTGTAAATTAAAAACTGTATTTCCTCTTGTATAATAATTGTGGCAAATTATTCAATTCTATGTAGTGTTCTAATTGTTGTGGCAAAGGATGATTTTTTATTTTAACTATAAAAATAAGAACCAAATATGATATGTAGAATAATTGTATTATAAACTATTTTCTTTGAGTATGTACCAAGACTATAAGAAGCCTTATAAAAGTATTTTTTTGCAATTTTTGAAATAATGAATTCATAGTGACTCTCAAACTTTAGTTTACTATCAATATATTATATACCTAAATATTTAAGTGATTCAACATTTTCAATTATTTCACAATTTATCCTAATTGAGATAGTATTTTCATTTAGGTATTTCCCTATTAGCATACTTAGCATACATTTTGTTTTAGAAGTAATCAATTTTAGTTTATTTACATTTAACCAATTTATGATTAGCAAGTCAGAATTTAGCGTTTTTAAAACAGTGTCTATATTCTCATCTGATATTTATATTAATGTATCATCTGCAAATATCTGAAGTTTACAATCATCTAAAATATTACAAATGTCATTAATGTATAAAATAAATAGTAGTGGACCTAGCTTACTACCTTGTGGTGTACCAACAGAAATATTTTTTGATCTTGATAATGTCGATCCAATGTCAATTAAATAGTTTTGTAGAATTTTGAATACAGATCTGTTAAACCCGTAGTGATGCAATTTTATAAATAATTTATCCCTGTCAATAGTCTCAAACGCCGTTTTGAAAGTCCAAAAACGCTGTTACTGTGTGTTTCCTATTGTTCATACATCTCCTCCAGTTCTCTAAAACCATTTGTGTTGCCGTTTTAGTTGAGTGTTTCTTCCTGAATCCAGCTGGACATTTGGTTAAAATGTTATTTCCCTCAATAAATTCGATGATCTGTCCGTAAATAATTTCTTCAAAGACTCTTTCATCATCTGGCTGAACATTTATTGGCCGCATATTGGTGTACAACTCAGAATTCTTAACTTTAGAAACAGGGGTTATGGTAGAACACTTCAGTTTTTTTGGAAATTCGCCATATTTTAAACAGTAATTTATCAGGATTAATAAGCTTGCTCCTATAATAACAAAACATTCATTAAGCACACTTTTAGACAAAATCTCACTCTTATTTTGATTTGATTTAATTTTTGATATAATCTTTACCGTAGGTGTTTAAACATCGATTTTGATGAAATATTCGCGCTTTCGAATAAAATAAATGTCAGTTACATGATATTTTTAACAGCTGAACGTTTGTCTGATTCCTAATAGATATTCCATGTCTTTCAGGTTATGGAAGAGGCACATGTAAACGCAGTGATGATACTAGGTGAAGTTTTCAGAAAGAAAGGCAAATATGACTTTGGCCATCAAGATATGACTCGAAGAATACAAAACTTGGCTCAAATCATGCTAACCCATCGACTTTGCCCTCCGCCAGAAGAAGTGTATTCTCTACATAGAAAATTATCAGGAGTATTTTTGTTATGTTCCAAACTGAACATTACAGTAGATTGTAGACAACATTTCATTAGATTGTATGATGAGTATGTGTTTGGGTGAACCTTTTTTATGAAAAGTTACAAGAGCATGGGAAAAAACGATCTCTTGAATGAAGCTCAAAATCTTAATAATTCAAACTAACAACATAAACCAAGCTTAACAACATATACATGAGAAGGGAATTAACACCAGAAACAGTACTTAAATAGCAACAACAAAAATGATCTGTGGAATGCTCTTTTATCAAACGCTGCAGAAAACTATCCACTGAAAATATCTCCTCACATCATTTCGATTTTACACACACATATCTTTATTTAAATGCTGGCTCAAAGACGGCAATGGTTACATATATCAAATTTCGGCAACATATAGTGGAAGAATAATGAATATAAATTGTTGTTGAATTTTGATGTGTTGTGATGAATTTAATCAAACCGTTGAATATACAGCAAAAAACTACCAATACTTTCCACTTTAACAAATCATAGGTTTTAACCTTCCTGTTGAATATAGAGATGAGATTTTTTGATAATAAGATGTAATTTCAAAATCTAAAACTGACCTGCTTCAAAATTTATCATAAGTATGCAAAATAATCAAAATGGCAAATTTATTCCATTTGGCCATTCCCTACTTTACTAGAGACAAAGAAAATATTTGAATACGCTCGGGAAGTATTAATCTTTTTCAAAGTTTTTACCTGAAACAATGATTGTAAAACGGATACAAACTGTTGCTCACTCAATAATGTTTGCTGAAAAATTTGTGCTGCATGTCTACAACTAATATTTTTTTAACAATATCTTACATTTTTTGTTATAACTTTTCAACCAACAAGATAATGAAATATTTTCCATACTATCTTATTTTATTCAACAACCTTGAAAATACCCTCCCACAATTTTTGCACATATTTTCATGTTAACCAGTTGTTAACAGAGTTCCTTTAAAATATGCATGCTTTTTGACATATCAAAAAGAAATGCATTTGTCTGCGATAGTTGTGATGAGAACATTCCCCTGATGACAAAAACAGTAAGTACTACCATAACATGATTGATAGCAGATGGTTGAGGAGTTTTTGTAAGTATGCCAGTCTTCTTGGAGACGACACACTCACAGAAGGGCTGGCAGACAGGTCTGTCTAGCTGGGAGCTTTAAAAAAAAGCAGCTATACAAGTTGACCAAAAAGGTGACAAACATTTATTTATTTATTTATTTATTTCCAACAGGTGAAACCCAATTACAGGAAACGCTGAAAAAAAAAATAACAATTAAAGAGACATGGTTCTTGGACTTAAATCTATAGTATCACACATTCTAAATAAGATTGGATGATCTATAACAGTTAATAATCGATGCACAACTGTCACTGTAAATATCACACGATTCAGTAACACTGTTCATGACGCAGCACATGAGATTAATTGGCGATTTTGTTATAACATTAGAATGTCATTTGTTGTCGACTCCCTAGCCTTGGAACGCGGAAACATATTTTTTCAAGTAAATTTTGACAGTCAAGTTTATTGTGAATGAGGCCATACAAAAACGACAAAGCAAATATGTTTCGTCTTGTTGACAGTGAATCCAAATTGAAAGACTCTAATAGGGCACTATGGTCACAACCTCTTTCTGGATAACAACCTGTGCATTTAAGGTGAAAATACTTTAAAGCTTTACGTTGAATGGCCTCAAGGATCACGACAGAATTTTGGTATATAGGAGACCAGATCAGAGTCGCATACTCCAACTTGCTCCTGACAAAAGTAAAAAATAAAGTCATTAATGTATCAACATTGGAGAAACCCTTCCAGTTTCTGATACAGAAACCAAGTAGTCGAGTGGCAGCCGACGAGATATTGAGTATATGCTCAGCTCAGCTTTGAAAAGCTAATAAAGTTGTACTTCATGTGAAGAATCCAAATAACAGCAGAATAAAAAACACCGCTATATGAACGCATGCTAATACAATGACACTAATAGCTTGGAGCAGTACATTCGAGTCAGCTTCCATCACATTGGGGTGTGATGAAAGTCAAGAAATTCTCGGCAAAGATATCATGTTGAGTACCATGTTTATTTTGTCATCAGTATGTTACAAAAAATTCTACACAATTCAAGCATCATAAGGAATGTAAATGGCAACACTGGCTTGATATTATCCGCCCAACAGTATGTGTTGTGATATCACTGGTATCTTTGGTCGAGAATGTTTATGTTACTGTGTGTTATAAATAATTCCATCTAATAAACAAACATCGAAGCTGGTATGGTCGAGCCAACATTTTGACATATAAGTTTGATTTGTATTTTGCATTGTTTGGCGCTAATGTCGATTCGCTTTGAATTTTTCACGTAGGACTGTAGCATAGGCGTATTTTCGTATAATATTTGAAAAGCTTATATAGTTTTTCACATAGATAATTACTGATGCATATCAATCATTGATAATCAACCTGGTTTGGATAAGGACACTGACACATGTAAATTGATCTAGTGATAACATTTTACAATGGCTTTTTAACCTTTGCTATTCTTAATTTAATTAATAAAAATAATCCTTATAATACTTATATTTGCACAGCGTTGGTTAGCTATCATGATAGGTATAAAAATGAGATTTCCGTGATGCATGTATCTAACTTCTGAATATTCTTTAGATAGGCTACAGTGAAATGACAGGAGGGTTCTATGCAATCCTTTCTCTTACCGTAGAGCTCCTTGTTTCAGGGTAAGAATTCTTCAACAAAATTTATGTTACTTATTTTGAACCAATCATGTTACGTAGTTAGGACCCTAATTAACCGAACAGTCGAGTAAAGTATGTCCTCAAAGTTTTGGCACAAAATATGTCGGATTTATGACTACAAAAGGTTACACCCCTGTTAAAAAATGCGCACCAGGTAAGGATTTTATCTGCAAATTTCGCTTTATATTTGTATCTAACATTGTCCGGGCATTCCTCTACGTTATCCTTATAAAATCCGTCGTTGCCCTTCATTTCAGAATTACTCAAAGAGAAATACTTTTCGTCATCTAAAATAAGGATTTTGCTATACGGAGTTGCGCTTGAGTGTATTTGGGGCACTTAAGTCTCTTTCGATATTGTTGCGTTTTTCTGGGTATGGATTAAAACACTGGATTCCACAAAAAGAAATGCACTAATTTATTCAACTTGATAAAACATTTATATCCACCACTATTTATGTCTGACTAATTCTTATGCCAGCATTGACTGTACTATACTTCTCTTCGCTCTGCTACTCCACCGTATTCCGTACACTCTGCCTCCATCTCCCGACCGCCGAGTTATATATAGTCCCCCCATTACAGCTTCGAGAAAAAACCGGATGTAGCACAAAGCGACATCTAGAATGTTGGAGATGACTTCGCGTCGATCTAGAAGGCGATCCACTGTCACGGTCCTCACAGACGCCGCCAGGCGGCTTATGCGCCGTGGTTAGCGTAAAAGCAGAGATCGGCATTTAGGCTCAGGCGAGTACTAGACTCGCCCAACAGATGGCGCTATTCGTCACAATATTTAAGACGATTCCTCCTGAATTCTAACGATGTCGTACTCTTAGAAGAAGTTAGTCTCCTTGTTGACATTCCAACCTGATTTGTTGCTCTTCTCACTAATCTCTCTGACGTGCAGTAAATGCACGTGGTCCTCCACTTTTTGGGAGACTTTAGACATGCTGTCCCTGCTCGCACTCCGCTAATCGATAAATGGTTCTGCGTGAAATGTTTTCATTCTGAATATTCGACAGATTTCAGCTTTGGGTACCCCCCCCCCCCCCCAACCAACTTGTAGATACTTTTTCTTATATCTAATTTATACGACACATTAAAGCGTATTCTTTGCGGCTTCACGTTGCGTTCGCCCGTTGGTCCCGTTTGTTGTCGGTTTTTTGTCCCGCGGCAAAGGGTTCGCAAGGCGCGAACATGACTAGGCTTCTCATTCGCTGGTGTTTCAGTTGCCTCATAGCGAGTGCCGGGAATGGTTGTATTTTTTCCACTTCTTTTCAATTGCTCTAGTTTTACTTATATAATATATGGGTAATTATAAATTGCCAAAGCGCAAAGTAGCCCTGCAGCAGCAGGCGCGAACATCTGCGAGTGTGGAACTGTAGGAACAAATTTCGGGATTCGCACCGCGATTTCACGCCGTGATCCGCGCGAGACTCTGGAGAGGGTACAAAATAAATAAATGTTAACTGCCAGTAAATTAAGTAAACAACCTTTGGTTCTAAAGGCAACTTAATATTATTTTGTATTTGTTAAAATTAAAGCCTATGAATTTTGTGCGAAAACTTTAAGAGCATAAGTTAGTTTATTTTTCTCCATAGCCTCTAAATACTGTTACAACTGTGTTTTGAAGTTCAACTTGTATTTAAATATATTCAAAACGTCGCCGTCGTCCTCGTTATTTCCAGAGCTGCGTTTGTTTATATCGTGCAAAAGCTGTCCCGGTGGACACAGTACAAAACGACAATATTGGAAAAAATATTTTTTTAGCTTAAAAAGATACAATCTTAAATTGGTGCGATAAAAGAAAGCAGCTATTGAAGAAGGATGTTTTAGTTTATATTTGCATCAATTTTTCTCTAAGAAAGTATCCGGTGATAGTGAACTAGACATAGTGATAAATAGTAAGAGATTTCCTGCTGCCTTCAAATTTGGAATTGCAAGTTCTATCAGATCGAAGGGGCATGGAATGAAGGTGGAAAAGACGAATCGGTATGTGGCTACAACATCAATATAACCAAATCTTGTACTTTTTATAATGATTATTATTGAAATGATACTGTCGAAGTTATAATACCTACACTTTACTATCGGCGATTATCGTTGATCGTGTGGTCGTTCATCATAGGCACGAGCATCGTGCATGCATTCACACGAGCGTCCGTAGTAGTTTGTCAAACTGCAAGCATCAATATCGTACGGAGATTCCCTTTGATGCGTGTCCGAAAAACCGACAATTCACGGAATTGTAGGCATCTATTAATTGAAGGAAAAATGTTTTCATCACATGATAAATACAGTGACATTCCACTGTCTATAATATCTTGTGAACGTGACTTCCAAAGGTCAAATTCTGCTTTTAATCTGGTACTTATTAAATTTTTGTTTTCGTTACTATTTAGTCCATGCAAATATTTAGAGATTGTTTCTAATATGTCCATTACTTCAGCTTCAGTTTTTGAATTAAATACCGACCCAAAGAAAATATTGAAATTCTATATATTCAAAGATTCTTCATTGAACCGGTATACCAAATCCTGTAATATATTATCTAGCAAAGGGATATATAGGTTCAGTCTGTAATGATTTTCCTTGTCAGACGTAACTATGTTCGGTCTGTTCATTTGCCTGCTTGTTATTCTTGGTACAGTCAGGGTTTCATGTGATTTCATTATAGATGCGAATAGTATTCTAAAGTTGTTTTTCAGAATTTGCGCGTCTTTCTTGTACAACTGAAATAATATTTCCTATGAGTTTGACAGCGGTCTTTCCAATTTGATATAATATGTAGTACCTCTACAATTTTGTCGAATTTGCTTTCAAATTGGAGCACAGAATCATGTCTCTCGGTCCATCGTGTTTCGCACATACTAAGAGTTTGATATCCGTCTAGTTTTCTTTTTAATACTGTATTTCTTTTAGCGGTTGTTTTGAAGAACGCAATTACTTCCTTCATTATACCTACAGTATTTCTTACTGCTTGGACACTACTGCTTTTTGAAGTCGAAAGATTCGAGGCATGATTTGCGCATGGGCTTTTTAGAGCATTTGGCAAACATTTTTACAATTCCATTACAGCGCCCTTTTGTTCACCTAACTGCCTGAGTTTGGGCTCCATTGTATCTTCATCAAAATTTGAGTAGCAATCCACAAATCCCATAAAGACCTCGTAAATATGTTTTTGATAACAATTCCGCAATACGATTGACCTCTGTGATTTATTGCTCAAATATAATACTGTAATATTGAATTTGCCTGACGCAACTTAAAACTATATCCAAGATTTCTTCGCCAGAACATTCTATAATTTCATTTTGGATGCGGCTGCTTATGTACGTAGCATGCGCCTTTGAGTTCGGTAAGTTTTTTTTCAATAAATTGTCGCCGCTCTCGACTCTAAACCGTATTAGTTCTCTAAAATTCCCTTCATTATTAAGGACATCCTCGTCATTCGTGCTGTCATTAGAAAAAAGTCGTCCCCTATCTCTATGCCCTCTAAGTGGTAAGTATATTTTGGCGTCCTAAAAAAAATTATAGATCCTATTATAGGAGTCAATCTTTACCGATTTTCTGATACTTGCTTAATTCGCTCTGAAAGTATTATATTTCTTATATCATCCTCTGGGTTTTCGTAAATCTTTAAAAAGTTTGTAGCATCTGAAACTGCTTCTGTATGATATATTGAGATCTCATGTCTCACAATAACCGGTTTTGCCATACAATTTCGAAAATTTCTTTAGTGCTACGGTAACAAGTTTTCCCAATTTAGTTGATTTATGTAACCCTCCTAATTTTGCAAAAACCACGCAATATTTACGGAAAAGCCCTTGTACTTCCTCTGAATATGACAGCAAAGGAAATTTCTCAAAGTGTTTTTTTTTTGATAAATATCATTTCACTCCTTTATTATTTTTCAAGTCTGTGGAATACGGATATTTGAAAAGGTCATTAGGGATCATTGCACACCTCCATAAAGTATATGGGAAGACAAGTTGCCGCTGAAATGTACATATGGCGCAACATCAACAAAAATTGGATCCTTTAGGTTTCGCACCCGATTGTTCAACACTTGGTTCAACATACGGTGCAACATCAAGAAATTTTGAAGTGGAAGGCTCAGGTTGAATTGTAGGATTATCATTAGTTTTTTCCGGTAATTCTTGTGCCGGTGGATCAGACAGTTTGTTTTGTTTAGAATCGACCAATCGATGGTATTCTGTTTCATTTGACTAATCCTGACAATAGCAGCCGTCAACCAGCACTAAAAGTTACACAAATATTGTCAAATAAACGGCATTATTGGTTTCCATGCATTCACGTATCTCATAACAAAGAAACTTTTCTGTTTGGAAAACAAGATTTCTTAAGTTCACGTAATTTTCAAAAACTATATATATAATTTGCCATGTCGGACGAACGAAATGCTCTGAAGTGCTTATATACAGGGACTTCCGAGACAAAATAGACATAGATGATAGCAGCTGGAGTATGGAATATGGACCAAACACTTCGTAATTGAAATTATATTAAATTTCCATTTTTCCATCTCTCATTTTTTATACACGATTCTTTTATAGTATAAAAATTAAAAACAAACAAAAATTAATTTTCTGGCTTATGCGTGGAAAATAAAAAATCAATAGAACAGAAAATAGCGTTAATACCAACCAGATCAACAAAACTCTGTTCACTTCTCAGCCAAATTTTGTTGCGGACTCTGGACTGGTACAGAATTTAGACACTAGACTAGACCAAAAAAGGATAGACTATACCTGTTCCAACAGGAAGAACCGCACACCGTTGCTTTTGGTGGGTTGCCGCTATCCTTTCTTAAAGTTACAGATTTACTTTATAAACTTTATATCACCTTTTCAAAGACTGCTCGAGTCGTCTGGGGGGAGGGGTAATTGGTATAGATGGGAGCGCCAGTGGTATAGATAGTATAAAGATGGAATTAACGTTGCATTGTTTTTTTTTTGTTGAAAAAATACATTTTGATGCCAGGTAGTCAAATAAGGGCTCTTCTACAAAAACTGATTGCAGATTGTTGAAGAAAGTTGAATGAATAAGACTATATTTGTACTTTTTCAGAATGACCGATTCATGTAAAACGGGAAATTTGACTTGCCTAGATGTTTGCTTTGCCCATGTACCTTAAAAATATTAAAACATGCGAAATATGACATGTTAAGAAGTCAATATCTAAGTGCATTGACTGTTTTGCTTAAGTTATATACCTAAACTACTAACTATTAAAACAAAGTTCACAAAAGTTTTTCGGGATTTCTCCATTATTATTATTATTAATAATAAACTGTGAAGGTTATTCAAAATTTCAATCTCTTAGAGCTCTAATGCTAGGTACATTAAGGCAAAAAAAAATGCTTTAAAACTGGCTTGTTTGTTAGTGACACAGTTTTCTTATTGTCTCCTGAAAAAATCAAATTATGGGACTTACCAGGCGTTTTTGCTCTGACCGATTCATCTGTAAACACTCATTACTTTAACAAAAACCCTGAGTTAAAGGCAATCGTGAACATGCCCAGCAGTGTACAATGAAATACATAACTTTGTGCATCAAAAAAAAAAAACTAATAAACATCATAGACAACCAGCATTCCATGTTTGAAAATGACTTACCCAGGGTGGACCTTTCTGGAAAACGGCATCTATAATAAGAAAATAACATTTAATTCCATGATGAATTCATGAAAAAACACTATTAATCACCATAGGTCAAACGAATCTTCAGAGTTTAAAGCAAACAGGTTTGATCACTTTTCACCTAAAGTATCGATTATAAGAGCCACTATTATAGTACAAATTTAATTCAAAAATCGTCAAAAATAAGACCGGCCGACGCGACGCTCAAATTAACATCAATACGAGAAACGGTCAAAGATTTCAAAGCCACCTCCGATCGGGCGGAAAAAACACAGCTACCGTTTTTGTGTTTATTTATAGTGCAGGTCGATTAGACCATGGAAGATTGATATGCTCATTCTGTGCTTCATTGGATTTGTTTTTTATAGTAGAAAATATACTCCCGTCATACGCCAGAAGATCATTTATGTTAATTTCACATGTTACAGGAGCGATGAGAATGTGTTGTAATCATTCTCAAAATTTAACGTTTCAATGAAAATGCATGGTTTGTACCTGGTTAAAGTTGATATTTTCTAACGAATTCATTAATTTTACCGAAAATGCCTATCTATAAATAACAAATCATATACTGTTATTTCAGAACTGCCTGAACTGCTGTTTTTTAATTAATAACGTACACAGTAAGTACCATACCATTTTGTTTATGCACTGCCAATAGAGCTGTGTTCTCAAAATAACAGGTTCTACAAAACAAAGTTATGATAGTAATATTGAATGAAAATAAGTACGCCAAAATAAAATCCAGGTTACAAGAATTGTCGAATATAAAAAATTTCTCATATAAGGTTATTTTCATATTAAAAATAAAAAATCATCTTTTGCCACAACATTTAGGCCGGCTCCACACGTTGGCCCCAACGTTGGTCGGTTAAGTTGGTGAAGCGTCCACACGTCCGCTATTATACTAGTTCCTTTCTGTCAGAGCCAATGTGAAGATGTCCGACACCGAAACCGAAATTGCTTTAAGCGCTTTTACAGTACTGATGAGTGCGTATAATTTATATTTGTTATTGAAAAAAAAGAAAAAGCCACGTCAAAGGAGATGGTGGATGACAACGCATGATAAAACACGGTACCAGTAAGTACAGACCATACACTCCATTCTAGCAGCTTTTTGCAAGGCAATTTAATATTAAATTATCTATTAATGTGTATACAGTGTGTCCAAGATAAGGATGTCTATCATGTGGATCTTGGAAAACAAAAGTGATACGAAGATGGTTAAATTAGAGAAAAGCTGCACATTTTCAGTGATACAACAAGACTGAGCCAGTGAGCCAATATGTGGACGGATCGCCAACGTTGGCGCAGATTCCTTTGAATAAAACCGACAATCGACAGCCAACTACCAACGGTCGCTCCAACGTTGGGGCCAACGCTATTTTCTAGATACACACGTTGGCCAGTGGCGTTGGAGCCAACGTGTGGAGCCGGCGTTAGAACATTTCATAAAACTGAATAATTATTACGAGAATTATTATACAAGAGGAAATATAGGTTTTCAAAAATTTACAAAATTGCAATATTTTATTTATAATTAGCAAATCAATATTGCAGAAGCGATTACATGAATTTAATAAACTAAATGATGATATAAAGCCTACTTGGAATTTAAAGATGTTTAAACGAAAATTAAGGAACATTTCATGCACAGTGGAAATTCTTAGAGATGCAAGTTTTGCTTTTCTGAATATTTGTATGTGATGTAATTGATGTAGTTTTTTAGTTAGAATGTAATTGTAACAATAATGCTTAATAAATAGTAAACAAACAAATACAATTGTGTACAGTATCTTTACAACTTTACTAAATGATCGGCGAAAAGTTATTAAAAATGTTATCAATTTGGTGTGATTAAGTGTATGTACAGGTATGTCTTATATTATCTGCTAGGGCTTTGGTTACAAATTAGAACACAGTATCTGTATGATTTCTAAGCAAAAATACAGTAAGTACAGACCATTAAATATGTTTTCATATTATAATGACAAAATCTCATTTTCACATTTTTTGCACTGACTGCGTTCTGGCTTATGACGGCAGTATAAATGCGTTTTCGAAATGATTGATGTAGAACTAAAAAGTGATGGAAATGTTTATGTAATTAAATGGAACTGCGAATGTGATCAATGATCTTGTATTCCGAAATGAAGCAAATAATTCACAGTCTAAGTCTCAGGTTAATCTTTGACCATTTATGAGGAACAAGAAAATATGGTAACATATATGAAATCCTGCATTGTCTACAGGATCCGTATTTGCCCTGGCTACTCTGATTTTTTCATTCAGATGAAGGGTATAATATCGAAACCCATGACAAATAAAAATCATGTGCGCATTTTTGCTTTTTTACAATATTTTATAATTTAATTGATATGCATAAAATTTTGATTTATATATATATATATACCTTTGGGATCCCGGAAACTGTAATAGATACGAAGTCGGTCAAATGGGTGCAAAATTTCGAATGTAGGTAATGAACAAAATGTGTCTTGGAAAGTTTCGAAATTCAACGTACTTCCAAAGAGAGACGGAAGAAAACGAATTTTCCCAAATTCGTTTAATTTTTTCCTGACTTTACTTGTAGTGAGATTTCAAAAAAATTGCTTATTAACATTGCCACTCTTTCTCCTTTAAACGGTGGTATAATTAGAATTTCAATATGACGTTTCGTCTCTTGTCCTCCAGCATCAACTTTATTTTTTCTCATGGACGCCATATTGGATTTTTACACAGATGAATAGTTTTTAATTATGAATCCAAAAATGTATAATACGTCATACATTGACATTGCCACGCCTAAGTTAGTTCAAAAAAGAATTTCCTAAGTATGATTTGAAATTATCGGATTATCATTTGTTTCGCATACCCGATTTATTCCAAAATCACTTCTATTTTTCTCTGACTTTATTTGATGTAAGATTTCAGAAAATTTTTTTACCACTCACTCTTCTCCCTACATTGTCCACTGCTCATTTCTCTTCTTTTCAGTCTTCCAAACTCTGTTGCTATGTTCAATTAAGTTCTGGTATGGTATACGAAACAAATTGAATCTTATAATTTCAAGGCCTACCTAGAAAATTCTGTTTTCCTGAAATAACTAAGATTTGGCAGTTCGAATGTATGAGATATAGAATTCTAATTATGCCATCTTGTAGAGGATAGAGTGGCAATGTTAATGTGCAATTTGTTCTGAAATTCCACTACAATTAAAGTTACAAAAAAATGATTTTGGGAAAATTCGTTTTTTTCCGTCTCTCTTCTGAAGAACTTTGAATTTCGAAACTTTCTAAGCGGTATTTTATTGATTACCTAAAGACACAACTTTGCCACCATTTAAGCGACTTCGTATCTCTAACCGTTTCCGAAATCCCAATGGTAAGAGTCGTGTTGGAAATTTAAGCTTCATATAGGTTTTATTTGCAAATGCGTTTGAGAAACAAAATGCTTCATATTGACACGCATTGCTGTTATTTCAGGTCACACCTTGGGGATTTGGAAAATTATTAAGATGGTTAAATAATACCTACCACCCCAACGAAATAGTAGTGACAGAAAACGGATTTTTGATAAAACTGGAACACTGGTAGACGACGACAGGATAGATTACCGGCGGGTATGTTGTGCATCACGTTATCGTGTAGAAGCATAATTTCTAGCCCATTATAAAAGAGATTCATTATTCACTTTTTTTCCACAGTTACATGAGTGAAGCATTAGATGCTATACATGATGGTATTAACATAACAGGTTATAGTGTGTGGTCTCTTCTTGACAGCTTCGAGTGGATTTTCGGCTACACGTAAGTTCATTTAATTTAATGGTATTTTTGACATCTTATGGTTTGAAACATCTGTTCATAATAAAACTTCAAGGAATTACGGTAAAGTTGCGAAGACTTTGATAAGATTTGTTACTTCAGATGTATTTAGAAGTCAAAAAAGGCAATTGTTAAAAAAGTAAGCTGGTACAAATAGAAAAAAATTCTACTTGCATTAACAAATTATAATGTTACAACCTAATCAACATCAAATGAGTCAAATACGAGGTACGTCCGGAAAATACGTATAAAAGTGGAATAAGAACTTTATTTTACAATTGTTTAGGTATTTCAAAATTGGCTCCTTCAAAGTATTCCCCCTGAGATAAGATTCACTTCAACCAACGCCGTTTCCACTGTTGATACGATCGCTGAGTCAAAGTGAGGCTCTTCATTTGCCGTGTCGTTTCTGTCTTGATGGCTTCCATATCCCCAAGAAGCACCATTTTGCATTTTAGGAACAGAAAGAAGTCGCAAGGGGCTAAATCGAGTGGAGGATCCACCTGCCCCCTTTTGCCAAATTCGGTCGAACTCGGGCCACACTAGCTCTTAGACTACTCAAAACTTTAATGTAAAAATTTCCGTTCACTGTCTGGCTGGGAGCGACAAATTCCTGGTGAGCAATGCCCCGAGAATCAAAGAAAACAATCAACATTGTTTTCGCATTGGACCTTGATTTTTTCGACTGTTTTGTTCTCGGTTCCCCAGCTTCCTTCCAAGACTCGTCTCCAGTGATGACCCGGTTGAGAAAGGACCCCCTTTCCTCTGCTTCCAAACAATCCTCACAGAAAGCAACCCTCCTTGCTTTCTGTTCTGGAGTCAAGAGCTTCAGAACGAGTTTCGCGCACACTTTTTTCATTTCAGTTTTTTCTGTCACAATTTCGTAGACGATTGTTTTGGGGATTGAAAGTTCCTCAGCTATCATTCTAACTGTCAATCGACGGTCTTTAATAACACAGCCCCGAATTTCCCTCAGAGCTCGATGTGGCGGGGCGTCCTGAGCGTTGGTCATCTTTCACATCTTGTCGGCCTTCCCGAAACCTTTTCAACCACTTGTTGACGGTTGATTCCTTCAGAATTGTCTCCGTAAACTTGTTCCAAACGCTCAGAAATCTCACGACCATTCTTGCCTAGCTTTGCAAGAAACTTGATGTTGATGCGCTGTTCCTCGATCAGAGAGCTCCATGTCGACGGCAGGTAAAAAAGGGTTACTTTCAATAAGCACGCGTAAATCCTACTCTTATTCGCAGAGCACTCCAAAACGCCATGTCACGTCGCCCCAAATTTTTCGGACAAACCTCGTATAAGGTACTTACCTGCTATTGAGAAACTGTCCTTAAAGTTAACCAAGCAGCTTCAATATTTGAAAGTGTTTGCTATTGAGTAGTTTAGAAAAGAGACGCCTCGAGACAAATTTTCATATGAATCGCTAACAAACTGCATAACACACATTTTTTTTACTAATTTTCTTCGCCAAAATGACAACTATCTCTGTATTTACAGATCCAAATATGGACTTTATCAAGTGGACATGGCCGATCCACAAAGACAAAGGAGGCCAAAGAAGTCGGCTGTATACTATTCAAATGTACTCAGAACAAGATGTAGACGACTGTGACTGTAGTTAAATGAAACTAAATACATTATTAAAACAAGTTTTTTTTATTTAATTTACAGTACCTAGTTTCATATTGTAAAATCATTATCAGTACATGACACCTAATTTTATAATAACACAACTTCACCAAAATTGACTCAAACAAGTTCATCTAAGCCAGGTCTCTCTCGGGATCCATAACCTTTCGATGGAAATCTTCTAGTCTGAAATTGTTGAGGCCTCCTGAATCGGGTCATCTGTCCTTGTCTATTGTTCATTATTGGAGGCTTCTGAATCTCTGAACAAAGTTGTTCATCCAATGTCTGAAACATTAATCAATAAAGAAAATGCTATTTAAAAAATTGATTTGCGTCCACTGCCACTGGGGGTTTTAAAAGTATATACACTGAAAACCAATTGACTGACGGTTCAATGTGATAGATAGAAGAGATAGATCACGGCTTTATAGCGAAGCTCATCGCCAGGTTGCTTAGCAACGCTGACGCGGGAATCTGCCGCGTTGCCAATATGTTACACCAGTTCCTTAAGTTAAGATGCATATTGAAAATATGCGTTAGTTTATTCTTTACGTTCAAATAATGGTTTCACTTTGAGTGTACAATTTTTTGAATTGCGTTGAATCTGTTCAGGATACATTCTGTATCGGTCCTAACAGGGCTCCATTTTAGGTCGAAATGAAGGGTCAGGATCGCCACAAATTCTGCAACATTGCATCATTGGTTCGTTTGATAACACCGCATCTTGCACACTCAAAGGCAGCTATCCACCTCCTTGATCATAGCTGAGCGATTTTAGTCAGTACCCATCTAGCGCTCATAGGGATGTGTCATCTTTCTTTGAAATGGCTTTCACCTGCGTACACACAGGCAGTGATCATTCCTATTGTGTTACATTTTTTATTACATTTTTCGACCCCAGCAACTCACGATGTACTGATTTCATCACCATTGGTGGAAATCAAGGATAATTCTAAAGGAAATTAAAAAAATTAAAACTCCAAATTGCATCAACAATGAAATAAATAAATAATTCTAATAAAATATTAAATTAAATGTTTCGAACAGAAAATGGTATGGAGTTTACTTGATGACATGTTCAGACCACGCGATTAGACATCATGGAGCAGTATCCAAACAAGCAACGTTTAATTATTGTGAAAACTCCCTACAAAAATGGAGAAAATTACGCGGAAACAGTTCGCAAATTACGTACAATATTCGGTAGCAATAATGCGCGAAATGAGTCGATAGTTCACCGTTTAATTACAAAATTTGAAACGAAATTCACGTTGCTGATGTGAAGACCACTGTTCGTCGCCGTCCTGGTCGGTCCCTCTAAAATATATTCGCAGTGCGGGAAAGTGTGGCCGAGAATCTAGGCGCTTCCGTTCGGCATCGTGGCCAAGAATTAAACCCTGTCAGGCCCACTCTGCAACGAATTTTGACAAAAGATCTATGCTCGAATGCGTACCAGGTTCAACTGACGCAAGAACTCAAGCCAACGGGCCATGCGCCGCGCCGTGAATTCGTTGATTGGGCACTTGAGTAGCCCAAAATTGATGCGGATTTCTGAAAAAAATGTTCTCCGAAGAGGCACATTTTTAACTGAACGGGTACATCAATAAGCAGAGCTGCCGAATTTGGGGTTCTGAAAACCCTCGTGTAATAATCAAAAAAAAAAAAAAGGAAAAAACCGCGAGTCACCAGACCGTGACGATCAAAATTGGCCAAGATCGTTAGATCTAACGCCAATGGAATTCTTCCTCTGTGAAGGAAAAGGTATATGCGAACAAGCCACAAACAGTTGAACGCCTTAAAGAAGAGATACGGCGCGTTATCGACGAAACAGAGCCACAGTTGTGCGAAAACGTTATCCACAATTTTAAGAAAGGACTGACCCTGTGTCAGAGGTTTCTTGGTGGCCATTTACCTGATGTCCTATTTCATGTTTAATCGCAACTATTCCTCTTCATGTTGAAATATAAATACTCGCTTAATTCGAAAAGAAATTGTGTTTTTCTTGAAAATCAAATCCGGCCCCCTTATTGAGACACGCTTTAGAAGCCTGTGCAAACATTTTCTGGTGTAACGTATTGGTAACGCGCCAGATTGCACGAACTTCTGCGTCACCTCTTTCTAGCACAGACACTTATCACGCTTCTCTCTCGTACGCATTAAACTCTAGCCGTTTGGTTTTTCTTGTAGACTAATCAGTAGTAGGCTAGAACAACTGTTTTGCCGAGACTATTCATAGCTGTATAAAATGTATGGTTTTATGAAAACGATGATGGCTCCATTTATAGAATCTGAGCCTGAAATTTTTGTACTAGTGAGCCTATTCTTTGGTGTGTATACTTTGGTAATACTTTGTGTGCATGTTGCAAAGTAGGATGTTTGGACAAGCTCTTAATACCAATACTTACGCTATCAATGATGTGTCCTTCATTCTGTAGCTGTTGTTCTATTCTGTTAAACTCCAGAGCAATTTCTGCATTGTCCAATTCTGTAATAGCATTCTTCACACGTTCAATGACTTCTTTGTTGAAAGTATGCTTATTTGGACCAGCTATATCCTCACTCAAAATGTTTTTTAGCACAGGAATTGCATTTTCAACTCTCCCCACTTCTGCCAGAGCTGCAACCTGACAAAAAATGAATTGAAGTAACATGACAGGAGTAAAATTTTATAGAACACTTTTATGCCATGTTAACCATGTTAACTAGTACCATGATTTATTTGAGAGTACTTTGCAAAACTTACCTTCAAATTCCTGACTGTGGTGTAGTTCTGATTCTTAGCACTGGTTAGAATTTCTAATGCTATCGCTGGTTCACCTTGGTTAAAAGCAAGTCCAGCACAGAAGGTTGCAGCTCTTCTCATAGGATAATGACCAACTTCTTTCAATTCATTCCATAACTTTAGAGCATAGTCCAGACTTTCCTTGGTATTCTGGGTAAAAAATGCAAATAAGTAATTTGAAATGCACAAGAAAATATCATACCATCATATGGAAGTACGAGTTTTGCATATAGAAACATAGTAGCCGCACGGATAGAACGTCAGTACTGAATCTCAACCTCACTCTTTAGTAAACTTAAATTCAATGTTTCACAACAATGCAGTGTTCTCACTATAGTGAATTTTTTAGTGTCACCAAGTCATTAGAAAAATGGAACTCAACCGAGAACATTTTCCATAATTTATTACAACTTTCAGAGATAATTATCGCAACAAGAATGCCTTGCTGAATAACTGTCTGTTTTCGGCAACGAAGCGTCACATCTGTCGACAATTTCCCGTTGGTATGGAGAATTCAAACGTGGACGGGTGAGTCTTAGCGACGATCCCAGGGTGGGTGCACCAAAAACGGCAGTCACCCAGGAAAACGTCGATGCTGTGCGCAAACTCATCATTGAAGATAGACATGTGACATATAACTAGATTGAGGCGTCCTTGAAGATCACAAAGACCACAATTCAAAAAAATGTACATGAAGAATTAGGAGTAAGAACATTAGTTTCTCGTTGGATACCCCACCTGTTGACTGAAGAGCAGAAAGCAGCCAGGGTTGATTGGTGTCAAAAAACGCTTGACCATTTCAATTGCGGAAACTCAAAAAATGTGTACAGCATTGTTAGTGGTGATGAATCGTGGATTTACTGTTATGAACCAGAAAATAAACGACAGTCGGCTGTTTGGGTGTTCCAAAGTGAAGAAAAGCCAACAAAAGTCGTCCGTTCTCGAAGTGTTTCGAAAAAAATGGTCGCGACATTTGTGTCAAAAGCAGGTCATATTGCAACAATTCCTCTTAATGAGCAAGGAACTGTTACTGCGGATTGGTATACCACCATTTGTTTGCCGAAAGTCATCACCGAGCTTCGAAAAATCAACTCGCACAAAAAACAAGGCAGTATTTAACGGAAGAAAACGTGGAGTTATTGGACCATCCTCCATATAGTCCCAATCTAAATCCTAACGATTTCTTTACCTTCCCGAAAATTAATAACAGACTGCGTGGTCAAAGGCTCCAGTCACCAGAAGAAGCAGTTGACACATTCAAAAATGCCGTTTTGGATCTGCCAGCAAATGACTGGAATAAGTGCTTCGAAAAATTGGTTCAAGCGCATGCAGATGTGTAGTAATCTTCATGGAGAATACTTCGAAAAACAATAAAGTCATTTAAAACTACCTACCGTGCTGTTTTATTTCCATATACAAAACTTAAAAGACATCCCTTGTATTGTTAGTAATAGCCCACCAAAAATCATTTTATTGGTCATCAATTTTCTGTAGGTGAATTTGGTAACATGATTATTTAAGCCCTGTTTGTACAGTTGTCACCAACTTGTCAGTGATTGTGTCCAAGATCCTGCCACACAAATTCCATTCAGTCCGCTAAATTATATAAATGAAATTCATAGACAGAATTCACATGGCCAGGTCCGAGACACAGTCACCAACTTCTTTATGAACAAATCTTTAATCTTCATATGGATTTTTGTTCAGATTTGCAATAATAAGGACCCTTCTATTGTAATTATCACATTATGTATGTTGTTGCTACTATGACTACTTACCATTTTATAGCAAGCTGCCAGAACTAATACAATAACATTTTTAGGGTACTTCAAACCATCAATTTGTTTGCCTTTGATAATTCCAAATGCTTCCAAAATTTCATTGTGTTTGCCATTTTCATATAGCAAATCTAACAAAATTTGATAACTCATCATCTGGTCAAAAAATCCATCCAACTCCGGCGATTTAAAACACTAGAATAATTTAGTTGAATAAAAATGATAAGAAATTATTATTAATAGCTACCTCAAATGCCAAATCTGCTTTATTGAAAAAATGAAACATTCTCATTACTACTGGACCAAATATATAACTTCCAAACCTCAATTGCTTATTTTGCTTATTGAACCTGAAATAAGTAACAATATAATTTTTAATTTAAAGGTACAACCCGTCAAATATAGCTAGAGACTTGGTCTTCCCGATATTACGCTCCACCTCCGATGCGCACTAGACAGCACCAAAATTTCATCATTAGTATTTCGTGACAACTGGACGCAAGGTGTTGTACAGTCTGCGACAAAAACTATTCTGTTGAATTTCTTTTTCCTGTACTGGAAGGAAGTTGTTACTGATTTGAGTGTTTAAATAATTAACATGGATTTTCAATCAAGATTAAAAGGCAAAGTTTTGTCTGGACAAACAAGGGAGGTTATAGCGAATGTAATCTTTTTTATGCAGCGAGAAGCGATACAAAATCAGCCTATTAAGGATTTAAAAAAAGTACAGGAGCGCGCTGCCCTAGCTACGGGAGTAAGCTTAAGCACTATAAAACGGATCTCTCGTGAAATGAAAAATGTGGAAGAAGGTGGTGCTACGTCATTTTCGACGCCTAACAACAAACGAATGAAATGTGCCCCAAAATCAAACTTGGATGATCTTGACAGAAGTCTACTTCGCCGTATAATAATCAATTTTTATGTCACCGAAAAACGAGTCCCAACCTTGCGACACATAATACACAAACTTAGAGAAAACAATATTTATACAGGGTCACATGAAACTTTGAGAAAAGTGATGAGGGATATGGGATTTCGATGGAGGAAAACGAAGAATAACAGGAAAATCCTAATGGAAAAACCGTATACAGTAATACCCCGGACTTACGCGATAGGTGGGTCCGAACGGTTGCCGTGTAAGTCGAATTCGCGTAAGTCGGGGTTCAATGTTGCATATAAATACATATAAAGTTTGTTTAATCGGGACCAGAGTTTAAAGAAAACAATAATTTAGAAGAAAAATGTTTAATAAAGTGTAGGATAATAAAAAAAATTACATTGTTATGAATAAAGTAAGCTAAACCGAAGTTATTTTGATGTCGAAGGCTTTATATATTCTAACAATGTTGCCTGACGAGTTAAATTTTTCTTCTTTTCACGTAAAATTTCCTCGTAGCATACCAGTAATTTTTTTATCCCTCGTTTTGTAGTAGACACGCGTTCTTCATTAGAATCAATTTTTTCTAAAATTTGTAACCCCTTTTCAATTGAATTGAGTCCTTCTGTTAAGTTTGCAATTGTCATTTGATTTACCGATTCAACTGGGTCTAGCGAATCAGTTTGTTCAATGTCTTGCTCATACTTACGCATTTCTATAACCTCGTCAATTGTTAGCTCTTGATTGTGTGAATCTAGCAATTCTTGAACGTCATCATTATCGACCTCTAAATTTAATTGCTTGGCGATATCGACCACTTCTTCTATTATGCTATCGATTTGTTCAGGATCTGAAATGGTTTCTCCTTGAGTTTCAGAGGTGAAAAAAAATGGACACAGTTTTTTCCAGACACCATTGAGAGTTTTTTGTGAAACCTCATTCCAAGATTGTCCAATAATTCTTACAGCATCTAAAACATTGAATTGCTTCCAAAAGTCTTTAACAGAAAGCTCATTGTTTTGTCTCATAGCTTCATGTAGATGTGCAAATGACCGCCTTGTGTAGTAAGCTTTAAATGTTTTAATGACTCCCTGGTCCATTGGTTGAAGCAAGCTGGTAGTGTTTGGTGGCAAAAATACAACTTCCACACGTGGATCGAAATTAATTAGAGTTGCGGGAGGATGACCTGGTGCATTGTCAATTAGTAGCATCACTTTAAATGGGATTTCTTTTAATCGGCAGTAACGTTCGACTTCAGGAATAAAATGATGGCCAAACCAGTCTTCAAAAAGAGAAGCTGTCACCCAAGCTTTCGCATTAGACTTCCAAATGACAGGCAAACCAGCTTTGGATTTATTTTTTAAGGCCCTTGGATTTTCTGAGCGATAAACTAAGAGAGGTTTTAATTTACAATCTCCAGCTGCATTCGCACCAACCATCACTGTTAATCGATCCTTGGCGGCTTTAAAACCTGGAAAAGTTTTCTCTTCACGCGCAATAAAAGTTCTTTTAGGCATTTTCTTCCAAAAAAGACCTGTTTCATCTACGTTGAAAATAGTTTGGCTAGTGTAGCCACCTTCATCTATCATTGTTTTGAGTTTTTCTGGATAGAGAGATGCAGCTTCTTTATCAGCGCTTGCCGCTTCTCCACTCTCTGCGATGCTATGCCAATTACAACGACTCTTAAATCGGCTGAACCAGCCGTTACTAGCTTTAAACACTTCATTTTCAGCCGCCTCCCCAGCTTCTTCTTTTAGTTTTTCAAAAATCTGCTTTGCTTGAAAGCACACTGTATTTTGATCAACAGGACAATTTTTCACTCTTACTTGATTATCACACCATGACTGTAGCAATGTTTCCATCTGTGCGATAATACCGTGACGCTTACGGATGATACTTGAATTCAAAGATTGAGAGTCTTTCACAGCGTTCATAATTTTTTCTTTACCTTTTACAACCGTTCGGACTGTTGATTCCGGAAGGTCAAATTTCTTCGCCAATTCACAAATTTTCATTTTTGCTTCAAAGTCTTTAATTATATTCAGTTTACACTCCAAAGACAGTGTTTTTCTTTTCTTGTTAGGCTCAAATGACTCATTTTTTGTTCTTTTAGACGACATAATTAGAGATTATAAGTAAAACGCACTGCGCACGTAAAACAATTGCACGCGAAACACGTTTAAACCTGATGCAAATTGAACACTGAGTGGGCGGAGCGAGAGAGCCGATGCGCGCGCGGAGCGAGAGAGCCGAAGCGCGCGCGGAGCGAGAGAGCCGATGCGCGCGCGGAGCGAGAGAGCCGATGCGCGCTGCGCGCGGCAATCAAAATGAAAAACCGCGTATCTCCGAATTCGCGTAAAACGGGGTAGCGTAAGTCGGGGTATTACTGTATACAAGCGCTTCGGAGAAGTTTTCTCAGGAATATTAAACATTATAGGGAAGAAAATCGGCCCATAATTTACATGGATGAGACTTATATTCATTCCTCTCATACCCATGCCAAAAACTGGGGAGACAATACCATCGAAGGTTTCCACAAGCCAGTGTCCAAAGGGCCGAGGCTAATTATTGTTCATGCAGGCGGCGAAATGGGTTTCATAAACAACGCACGTTTACAATTCAAATCTGGTACTAAGTCCGGAGATTATCATAGTGAAATGAACTATAGTAATTATAAAAAGTGGATCCAGGAAAAACTTATTCCTAACATACCAGCCCGTAGTGTATTGATTATAGACAATGCACCGTATCACAATGTCCAACTACAAAAATGTCCCACAATGGGGTGTAGAAAAGATGAAATGAAGGAATGGCTGAGACAGCGGAACATTCCATTTTCGGAAGACATGATAAAAGCAGAATTATATGGCATAATAAACATGCACAAACCTAGTTATAAAACCTATGAGATAGATCAGATCATGAATGATGCAGGTCACTCTGTCTTAAGACTACCACCCTACCATCCGGACTTAAATCCGATTGAATTAGTGTGGGCTGCTCTAAAACGATATGTGGCAGATAAAAATGTGGACTTTAAATTCCAAAATGTTGAGGAATATTGTGAAGAATTTTTCTCCAAATTTACCCAAGAGGAATGGAAAAAATATTGTGAACATGCTATTTCTTTCGAGCATTATTTCATGGAAAAGGAACCAGCTCTAGATTTAATTGTCGATGAAGTTATAATAAATTTGCAGGAAGATACTGACAATGACAGCGTGGATTCTCTGGAAAATAGCAGTTCCGAGACAGAAGATGAACCTCTTGAACGCCAATTGTAATCTCGTTTTTTTGTGGTACGTAAAAAATTGAATTATCTCAAGTTTTTTGTGTAGTTAAGTTTTATTTTTTAACAAAGTAATTTGTTTATATTTGGAAGGAACTTTATTGTTATTCAATAACTATCGAAATGTTTTCGTCATTACACTTTTTAAAAATACATACATACATCGATTTCAGAGGTTTCTTTACAAATTAACACTCTCGCTGCCACTGATATTTGTGTCATTTGACTTCCATATGTCACGAACAGTTTCAGATACTAATATTTACGTTTTATCCTGAAAACACTTAAGAAAAACATGTTAGTTTTTATGGCACCATTTTCAATTATAGGCCAAAACTGCTACCAAACTTTGTTGCTTCTAGGCCATTAGAAACAATTATCCATAAGAAATATTAGCAGCGTGTATAGCAAGCCATACACACCGGCTAAAATATTGAGATGCCCGGTATATTGACAGCGATACACGTGGCGGCGCCGGCGAGAGTGTTAAGATCACATTCTGCAAACTTGTTGCACGGAGTGTACCAACGAGGCGACGAGACACAGCGCATCATGTATCTCTTTTTCTCCGAATGCGTTCTCACTTAATTTTCTACGCAGACGGCAACATTTCCAAGTCTCTAGCTATATTTGACGAGTTGTATATGAACTACTATGAAAGCTTATCTTTATGAAATAACCTGCACTCTTTGAGGAAGCCTAAACTAATATTATTACAAGTATTCACAAAACTATATACCCAATTGTTATTTGAGGCAAAATAACACATCATTATTATTACAGTATATTCAGATAAGAGATAGACCGGATGTAAACAAAAGGTTCGGGTGATTTTCACGCTAACGCCGCCGTCTCGACGTAAAACAGGAGCCCTCATTGGTCAATTCGCAATTAAATGCCTATGCCGAGCGGCAGAGCAGTCGTATCAAGGCAGAGTCACATTCAGGTTCAGACGTGTTACGTATGTCGTGTGCATCATTGCAATTTGATATTTCTTTGGACGTTTTCGTTTGTTATCTTATTAAGTTGTTGAGTTTGTCGTTGTTATTGTTATACCTTGTTATTGATTGTTATTGTTATCAACTGCTTGCGCAAAATGCCCAGTAGTACAGATACTGCCGATGAAGTTGTAAACTCCTATAGTCCACCTAGGAAACGCTCTAAAAAAAGACACCTGAGTGCAGAAATGAAAGAGGTCATTTTGAATATATATAAGATCGAGCGCGAGGAGAACGAGGCATCAACCATCAAAGAAATTGTTGTGAAGGTTTCTCACAAAGTTGGGGTGTGTCGCGCATCAGTGTTTAATGTGTTAAGACAATACAAAAAAAATCACACCTTTTCTGAGCCAATGACCAGTAAACATCGCAAAAGTATTGTTAAATCATTGGATGAAGCTGATAAGCATGCGATTAGGAGGAAAGTGCATGAATTCTTCTTTAGGAATGAAATACCTACTATAAAGTACTGCAGGAGGTAAATGGGGATACAACGTTGCCAAATTTCAAACGATCAACTTTCCATGCGTTACTGAAGCATTTAAATTTCAAATGGAAAAAACGGGGTCGTAATAGTTTACTACTGGATAGAGAAGAAATTGTGCTATGGAGGAGGGATTATTTAACAAAAATTGGGAAATATAGAAATCAAAACAGGAAGATTTATTACCTTAATGAAAGGTGGGTAAACGCAGGACACACTACAAGTAAAGTATGGGTTGATGATTCTGTAACTTCATCCAGGAGGGCCTTTCTAGATGGACTGTCCACCGGATTAAAAAATCCAGCAGGTAAATACAAGTAATAGACAACAATCGGATGTTTTTCAAACCTTGGGAACAAGGTTCTAAACATTAATTCCAGGGGGCAGATAAAACATATTACAAGTAACAAAACTTTTATAACTTTCGATAAAATGCGTGGATGTTTTATTGTCATTTTCATTTGTTAGAACTTTTTTAAGCCATGTTTTTATGTGTTTTCGATATTTCAATAATTTTTTAATATAATCTTAAAATATGTCGAATATTATAAACTTAAAAAAAGTTACTAAGTTTTATACTGTGTACCGTTCCTAATATTTCTAATCATTTTAATTCATACTTTAAGCTTTATAAAGTTATAATTTGTTAATATTAATATTTGCGCGTATTTCAGGTTCCTGATCATTCATTTTTTAAAGGTTTATAACTTTAAATTAAATTGTGAAGCGCTGAGTAATCATATGACGTTCAATATTCTTTCTTTCAATATGCCTAAATAATCCCAATTATAGCAATCTGATACTCATGTCTCAATGTTCGCTTATTGAAATAAATCTATACCAGTTAGTACTTCGATTTCCAGGTAAAGGGAAAAGGCAGTGAGGATGGATTTGTTGTTGACGGTCTGTGGTGCTTTGAGTCTAAGAAAACTGGAGATTACCACGAGGAAATGAATGGCGAATCGTTTGAACAGTGGTTTTCAAAAATTTTACCGAACTTAGAGGAAAACGCAGTAATTGTGTTTTATAATGCGCCTTATCATTCTCGAAGAATGGAGAAGGTCCCAACAACGGCTTCAAGGAAAGTTTATGTTCAAAATTGGCTCCGCTCGAAAAATATCAACTTTGAAGAAGCAATGTTGAAAGTACAATTATTAAGAATTGTCAAGGATCACAAGGCGGAATATCAAAAATACGCCATTGACGAAATGGCAGCAAGTCAAAATAAAACTGTGCTCCGTTTACCTCCATACCATTGCGAGCTCAATCCCATTGAGCTCATATGGGCAGAGGTTAAAAATTATATAGCTAAGCACAATACAACTTTTAAATTTTGTGACCTCAAAGGACTTTTCAAAGAAGCACTAGAATTAATAACAGCGCAAAAATGGGAAAACTGTATTAAGCACGTGAAAGACAAAGTTGAAAAGAGAATGTGGGAACTGGACAATATTTTAGAGGAACAAGTCGAGCCATTCATTATTGACGTTGGTGCTTCAGGCAGTAGCGATGATGAAAGCTCATCAAGCTCATCTTTCCAATAAAAGATGTCGTTCATCAAATTCGGTAAGTTATAAGTAATTATAAAGCTACTGTATTTTTTAATTAATTATTGACATTTTTGAACCCATTTTGGCAAAACCTATTCAAGAATCTACTTTCTGACAATGTTCAACCATGCACATTTTTTTACATTTTGAACGTTTTAATTTGGTTACATATTTACCTAGAAATCAAAAAATATACTAATCAATATTCTAAAAGCAATTTTAAGAGATATACGATTATTTTTAATTTAGGCTAATTTAAACGCCATTTTGAGATTATATTCGACTGTATTTCACCAAACATCAGGCGGCATCCGAAGCTGGAAATCGAAGCGAAAATTTTGAAACCCTTATGTATATTTACATCATTATATATTTCTTACCCCACCCCCACATGATCCTATATCCATCACCAATTGTATACACATCGAATTGTGCTAATTTACTACAAAGTTACGCAATGCAGCATCTACTATCTAAAATATGTACTGCGTGACTCTTAATACGTCCCTGCCGAATGTTACAGCGTTCGATGATCACGTGGTCTTGTTTATGTCCGGTCTATCTCTTATCTGAATATACTGTAGTAACCTATGAAATTACTATTATAGCTTTCAATAGCACAGTGCTTTTCAATATGTATTCAGCTCAGCCTTTTTAGTCTTAGATAATCAATGGTTATCCACTTCAACTGGTACTAGACTTATTATCAAATAAAAATAGTAGTCCCTCACTTCTTCATCATCTTTACTACAAGTTCAACATCCTCATCAGTACTCGAAAGATGAATCGTGTTCTTCAAATCTTCAGTAAAAATCATGTTCTTTTCATCATTACTGTATTCAGTCATCTTATGCTTAAACTTGTCAGCTATATTTTCCATTTGCTTAAGAACCATAAATCTCTGCTGTTCAAAACCATCCATGCCAAGTGTGGACTTCGCATAAAGGCATCTTATTTCTGAAAAAATGAGTTTCCTATTGAAGGCCACGTACTTTTCCGTAAAATGAGTGCTCAGACCACCTATTGGAAGTAATTTCAGATCCGTCTTTTCGGTAATTCACTTTAATTTTGGATAGTTCTAGAAGAAAACTCATTGAAGGGGGGTACTTACTCTGTGAATTTGCAGCAACTGCGGCATGTTTTGATATGTTGTTCAGTTTGTAGATAAGTGAGAAATTGCATTTCGACACTGAGGCAAATCTGCTAGCTAACATTTTTGTATAATATATGGATATTTTAAACTTAAGTCGCTAGTTTTACGCGTTTCACGCTGCTCACTAAAAAAGAAGGTTATGTAAGGTTATGCGACTTGACAGTGACAGCATGACCACAGGCTTGAGAGATTGATACGCGCTCGGCCAACGTTGCCAGATTCGTGGCGGGGGAAGCCAAAAGTGTAGACGATGATGGCAGGATTATCTCGTAAGAAATTCTCAGAGCAAAGTGTCTCAAACCTCCCTATAAAAGGGAGGCTTGATACACTGAATGGGAGGTTTGACACAATAAGAAATTAAATATAAAACACTAGAAGGACTACAATCTTTTATTATTAGAACATTAACTAATCAATACAATATTCACAAGAAAACATTTTTATATTAGGCTTGACATCTGCACAGGCTGAATGGCACCATTTTAGACATTTCTGACAACGAATCCACTGTTCGCGAGAACGAGACGCTAAAAATAGTGAATTGCAGTAGATGCAAGCGGCATCGTCATCGTCATGTGCATCAGCAAATGGATCCTTTTAGTTTTCGTCTTCAGAATCCGAGTCATCGAACACAGGTCTTTCCGTTTTTGCATATCTATCCAAAACTTTTCTTTTGGGGTGGGTTTCACTACTCTCGGCATTGAGTTGTTGAGTGATTATTTTTTTCAGTCCCCCTGTTCTTTAACATTTAATCGTCGCCAACTACCCCCTCCCCCACCCCTCCGCTGAGAAGAACAGCTTCATATCTTCCTTAACATGCTGCGACCATCACACTGCGCCTCTCCCTGGTCAGATTCCTAAATTGACAAGTAACTGTAATTGGAGAGCGGAGGGGTAGAGATGTGTGATCCCAATTGCTGGATTAATTTAACACATTTCAACATCTGGGAGTAAGCATCGTACAGTACTATAAGTTATCGTATAAATACGATAATTAGTGTACGTCTGGCAACGCTGGCGCTCGACTCATTAATCTTTTATCCATCATGCCTAGATGGCACTGAGATTAGCGTAAGTAGTTCAAATGGAAATATGAAATGAGCGAGTAGTTCAAAAATTCCATTTGAGTTTGACACCACAAAATATATGACTACATGATTGTTGATTAGTGTTGTTATAACTGGAAAATGAAAAAATAATGTTGCCAAAAAATGACTATACATCCAATAAAAGGTATTACATTAGTCCTGCAATTTAATTAGTTCTTAAAAAGATTTTTTTAGATTTGACTTTGGAATTCCTTTGCAAGATATATTTCCACCAAATGATATCCACCATAGATTGAAGGTATGATTTTTATTATTTTAATATAGGCAATGAATAATACGCACTACATTTTTACTACAGTAGTCAAGTGCATCAATATTTTAGAGCAAAGTAGGACAGACCCAGTTCTCGAGGCTATCAGAGACTGTTATTTTGCTCTTCAATTGTTGACACCATTACGTTCTACAGTGTGTGGATTTCATACGAATTGCTTCTTTAGGGGGGCAGTGTCGAGATGTATGTCTCTTTATTTTGTTCATCCTTAATGATTATCTCATGCAAAATTTTACTCCCTTTCATACATTTCATTGTGGTGAATCATGGTCTCAATGTACCTGTCCTGCTTAGTTCTTCTTGATTTTAGCAAGGCCTTCGATACGGTTGACCCAAATATTCTCTGTAAAAAGCTTAGATACTTTGGCCTGTCATCATCGGCTTGCACGCTGATTAAGAGCTTTTTAACTGATCGCTCACAGTCTGTCATATATGAAAACAATATATCAACTTCTTTATTCAGAAATTTTGGTGTCCCTCAAGGATCTATTTTGAGTCCCCTTTTATTTGCTCTTTATATATGTGATTTTCATGAAACCGCCAGCAACTCAATCGTTCATCATTACGCCGATGATACCCAACTTTATAACTGCTTCGATCCTGATGAATATATGCTTGGCCAACATCAAATAAATCAAGACCTGCAGTCTATTTTTGACATATCTAGTGCTCACAATCTAAAACTAAATCCTGGCAAATCATGCTGCATTTTATTTGGGCCCAAAAAGAATCGTGAAATAAATCAATATCGCATTAATATTATGGTGAATAATGAAGACATATCCTTCGTAAACGAATGCAAAAACCTTGGTATCTGGTTTGACTGCAAGCTACGCTTCACTAAACATGTTAACCAACTATGCAATGCGTCCTATAATGTGCTTCGTCAGTTATATCCGAGTCGAAGTGTCCTGTCGACACAGCTCAAGCTTAAACTCTGCGAGTCCCTTATCCAGTCAAAATTATCTTACGGTGACTCTGTTTATGGACCTGCTCTTTTAAAACGTGATGCCGAGCGGATTCAGATGATACAAAACTCATGCATCAGATTTTCTTATGGAATCCGTAAATTTGATCATATTAGTAGCGCTTTTGACCAATCGGGATGGTTTAAGATGAACAAATTGAGGAAACTGCATTGCCTATCTCTGGTACATAAGACCCTTATCCTTAAAGCGCCATATTATCTTTATACAAAACTAAGCCTCCTCTGCCAGTACAATCAAAGATCCTCTAGGAATAAACTCATCTTACTTATCCCGCGGCATTCGACAGCATTGTTCACACGCAGTTTCTCGTACTGGGCACCCAAACTATATAACTGCTTATCAAGTGAGTATAAAGAATATAGCCTAAGCAATTTTAAAAAAAGGTTAAAGATGAGTTTAAAGCAGTCGGATGGCTAAAATTTTACTTTATGCATATCCACAGGTAATTGATTGTTTCCTTTCTCTGATAAGTGTTATATTCTAAGTTTTTTTTTTCTCTCTCTCTCTCTATAGTTTGTGTCAATGTTTTCCAGGTCGGGTTGAAAAACAGCATAAGCTGACACTCCACCTTTTCGTCACTGTTCCTTTTAAACCAATTATTTTGTAATCGTGTGACGAATAAAGGCCATTTATTATTATTATTATTAATGTACCTATAGTATGAGGGTCCCCCAGTGCAAATGCATGATCACCTTTTCCTTATTAAACAATAGTACAGATTTCACAATGGGGCCCCACTATAGTTATATCACTGTTTAAAAGTAGATACAAATGCTTTGGAAAACGCTACCTTGGTGGTAATTTCTGCATATTTGGTTTCATTTGTCCAGAAAAATATGGGGTTCTATCAGTGCAAAAACCACAGGATAAGTTTTAGATATGTTTCATTACATTACTGTTTTTTATTTGTTCACCAATAATTTTTTGTAATAAATATTGCATTAATAACATCTTTTCTGATTTTCAGTACCTTTTTGAAAAAGCACATCAGTTGTATATAAGCAACAAATGCAGTCTGCAAGAAATACTCAGGTAGACATTATTTCCTTTCCCCACCATTTGTTACAGGTTCATGTTCATTTTCAGATGTTATAAAGGCTTCCTAGAGGAGTGCTTCAAACTAAAAGAAACAATAACTTTTGACATGTACTACTTCAGAAGTATTTCGTATAGAGCTGGGGCTTATTTTTGGCTACTGAGACATTTTCTTGGCCTTTTACCAATACCTTTGCTGCCAAACTACACAAATGGAACATATTTTGATTGGAAATATTTGGCAGATAGATGTGGAAGGTGTCTTAGAGATCAAAACAGGGCTGTGTGCAATATACTTGATTATGATATAGCTGTGTAAGATGTACTTAAGTATTTGTGAAATATTTTGAAAGGATCATTGGATCACATTCTATTCCAGCACTTCAATATTTCACCAACATTTTCAATAAATCATATCCTGTGTATTTTCAGAAATCTGAACTTCCTGCCATTTGAACATTTCTTACTAGTGAGCTACATGATGGTCTTTATAAGAAAAGTATGTCAGCGATCAGAGAAAAATTGTAGGTTAGATAGGGAATCAGTAAGACTTGTTGCAAATTACTATTGTGGATCAATCTTTACCAGGCCATACAAACCAGGTGAAAAGGTTAGACTAGATCTATTCTACATGTATGTATCTAGAAGAATTATGAGCTCCTTCAACAACTTTGATTTCTTCTCTTGTTATGTTTTCATTGAAAGATAAGGTGATTATATCAATTACTCTGCTACTGAGGGACTGCAGAGGAAATCATCTGGTGGGGGATTCCAGAGAATGCGCTCCAATAGAGAGAAAAACAATTGTCTCTGTCTTCTGCAGCAGGAGATGTCTATATGCCTCTAACTGACAAGCTATACAGGATGATTCAGAAAATCATGACAATTGTTTTGGGGTACCTATTAAGTATAAATGACAAGCTATACAGCTGATTCAGAAAATCGTGTCATTTTTTTTTGTTCTGAAATGCAACCTTACTAAGATACGACGTATTGAAAATTTCTGCGCTACTGACCGATTGAGCATAAATTTTCTTCATATAATGCTATCATGAGATGAAAATGATCCCCTAATATACTATATACAATTTTCAGTATCAACTCTTACCAAATTCAGCGTATTTTCAAAACAATGGATTCAATTTTTTTTTTGTGGAAATTTACGACTGATAGAAATTTATCAAGGGTGATGATTTATGTAAAATTAAATTCTACTCAAAAATGCAGTGGAGGTTTCAGTTAAATCAATGGTGTAGAAAATATTTTTCTTTCTCATTCTGTGTTTTTTTGTGAATATTAGTACTACTACCTGTGCAAAACTTCAATTCAAGGCCTGTATCAACTTATTTCCTCATTTTGTAATTAATAGTAATTCATATCCCGGTAAGGGGATTTTAAGACCTACGTTTAAGAAAAATTTTGATTTTAATGGACCTACTATTTTCTACCCCAGAAATGTTGCCAAGATTTTCTGAATCCTCCTTGGTACATACAGATATCGTTCTCAAGAACTGGGTATTCGTCGCCCGTCGTTATGCACTATTTAAAAAAAAGACTTGCATTTGCGGTTATTTAAAACTCGGTTAACCCAAGCCTAGTGACCATGAAAGTCGCCGACAATACAGTCATGCAATATTGCAGCTTAACACCTAAAATAACGATTCTTACCGATAATGGAGCGATGAAGCCTACTTCGATATGAACGGTTTTGTTAAAAAGCAGAATTGTCATATCTGGGTATTAGAGAACCCTCATGTCATCCATCAACGACCACTACATCCTCATCGAGTCACTGTTTGGTATAGTGTTTGGTATGGAGGTGTCATTGGACCTTACTTCTTTTAATACGCTGCAGGTAGTTGTCTTACTGTCACTGGCGAGCGCTACCGTGATATGGTGCAACACTTTCTGGCTCCTCAAATCCAACAATTTACCTGTAAAACGTGTGGTTACAGCAGGACGGAGCACCTTGTCACACAGTTAGGGAAACAATAAATCTTTTGCAAACAATATTTCCGGGATGTTTAATTTCTTGATTTGGTGATGTCAATTACTGGCCACCAATATTACCGGATTTAACGGCTCCTGACTTTTTTATGAGGATTTTTGAAAAATAGGGTTTATGCCAACAAACCAAATATTGTAGAGCATCTGAAGAACAATATTACGGAAGCGATTGAAAATATTCCTCCCAAAACCTACCAAAAAGAGATGGAAAATGTAATCAAGAGGGCTCAGATTTGCGCGGCTTCTAAAGGCGGACATTTGCCTGATATTATCTTTCATACATAATTTCTAAGTTTCAATAAAAGATTCAGATGAAAAAAAAATGGACGTATTTTATTTCATTTCAAAAATATTCAAGATACAGGCAAGTCAGTTACATATCGGCCACCCTGTGTGTTGTCGTAAGCTGGCGGGTTGCACAGAGGTTTACTTTGGATTTTCTCCTGCGGTCTCTTGGTGTATGCTAACCCTATTTTTTTTTTTGGTTTATCATTGCAGGAAGAAACAATGTGTCCTTTATTTCTGTATCTAATAGTTAGATGGCGAAAAATTCAGATGCATTGCAACCATATGGGCCATCCCGCGTGTTTTCTTGGAATTAATTTTATGGATAACAGCTCAACTGAGGGAAACATATCCAGGTCTAGAGCAGATCAGTGGGTACAGACTGAACGGATTTTGCCATGTTTTCAAACAGAGATTGTTGAAGATTGTAGAATTATACCACATTTCGTTCCAAGTGTGTCCATCAAAGGTCGGTGCAAAAATTATTTTAAAAGTAGAAAACAAAACATCCACTATCAATTTATTTCCATAAACGACAGACTATTCTGAATAGTATTTCTTTCAGTAGAAAAACCTTTGATGAGGAGTAGCGGTTGTCAAACAGAATTGAGTTTGGAAGACAAAGCAATACAGAGTTCTGATTCTCCAGAATATCTCGAAACTATTGATATCAAGGAAAATAATGCAGTTGGCACTCCTGTAGTCAGCAGTACGTTTGCACTAGCAGGATCATCTTCTTTCATGACACCTGAACCTGCTAAATCTTTGTATGCTGAAATGACGTTTCTTACGGCAGCAGACTATAGTGATATACATAATGATGATTTGGATACCAGTATTAAACTACATGTTAGCGATGGTATGAAAAATAGTTTTGATTTTAAATATTTCATTTTGGATTATTCTTGGTTTGTAAGAAAAAACTGGACCTTTCAAATGCTTTTGAAGTTGCATTAAACTGACAGCTGAATGGGACATATATCAAAAATTATTGGAAATTTTATGTATATAAAAATTCCATGCGTCACATTTACAGCAAACTTTTGGGACTTACGATTTGAATATGAAAATGAGAACTAAACATATATATTTTTTACATTCAACCACTGTAGTTCTTCTAACATAGACGTAATCTTATCATATTTGTTTTTTCATAGCTTTATTTTGTGGAATTTGTAATTTTGAAATTATGTTTTCATTTGCTGTAAACAAGATGGTTGAACGATATAAAAAATGAGGATGAATTATAGTGTTATACACAATTTTTTGGATTACATACTGAGATTTTGGAAAACTCTATAGAAGTAATTTATCTTTTTTGATATTTTTTAAATAATGTATTCATAATGCTCTTGAAATGGTAGTTTACTATCCACACATTTACCCAGATATTTGAATGATTCAACTACTTCAATTTTTTCATCATTAATGGCCTAATTGTATTGTCATCTAAATGTTTCCTTATTGACATACATTTTGTTTCATTGGTGTTTATTAACATTTAATCAATTCATAATTTCTTTAATATAACTATTTAACATCTTTAAAGCAGTGTCCAAATGTTTATGTGCTATATATATATCAGTGTATCGTCCGCAAATATTTGAATTTTGCAATGTTTTAAAATGTCAGATATTTATTAATGAATAGTTACGGCTCTAATTTACTCCCCTGTGGCACCCCGATATTTTGAATGCTTGGCATATTTCCAATTTTAGTTTTTTGACTTCTATTTACTAAATAATTTTGTAAAATATTGAATACTAATATTTTAAGGCCATAGTGATGTAATTTCATTAACAATTTTTCCCTATCTATAGTCTAAAAATACTGTTACAGTACATTCTTTCTCACCTATACTTCGTCTCCAGTCTTCCACCACCATTTGGATTGATGTTTCTGTGGAGTATTTTTTTTCTAAATCTAGCTTGATATTTTTGTCAACATTTTGTTTTCTTCAATTAATTCAATGATTTGTTCGTTTATTATCCTCTCGAACGTCTTCTCGTAATCGGCCGCATATTTGTAAATAGCTCAGTAAGTAGAACTTTTGGCACAGGAGTAATGGTCGAACACCTTAATTTTGATGGTTATTCACCATGCACTAAACAATGATTCACCAATAATAATAATTTCTCTCATAATGCCTATTGTTTTAGTTGAAAATCGAAGTGAACACAATGTAAACACGAACGTTGAACAAGATACAGGTCTCTCGTCACCTAGTAAAAATACAGACCTTAGTTTTTTTAGTACAGTCGAATCTAGTAGTCCAAATACATGGGAGGGTGTCATGAAGGAGACAACTCGAACTATTAAAAAGGTAGAGGAGTACATCTATGATGACTGTGATACCTTCAAGAATGAGGACTACAATCAGATTGGAAGTAAACGATGCCCGAGTAAGTTTAACAAATAAATAGGAGCAACATACCTTACTCTCTCAATAAAGAGAATATCCGTGCCTAGACATTACAAACACAAAATAATAATAAAAGTTGGGATTTTATTTTGGAAACAAAAACGAGTGATATAACGCAGGTACGGTAAAAAAATATTGAACAAGGCACTGACCATCCATTTGATAAGAAATTATTTCAAGCACCACCTACGTCCAGAAATACGACATTAATACGCTCGCAAAGTTTCATCAAAATCTTGAAGACACCGAGAACATTTTATATCTAAATTATTATGTTAGTCGGTCATTTTCAGTTTTTTCCAAAGTCGAATACTGATGCGTGTTGTATCTTTCCACCTTTTCTTTTGTTGGAAGCAGAACTACATTGATGACGCAGATTTTTCTAAACCTAATATCTCTGTTACTTTAAGACTTCTAACTTCAGGAACACCTCATATTTTATAATTTTTTTCTCAGTATCCACACGAAATTACTGCATTATTTAATTTTTTTTTTAGGAAAATCTAAGTCTCTAGTAGATAAATGTTCCAAAGATGGTTGGACTTACACTCCACCTGATACAAAAAGAGAAACTACAGAAGTAAATCCTGATTTACCAGCTCCACCTACGGACGAAGATCCAGATGAAACCAATGGTTACTTTGAGAACAGCTATCACAGATTTTCAGTCCACGATCCCGATCGCGATGTGAAGTCAAAGAAGAACAGGCGAAAGATGCAAGTCGTTTATGATTTTCCCAAGTCGAAAAAGTCTGACGAAGATTTGGAGAAGAAGGATTCCAGAAGAAGGATTAACTTCAATTTGAAGAAATTCAAGTTGAATTTGGACTTTTTCAGGGTAATAACACCTAGGCCTCCGAGGCATAAATATTCTACTAAGGTGTTCGCTGAGGATAGTGATGTCAAGTATAAGAAGATTAAGAATATACGATCTAGTACTCTTTGAAGTATTCCTTATCGATTGTGTCATTCATGATTAAATAAAAATATAGCCTCGCAAGATGTGTTTTACTTCAAGTTACAGTGGACCCGCGGTAATTCGACAAACGTTTTGCAGGGTGAGGCCGGATTATCGATTTTGTCGGATTATAGAGTACTGCCTAAGACCCTATATAGGCCAGCATTTTTTGAATAAAAGTATCTGGTAATCCGACAAATATGTATGTGGTACATATTAATTTAAACATTTCAATGATTGCTAATATCTTATTAGAAAAATAACATCATCAGTGTCCTAGAACTTGCAAAAAATATTAACTAAACCTATTTACGTTAGAAAATAATTATGTTCAAACAAATGTACCTACACATGTACTAAAAATATGTGTATGTACCAATCAATTTACATTGCATTAAAATATTCATCATTTTTGTTTTGAGTTAAAGCGCGAGACCTAAGCTTTGCCCCTTAGTCTTCTTAAAAGTGAAAGTTGTTTGTAGTACGACTTTTCAAACGTTGTAGCTATCTCTTGTTAGCCACAAAGTCATCTGTTTTCATTATTTCGTTGTAAAAAATCTTAGTTTTGTTGGCCAATATGGGTCCTAAAATGGGGGCATGCCTGTTTTTTTCCGTAAACCACATGTACAAAACTTCTTTCCCGTCTGGATGTTCAGCTTTCTTGAGTGTTTGTCTTCTGTCTGGCTCACAGTCAGTAGTTGACACAAAGGTTTTAATCTTCTCGCGGCTCCTTTTAGTATATTTGACACAAAAAGCTAAGGGAATTATCATCAACACAGCCTATTAGTACACAAAACCCCCACTATGCACCTATGCAGTGCCGTTTCCTTCCAGCTATAGTATACAACTTAGAGCTTAGATCTTCAATAACGTTATCTCTGAAGCAGATGTTACATCATATCGGAGCCAAGCATTGATAGCCGAAGCGTCACAAAGTTTAGGCAACACGTGCAGCTACAGAACGAGTACACATCAAGTGAACAACAGCTAGTTCTGAGTTGACACCTTGTAGAAAAGCCTACATAATGTCACAAAAACTTATATAATGTCAAAAAAACCGACATAATGTCGCTTTTCAAGATACGTAATACCCCTGCCGCAGGGTTATTAAGTGAAAAACCTATATAATGTCAAAAATACCGATAATATTATGTCAACTTGTTGACTAGGTAGGCTAATGTGCAAATAATCCATTTCGCGCTTGCTACAAAGTGAGCATGACCTGAACGACAGCTAGTTCCAAGTTGATGATTTGAAGGAAAAGCAACATAATGTCATAAAATCCTACATAATGTCAAAAAACCTACATAATGTAAAAAAACGACAAAATGTCACTTTTCTTTTTTTCGCCCTTGCTAGTAACTCGATAAACGGGAAGTTCATGATAGTAGTTGACTTATATGAACAAGGTGATGGAACTACAATTGAAAGTCGATTGCAACCTGGTGGTTTAAATTATGGTTACTAGGTATAATATTTTTCTACAACACCTGAACAAGCACCAATTTTATGTCCCGTCATGGTAATGTAGCTCTCATTAATAATAACGTTTGGAAAAGTAACAATTTGCTTCAAACGGAACTGTAACGCGATGATTCTACATTATGCATATCGTTTTAGTTTTTGTACCTTGTTTGTCAAGGACAAACACGAGTATCTACCGCAATATAATCTGAAATATCATCAACTCTTTCTGATCGCGTACATACGCGGTTTGTTGGAAAATACAAAGCACGGCAAATCATAGTGATTTCTGAGACCTCAAGCAGCGGAAGCGGTATGACGTATGAAAAGTGACATTATTTCGTTTTTTTTTCATTTTATAAATTTTTTTGTCACATTATGTAGGTTTTTCTACAAGATGTCAACTTGGAACTAGCTGTTGTTCGCTTGATGTGTACTCGTTCTATAGCTGCACGTGTTGCCTAAACATCATGACGCTTCAGCTATCATGGTTTCGCTCTGCTTCAGAGATATTATTGGAGGTCAAAGCTGGCAGTGCATAGGTGCATAGTGAGGATTTGTGCGCTTAAAAATCTGTGTTGATGACAATTCTATTAGTTTCTTGTCCCAAATAAACTTACTTGAGATTTATGCAAAACCAGAAATTAGTTGCGTAGCCACTTTTTCTTATCTATCCTGGAAATTACATATATGCAAATTTGCTGGATTTAAAAAATGAGAGAGGTAAGAAAGTCAAATTCCTGGTTGGTGATATTTATGAAGCGTGAAAGGGTTATTACATTTTACATAATTTTTTAATTCTAAACAAATAAATTTTATTGAAATTTATTTTTCGATGCCAATAGAAAATAAAAGTCAGCGCCTAGATGTGCGGCACTGCAAAAATGTTTTGTGTGTCATCAGTCATCAGTGATTCCTAATTTTTCTGTGGCTTAACTACATACAACGCGGACACGGTGGTGATTTCCAGTAACAGCCGGTGCACACGGGCGTATTTTGACGGTGCGGTTACGCAAAGTCGACGTTGGTCGACGCAGATGGTTCTCATCACGCGACGCAAGTAGCAAGATGTATTTTGATCATAAACAATGTGTTTTATTTGCATATTACTTATATAAGTATCATATTTGTAAAAAGAAAAGAAAATACTGGGTACACCCTTATGTGAGTGCCCGTGCATTAAAAGAAGCATTTGTTCGTGATTTTTCGGATCTGAAAAATGACGAGTAGTTTTTCAATTATTTTAGAATGAGTTCCAAATCGTTTGACGAATTACATTTCAGTGTCTGTATCAACGTCCGTCATTTTCAACGCACTGCTTTCCATCGCTCGTGTGCACTCAATGAGTCGTATTCATAAAACAAAGGATATCATTGTACTTGCAAATTTTGAAGGAAATCCTCCAGATGGTATTTATATTAATTTGAGGTAAATGCTTTTGCTTTTTGTGTATCAGCATATCCTTCAAAGCAGTGACATAAGTAAAAGGATATTCATAATCTTCAGCTTATGCTTGGCATAGGAAGCATATCCTTTAAAAATTCTGAGTGTGGTCAGTAGCAGACTCAACTTCGTAACGAAAGGTAGTCAAACGATGATGGCGGAAATTGTGGAAGTTAGGGATGTTAAAACTTACAAACCTCGTTTACCTGCACTTGGTAGTGACTTCAAATAATGATATCGCTTCGACGAAGTATATGTACAATGGCTTGCGGACAGATTTTTAGTTGAGAATGGGGAAACTCGAGGAGGAGCACTTTCAGGTATTCATAAAATGAAGATATGTCTACGCTATCTCGGTGACCTTGGATATTGTTAATTTTTTTTAATAAGCCTTAATAAGCCTCATTTTGATTTTTGGAACTTGTGACTTTTGCAAAATAAAGGGAGCAATGGCAATTTCATCTGCGATGAACTGAAGATCGTTGCCATTATTTTCCATAGTTTCCTCATCACTTGAGCATGACATGCTTATTAATTTGATAAAAAACTGTATCCAGTAAAAATATGGAACGGTCTGTGTAAGCTCTGGAGTACAACTGTCAGTGATGCTGAGTGAACGAACTCCCACGTCAACTACAACATGGAACAAGTCAGGATATGTCGCTCAAGATACAAATACCAGTCAACCTTTTACTTCTTCCTGGAGGATATCCTCGCGAGTATAAGGTAAACATTATGAATATGAAAACAAGGATATTTTGTCGTGTTTTTTTTTTACATTATAAAGGTTTCATACGTGTTAACCTTGCCGCACTGCGAAGAAGTAGTATTTAGGATTAGTATTTTCTAGATGAACCCAATTTCTACATTTGCACCCCTAGAAACTCTCTTTTTCCATCCCTTGCACTCCATCTAAATGCACCGGAATCGATTTACTTCCCTAACCAACCCTGTTCGGTATTTATTCTTTCTGACCAAATTACCTCCCTCCCTAAGGATAACGCGTTCTTCACCTATGTGTCTTATAACTGCAGTAAGAAAATTGGTTGATAGCACTTTACATGCAGGCATTGAGAAAGGCAGGCTGGTAAGTCTATTACGTAAAAAACCTAAAAAACGCAAAAAACCAACAAAATGTCAACTTGTTGCCTAGAGAGTACCTAATATGCAAATTGTACATTCCGCGCTTGCTCGCTATGAGCGCTGTGAGTGTCCATCTATGGAATAATGACTCAAGGACGCGACACGCTTAATGACCATGCTGCAAGCTGCAAGTCAGTTCCCCATCATGCTTTGTTGGATGCAGAATGCCGAGATAGTCTGTATAGTATACTCTGAGAAAATGTGTCGTGAGTCGCAAGGTATCTGGATGATTGTGAGTATTGGTCTGCATGTGTATATACTCAGTAATATTTGCTATGTGAGAACATTATTACTGAATATGATGCTGTCCATGAAATACCTATATCTTCTAGTTGTGCCAGACAGGTTATTTGTGTGGTCCTTTCTGAAGAGAGGTTATGTTCAAAGTTATACATTACGATATCGTTACGTTTTCAAACACTTTTCGAAGCATTACGGGAAATCAGTACCACCGCATCCGCGTTGTATGTAATTGAGCCACATCACAGAAAAATTAGCAATGACGCGTCACATACAAAACATTTTTGCTCCGCCTCACATCCAGGCGCTGGTTTGTATTTTCTACATTACATCGTAAAATAAATATCTATAAAATTTAAATGACTGACAATAAAAATTAATGTGAAATGTATGTAATATGTAATTTCCAGAATGAATAAGAAGAAGTGGATGCGCAACTAATTTCTAGCTTTGAATCTCAAGTAAGTGTATTTGAGACAAGAAACCTATGGAATTATCATCAACACAGACTATTAGCACACAAATCCTCACTATGTAACTATGCACTACCGTTTCCTTCCAGCTATAGTATACAACTTACAGCTTAGACCTCAAATAATACCATCTTTGAAGCAGATGTTACATCATATCAGAGCCAAACATTGATAGCTGAAGTATCATCACGTTTAGGCAACACGTACAACTACGGACCAAGTACACAACAAATGTACAACAGCCAGTGCTAAGTTGACATTATGTAGAAAAACCTAAATAA